TCTCGCATGAATGTCAGCTGTCTCGCACGAATGTCAGCTGTCTCGCACGAATGTCAGCTGTCTCGCACGAATGTCAGCTGTCTCGCACGAATGTCAGCTGTCTCGCATGAATGTCAGCTGTCTCGCACGAATGTCAGCTGTCTCGCACGAATGTCAGCTGTCTCGCACGAATGTCAGCTGTCTCGCACGAATGTCAGCTGTCTCGCATGAATGTCAGCTGTCTCGCACGAATGTCAGCTGTCTCGCACGAATGTCAGCTGTCTTGCATGAATGTCAGCTGTCTCGCACGAATGTCAGCTGTCTCGCACGAATATCAGCTGTCTCGCACGAATATCAGCTGTCTCGCACGAATATCAGCTGTCTAGTACGAATATCAGCTGTCTCGCACGAATGTCAGCTGTCTCGCACGAATGTCAGCTGTCTTGCACGAATATCAGCTGTCTCGCACGAATATCAGCTGTCTCGCACGAATGTCAGCTGTCTTGCACGAATATCAGCTGTCTCGCACGAATATCAGCTGTCTCGCACGAATATCAGCTGTCTCGCACGAATGTCAGCTGTCTCGCACGAATGTCAGCTGTCTCGCACGAATATCAGCTGTCTCGCACGAATGTCAGCTGTCTAGTACGAATGTCAGCTGTCTCGCACGAATGTCAGCTGTCTCGCACGAATGTCAGCTGTCTAGTACGAATGTCAGCTGTCTCGCACGAATGTCAGCTGTCTCGCACGAATGTCAGCTGTCTCGCACGAATGTCAGCTGTCTCGCACGAATGTCAGCTGTCTCGCACGAATGTCAGCTGTCTAGTACGAATGTCAGCTGTCTCGCACGAATGTCAGCTGTCTCGCACGAATATCAGCTGTCTCGCACGAATGTCAGCTGTCTCGCACGAATGTCAGCTGTCTCGCACGAATGTCAGCTGTCTCGCACGAATGTCAGCTGTCTCGCACGAATGTCAGCTGTCTCGCACGAATGTCAGCTGTCTCGCATGAATGTCAGCTGTCTCGCACGAATGTCAGCTGTCTCGCACGAATGTCAGCTGTCTCGCACGAATGTCAGCTGTCTCGCACGAATGTCAGCTGTCTCGCACGAATATCAGCTGTCTCGCACGAATGTCAGCTGTCTCGCACGAATGTCAGCTGTCTCGCACGAATGTCAGCTGTCTCGCACGAATGTCAGCTGTCTCGCACGAATGTCAGCTGTCTCGCACGAATGTCAGCTGTCTCGCATGAATGTCAGCTGTCTCGCACGAATGTCAGCTGTCTAGTACGACCTGATATCTCCATCTTGGTAACCCCCTCCCTCCCCACCCCCGCTCGTTATTGACCTGAGAGTAACAGATGTGGACACGTTGATGACGTCATTGTGTCAGAAACTGGCTGCAACAGTTTATGTGTCGTCTACACCACTGCTGGTACCTGCTGTTTTTACCAAACGTCAATCGCCCCGACCGTCCTCTACACAAATAACCGTTATGGTGTAACACCTGCCAGTGACTGACCCAGGGCTATCGTAGGGGCCGGTTCTCACACCACACATTGCTGTGGTCTACCCTCGACCATACAACACACATCTATGTGACACAGTCCTTCTGGTCACATACAACACACATCTATGTGACACAGTCCTTCTGATCTAGTATCTCATACAACACACATCTATGTGACTCAATAAATCCCCTCAATCTGGCACCCTCCCCCCCCCCCCCTCCGGACTCGTCCAACACAATAATCTAAAATCAATGTGTAAATATCTAACCAGAGAATAAACTTTGTGCCTAGCACTTTTAACTTGAGGTGTTTTTTTATGAGTGCCGTCACATCATTAGACATTTTAGGTCTTACACCAGATGGTGAGACAGGCTGGCACGGTTAAAGACATTCTTCTACGCGCGACAGGCGAGATGAAATTGTTCTATATCTGACACACACGATTATATGTTCTACATCTGACAGACGAGATGAAATTGTTCTATATCTGACAGGCGAGATGAAATTGAACATTTTGAACAAAACAGCACCGTGTTAGTCAGCATGAAGCGGTCCCATGTGTCAATAAAACAGCACCGTATTAGTACATTTACTTTACCGACACACATGGGAATGGTTCCACGCCGCTGACTTTCAGATGGTTCCGCACCGCTGACTTCAAAAAGATATTTACGGAATCAGGATTGAAATGCACGGAATGTTAAAACGGGGTCTGGCATAATACGAATGTTCCCTACAGGATATATCCCAAATAGCATTGGATGTGGCCCATAATCAATGGGATATGTCTCCTAAAACACATTAACATGGGATAGGTACCAATTATGGGATATGGTCAGTTTATGTAACATGTTCCCCGAATTATGTTCGACCTGTTCCTATATCCTATGGGGTTTGTTGATAACATAGTTAACATGATCCATACCATGTTGTATGGGCACGTCCGCTAGACGTCCACACGTCCGCTAGAGACGTCCACACGTCCGCTAGACACGTCCTCTAGAGACGTCCACTACAGCCGTCCACCAGTCTGGTAGGCTAGACGTGTGAGGAACAGACCGCTAATCCAGTGAAGCGTGACACCAGAACACACCCGCCCGGTAATTAGGTCATCCACCCGTGCCACTGGCTGACCGGCGTGTGTGTGTGTGGGGGGGGGGTGAGATTATCTGTCACTCTATCTCTGTGACAGGTGACAAGTGGGCGTGGTCTCCCCTAAAGATGGGCGTGACAGGCTGATCAGATAGTAGATGTATCGGATCACGCATTATTTATTGTGATAATCCACTTCCGATGCCCGGACACAGCTTTAGTGAGGATAACAATCGATCTCAGATAATCGGATAATTATCTGTTAGGTAGAAGGATTGAGTTTTGACAAAGTCTCTACCCTCAAAATAATACCTAACCTACAACACTAACAACATAACACCTACAACACTAACAGCATGAGACCTACAATATTACAAACATACGTTCTATCCACTTGAGCTCCATAAAAACTGACCATAGTACCGAGAAGGCTAATGTGGAGCCAAACAAAACAAACACGACAAATATTTTATCGACGGTGTTAATTAAACAAGAGCCAACTAGATCTAAGTGCTACAGTAGTTTAAAACGTAGCCTGTGTTCTTTAACAATCAGCAACAGCACAGCCACAATGTTGTTGAGTTTTAGGGACTGAGACAAACCACGGACTAGCCGTTAAAACCTAACCCTAACCCTGAGTTTTAGGGACTGAGACAAACCACGGACTAGCCGTTAAAACCTAACCCTAACCCTGAGTTTTAGGGACTGAGACAAACCACGGACTAGCCGTTAAAACCTAACCCTAACCCTGAGTTTTAGGGACTGAGACAAACCACGGACTAGCCGTTAAAACCTAACCCTAACCCTGAGTTTTAGGGACTGAGACAAACCACGGACTAGCCGTTAAAACCTAACCCTAACCCTGAGTTTTAGGGACTGAGACAAACCACGGACTAGCCGTTAAAACCTAACCCTAACCGCCTGGGGCTTTATATGAAAGTGTGTGCTGATATACCAAAACTAGCTAGAGCCGTCTTCGCATTGTGAGGATTAAGTTCTAAACCCTAGCCTAGATCGACTGATATTGACGAATAATGGATTCAGCTGTTCTTGTACACTGATAACTGTAAGCCGGTGTGTGTGTGTCTGTTCGTGTGTTCTTTTAAAACTTGCTCAACTGGTACGCAGTGTGTAGCGATCAGTGCCAAACACACATTCACACCCAACTGTGACTCGACACACTAATACAGGACAGTCACATAAGTGTCACACACAACTGTCACAAGACTGTCTCACACAACTGTCACTAGACTGTCTCACACAACTGTCACAAGACTGTCTCACACAACTGTCACTAGACTGTCTCACACAACTGCCACAAGACTGTCACACACAACTGTCACACGACACACTACTACATGACTGTCACAATAGTGTCGAATTAGTGTCACACCCCAAATAAACCGGGAGTGATCTCCCGTAAACTTTCTCGAATATTCTTATATAAAATAACAGGGGATGGGAACTCGGGCTATAGACATGATTTTTAATCCATTTTAAATACTTAAAGTTTTAAAAATAGAATAAAATCTCGTAGACAAATTAATTGCACACCAAGTGAACGCGAAATAAAAAAGCGCATAATAGTGCGCAATATTATTATTACTTTTAAAATTTACATTAGTTTTTTGAGAAATCGGAAGTAGCGTAAAGTACTACTTCCAGTCAACGGAAATGACTCAAAATTTAATAGAAGGTAGAGAATTAGATCTTTTACTTACGTATGAAATTTCATTTATCTATCTGAAATAGTACTCAAGTTATAGGCTTTTGAAAAATTCAAAGTAGGAAAAGTACCACTTCCGGTTATCGGAAATCGCTCAAAAGTTGATACGGATCTACGATTTTGATTAAATACTTATATATGAAATTTCATCAACCTAGCTGTAACGGTACTCAAGTTATCGTGTTTACACACGGACACACACACACACACACACACACACACACACACACAGACACACAGACATACGGACAAGATTGCAAAATTATGTTTTTCCGTATCAGTGAGATGCAAAACGTCGAGATTTGCAAAAATCTCGATTATTTTTTTTTGCACGATTACAAGACTTTCTCTATACTTCGTATATACGAGAAAGTAAAAAAAGTTAACCACTAAACCATGGCACGTTCATTGCATAAATTAAATATGAAAAGCGAACATGTTTAGATCTGTGATAGATCTAGATTCTAGATCGAATGGGGTCTAATGTGACTACACAGTCGTATCCAAAGTTTGTGGCGCTGGTTTAGTTTTTATTTCATCTCGAGATTGAGATCTAACCCTAGGTAATTCGCTATGTATCGATCGACCAGGATGCCGCGGGAAAATCAAGCCAGCAGACGACACAAACTGGACAAACCGCAGTTGACACACCGAGACAGCACGTTTTGGTCAACAACGCACACTCAAGACTTACCGGTAAGTTACGGGGCACCTTGTACACATATAATCCACGGCGGTACTGAAATAAAAGTGTATCCCACAAAGTAGCAAAGCTGCGTGTCACGGTAGTCCGTATAAGGTTCGGCGACTCCACCAATTGGACGACAAATCTCGTCTGCTGGCCTACCTGTGTTTACGTTAGCAGCGCCTCTAGTGGAGGAATGAAAACTATGCCGCCGTATCGGGGGGTCACGTGACAACAGGGGTGTGTCGCGACGCAAGCGGACTAAAAAAATTGTGTCACAGGTGGCTTGTGTGACAACCACCCGGCGTCAACAAGGCTGGGTGGTCACAATAGGTTGGTGGATTGGATGGGTGCGTACACAAGTTGTGGATGGGTGCTCACAATAGGTTGGTGGATGGGTTGGTGGATGGTCACAATAGGTTGGTGGATGAGTGCGTACACAAGTTGTGGATGGGTGCGTACAGTTTAATGGAGGGGTGCGTACGCAAGTATTGGATGGATGCGTACAGTTTGATGGATGGATGGTATAAGTTTGATGGGTAGATGGTACAAGTTTGATGGGTAGATGGTACAAGTTTGATGGGTGGATGGTACAAGTTTGATGGGTGGATGGTACAAGTTTGATGGGTAGATGGTACAAGTTTGATGGGTAGATGGTACAAGTTTGATGGGTAGATGGTACAAGTTTGATGGGTAGATGGTACAAGTTTGATGGGTAGATGGTACAAGTTTGATGGGTAGATGGTACAAGTTTGATGGGTGGATGGTACAAGTTTGATGGGTAGATGGTACAAGTTTGATGGGTAGATGGTACAAGTTTGATGGGTAGATGGTACAAGTTTGATGGGTAGATGGTACAAGTTTGATGGGTAGATGGTACAAGTTTGATGGGTTGATGGTACAAGTTTGATGGGTGGATGGTACAAGTTTGATGGGTAGATGGTACAAGTTTGATGGGTAGATGGTACAAGTTTGATGGGTGGATGGTACAAGTTTGATGGGTTGATGGTACAAGTTTGATGGGTGGATGGTACAAGTTTGATGGGTTGATGGTACAAGTTTGTTGGGTGGATGGTACAAGTTTGATGGGTTGATGGTACAAGCAACTTTTTGGTTGATTGTGTCCAGTGTTTTTTCCAGACTTTTTTCTCCGGTGGGGGGGGGGGGGGGCACTTGAAATTTTCGGGGGGAGGGCGGTAGACTTTCTTCGGGGGGGGGGGGGGGGGGGGCGCACACTGTTAAAAGTATATATTTTCTGTATAAATTATACAAATTTCATTTCGTTCGGGGGGGGGGGGGGGGGGTGGTAGAATTTTTTCGCCCCCCCCCCCCCCCCCCCCCCCCCCCCCCCGAAGAGATGCTTGGAAGAAAACTCTGATTGTGTCGTACAAGACAAGTTTATTATGGCGTGGCTACAATTTTTACTTTCTCGTATATACGAAGTATAGAGAAAGTATTGTAATCGTGATACGAAAAAACATAATTTTGCAATCTTGTCCGTATGTCTGTGTGTCTGTCTGTCTGTGTGTCTGTGTGTGTGTAAACACGATAACTTGAGTACCGTTACAGCTAGGTTGATGAAATTTCATATATAAGTATTTTTTCAAAATCGTAGATCCGTATCAACTTTTGAGCGATTTCCGATAACCGGAAGTGGTACTTTTTCTACTTTGAATTTTTCAAAAGCCTATAACTTGAGTACAGAGTTTCTTCCAGGTATCTCTTCGGGGGTGGGGGGGCGAAGCCCCCCCCCCCCCCCGATATTTTTTACCGCCCCCACCCCCCCCCCCCACCCCGAACGAAATGAAATTTATATAATTTATATAGAAAATATATACTTTTAACAGTGTCCGCCCCTCCGAAGAAAGTCTACCGCCCCCCCCCCCCGAAAATTTCAAGTGCCCCCCCCCCCCCCCCCGGAGAAAGTTTGGAAGAAACACTGCTTGAGTACTATTTCAGATAGATAAATGAAATTTCACATGTAAGTAAAAGATCTAATTCTCTATCTTCTGTCAAATTTTGAGTAATTTCCGTTGACCGGAAATACTAATTTACGCTATTTCCGATTTCTCAAAAAACGCATGTAAATTTATAAAGTACAAATAATATTGCGCACTATTATGCACTTTTTTATTTGGCGTTCACTTGGTGTGCAATTCTTTTGTCTACGAGATTTTATTCTATTTTTAAAACTTTAAGTATTTAAAATGGGTTAAAAATCATGTCTATAGCCCGAGTTCCCATCCCCTGTTGTTTTATATAAGAATATTCGAGAAAGTTTAGGGGAGATCACTCCCTGTTTATTTTATTACTATTATCCCATCATAAATTACTATTCTGATTTAGGCTTTTTTTTTGCACAAGGGAGGTAAACAGAATAATGTCGTTTTAGTAAGATCATTTTATCCTCTCCCTTACGTTACGTGCTTTGTGAGGGAGTGGATGTGTAGCCGGCCATATACAGTGGCGTAGCTAGGGGAGGGAGGGTGGGGCGGCAGCCCCTGGCGCCGACCCTAAGGGGGCGCCAAAAGGTCGTAGAAAAATTAATTGAAAAGCTCATTTTAAGCCAGTGTTTCTTCCAGACTTTTTTCTCCGGGGGGGGGGGGGGCACTTGAAATTTTCGGGGGGGGGGGGGGGGGGGGGGTAGACTTTCTCCGGTGGGGGGGGGGGGGGTGGCGGACGGACGGACACTGTTAAAAGTATATATTTTCTATATAAATTATATAAATTTCATTTCGTTCGGGGGGGGGGGGTGTAGAATTTTTTCGGGGGGGGGGGGGGAGGGGCGCCATGTATAAGATGTAATTGGCCCATGTATAGGGTTGTTGGCCCATGTATAGGATGGTTGGCCCATGTGTAAGATGTAGTTGGCCCATGTATAAGATGTAGTTGGCCCATGTATAAGATGTAATTGGCCCATGTATAAGATGTAATTGCCCCATGTATAGGGTGGTTGGCCCATGTATAAGATGTAGTTGGCCCATGTATAAGATGTAATTGGCCCATGTATAGGGTGGTTGGCCCATGTATAGGGTGGTTGGCCCATGTGTAAGATGTTGTTGGCCAATGTATAGGGTGGTTGGCCCATGTATAAAATGTAATAGGCCCATGTATAGGGTAGTTGGCCCATGTATAAAATGTAATAGGCCCATGTGTAGGGTGGTTGGCCCATGTATAAAATGTAGTTGGCCAATGTATAGGATGGTTGGCCCATCTATAAGATGTAGTTGGCCCATGTATAGAGTGAAGTTGGCCCTTGAATACGATGTAGTTGGCCCTTATATAAGATGTAGTAGGCCCATGTATAGAGTGAAGTTGGCCCTTGAATAACGTAAAGTTTTTTTGTGTACTAGTTGATAACCCAAATCGCTTTCTCTCAATATACTCTGAAGCGAAGGACAGTAACTCTTCATTTAATGGCTGAAGTACGGGCATTGCCATATAAAGGCTTGCGGGCCTTGTCATATAAAGGCAAAGGCCTTACAGATGCTTACGGGCCTTAAAAATAAGGGCTTATGGACATAAAGATAAAGGCTTTATATTTAATTGGCTACAGGCCCTATGAGAGAACTACTTGATGGTAGTAAAAGTTTTTAATTCCAACTTTTATCAAGGATCCCACAGGCCTTATGAGAGAACTACTTGATGGTTGTAAAAGTTTTAAATTCCAACTTTTATCAAGGATCCCAGAGGCCTTCTGAGAGAACTACTTGATGGTTGTAAAAGTTTTTAATTCCAACTTTTATCAAGGATCCCAGAGGCCTTATGAGAGAACTACTTGATGGTTGTAAAAGTTTTTAATTCCAACTTTTATCAAGGATCCCACATCGTCTGGAGGAGATAGCACGATACTACAAGGGTGATTTTAATGTTCTTTCTTTCCTATCTCTCAACACTTTCTTGGTTTCTATCTAGTTAGGTTGCTTGATTCATCATAATTGTTGGCTGTCTCTCAACACTTTCTTGGTTTCTATCTAGTTTGGTTGCTTGATTCATCATAATTGTTCTTTGGCCAGAAAACTAGGCTTTCCTCCACCAACAGGAAAACTATTTTATAATTGTGATTCTCAGTGATTAGGATTGTATTTCATAATTTATACATTTGATTCTCTATGTTTATGGCAATGTTTGCACTTAAAACTGTAAAAATAAAGACAAAGCAAGAAGCTGAGGATAAATGTTTTATTGATGGGTACACTCTGGGTGACCAAAGATTCAGTGCGGTAGTGAACATGAAGGCACATGAAAACACAAAACTTGCAACAAAGATTCAGTGCGGTAGTGAACATGAAGGCACATGAAAACACAAAACTTGCAACAAGAGAGGCTGATACAACACATCAAAGGCAGGTATAACACACACAGCCAGGTAACTTAATCAGTCAGGTGACTGTCACTCAGGTAACTTAATCAGTCAGGTGACTTCAAGTTGGACAGTGACAACTAGACAGGTGGTAGAGTGGTCTTTAGACTGGCCATCGCTATGACCAGTTGTTAGATAATGGTGACCATACAAAGTGAATGCCTGGAGAAAATACCCAGGCCCCAGGCGTGCCAGCATACCAGTATAGACACTAGGTACTTTCTCGCTGATTCCTTCTTAAGTCACGGTAAGGGGCCATCTTCCTAGATCTATGGGGGCCATCTCCCTAGAATTATGGGGACCATCTCCCTAGAATTATGGGGCCATCTCCCTAGAATTATGGGGACCATCTCCCTAGAATTATGGGGGCCATCTCCCTAGAATTATGGGGACCATCTCCCTAGAATTATGGGGACCATCTTCCTAGATCTATGGGGGCCATCTCCCTAGAATTATGGGGACCATCTCCCTAGAATTATGGGGCCATCTCCCTAGAATTATGGGGACCATCTCCCTAGAATTATGGGGACCATCTCCCTAGAATTATGGGGGCCATCTCCCTAGAATTATGGGGGCCATCTCCCTAGAATTATGGGGGCCATCTCCCTAGAATTATGGGGACCATCTCCCTAGAATTATGGGGACCATCTCCCTAGAATTATGGGGACCATCTCCCTAGAATTATGCATACTTTAACTAAGCCAAGAGTATGTCCAGCATACAATGTCAAGGCCGTACCTTTGAACTTTGTTTTCTCACCTCTACGGCCAGCGTAGAGTCAAAACAAATAGTCAAAATACAGAAAATATCCTCTGGGAGAGAACTTGGCTAGACCCCGCTACTGCCCTATATCCAGGAAAAGATTTAGTCAACGTACATGAGACCACTCTTGTCAGTGAGGGCAGATGTCAAATGTGTCACTGTACCTGTCTCAAGCTGCTGGCATATCATCACAGAGAATATAAGACACAAACAGTCATGTGACCTGCACATGAAAGTTAAATCAATGATTAAAAATTGAAAATTTAGCCAACATTTAAAGCCAACAATCTAAAGTCAAATGCATAAAGGAAAATTATGAGGGTGATAGATATACACAGTATCTAAGTCATCTGACTTTGGTTGTGCGATGATGATCAAGTCAAAAAGTCATCCAATATTAAAATGAGAGCACAATGAACAATAAAAGTCATATGACATTAATAAGACAAGTAAACAAGTCATCTGACATTTTGCTCATGACATTTAAAGATGAAACAACAAAATGTTTGTTTATAATATAGTTATAAGAAAAACATTCTCACCTGTGTGATCAACACACAGGTAACATCACCTGAGTGATCAACATACAGGTAACATCACCTGAGTGATCAACACACATCAAACATCATTATCACACACAGGTAACATCACCTGAGTGATCAACACACAGGTAACATCACCTGAGTGATCTACACACAGGTAACATCACCTGAGTGATCAACACGCAAGTAACATCATTATCACACACAGGTAACATCACCTGAGTGATCAACACACAGGTAACATCACCTGAGTGATCTACACACAGGTAACATCAGCTGCGTGATCTACACACAGGTAACATCACCTGAGTGATCAAGACACAGGTAACATCACCTGAGTGATCTACACACAGGTAACATCACCTGAGTGATCAACACACAGGTAACATTATCACACACAGGTAACATCACCTGAGTGATCTACACACAGGTAACATCACCTGAGTGATCAACACACAGGGAACACCACCTGAGTGATCTACACACAGGTAACATCACCCTAGTGATCAACACACAGGTAACATCACCTGAGTGATCAACACACAGGTAACATCACCTGAGTGATCAACACACAGGTAACATCACCTGAGTGATCTACACACAGGTAACATCACCTGAGTGATCAACACACATCAAACATCATTATCACACACAGGTAACATCACCTGAGTGATCAACACACATCAAACATCATTATCACACACAGGTAACATCACCTGAGTGATCAAGACACAGGTAACATCAGCTGAGTGATCTACACACAGGTAACATCAGCTGAGTGATCTACACACAGGTAACATCACGTGAGTGATCAACACACAGGTAACATCACCTGAGTGATCAACACACAGGTAACACCACCTGAGTGATCAACACACAGGTAACATCATTATCACACACAGGTAACATCAGCTGAGTGATCTACACACAGGTAACATCACGTGAGTGATCAACACACAGGTAACATCACCTGAGTGATCAACACACAGGTAACATCACCTGAGTGATCAACACACAGGTAACATTATCTGTATGATCTAAACATTGGCTTTTTAAAGCTACAGGTAAATAAAAAAAAGGTATCTTTCATTTTGAGCATTGATGATTTCATTAAAAAAAATTATGTTTATAAAGATGAATAAAAGCAAAGCGAAAAATTTAAAAATAAATAAATTGGAATGCTTAAAATTTGTATCAATGAAAATAGTGAATTGTAAACTTTGATAAAGCTTTGAGGAATCATTATGCAACATTATGTTTCAATCTTTTGGTCCAATCATTTGTTACAAATAACAAGAGGCATGAAATCTACTGGAGCTACAAAAAGACAGACGCAGCCATTCGACTCATCTGGAGGTAAAGTTTGTAAAAGTTGTCAAGCAGACAAAGTCTTCAAACAGCAAGACATTTGTCTTCTTGCCGCTGTCCTGCAGCTTGATGACAGCAGATGTCACCGTCACTGTCCGGCAGTGCACTGGTGACATGGGCCTGATGTCACTGTCAGCTGATCCAGCAGCCTGGTTAGAGATGAATGACAATATGCCATACTTTGTGGAGGGGTGTAGTTGTACTCTACAGGAAGCCTACTGGCCGTGTTTGATCAGGGAACCTGCAACAAGAACATTCTCTTCAGCAACATAACTCAATCAATTATATTGCACATTTGTTTTTCAAGTCAAAAATAACTTGTAAAAAAAAAATGTAACTAACCCTGTGGTGGCAAGAAAAACTCTGTCATGAAGTCCAGCTTCAAGTCCTCGGGCATGGTGAGGACATCCCGCTCTTTCATTGGACACAGGTCCTCTCTGTCCTGCTGAACATGGAGGACATTGAGTGCCAGATCCAAGGTGAAAGTGGAGTGATCATCCAAATAGTCATCCTCTCCGGCCAGCGAAGAGGTATTGGACTGTGGACTCAACTCCCCTTCCATATGGTCAAGTGGCAAGCTGCATGGGGACTCCATGAAGAAGGGTTTCTGATAGGACTGGGTGAACTGGTCATCAGAGGCCGAACTGTCCAGCAGTGAGCCGCTCATGTGCAGTGGTGACATGCCGTCATCAGAGAAATAGCTGAGCAGGTCCTGGAGGTTCTCCTGGGCTCCTGCAGGGGTCAGAGCTCTGGGCCTTCCTTCAGCAGCCGTCTGGAAGTCTGGGGTAGGAAGCAAGTACGACTCTGGCATGACTGCAGGCTCAAGATCCTGTTGGCCAGACAACATAGAGGGGACATGGACTGGGCTTGACCGCTCCTCTTTCAATGCTGCAAAGTTGGGTATGTTTTCTACAGCCAGCTCCAGGCACTCGCTCTTGATGTCACAAAGCTCTGGCATGTCCTGTGGCACAACTTCCATCTCTGGCAATGCTTTTGCTAATGGTGCTCTCAGTGTGTCGAAAAAGTTATCAATATCAATAGCATCAAAAACTGGAAGTTCCTTACTCTTCTTGGCTGCGTTCCCTGCAAGTTCCTTACTTTTTCTGGCCGTGTTCCCTGCTTGAGCACACAGCCTGATAGCTGGGGCTTTGGGTGGCAAGTTCTCCAGCGCTGCCAGTTTCTCCAGAGCTTGTAGGATGTTGACTCTCCCAGGGTCATCCCTGACCTCCAGCACCTCACTCTTCACATGGACATACGAAGGCTCAGGAGACGAAATAGGTGAGGGGTCAGGGGTGAGGTAGGAGTCAGGCAGGTTGACATCAGGGACCACCTGCTCAGAGAACCTGGACATCTTGGACATGAGGGGCGGGGAGTACCTGCTGCACTGCTTGGCTGTCATCACACCCACCCTGTAGTTGAGGGGCTGTAGGACCTGCATTGTCTGACCTTGGCATTCAGAATGGGCAGCAACCTGTCCAAAGTCTTCCAGCAGAGGAATGCCTGGCTGTGTACTGGAGTAGCTGGCTCCTCCTGGGTTGCCCTCCCAACTTGTCTTGGCCACCTTGCTGGGCTTACAAGAACCAGCTTGGCCCTGGATCTTTCTCTTGAGGATAGCCTTGAGCTGGTCTGACTGGACATTGGCCATCTCAGACTTGTTTAACCTGATGGGGGGGACCACTGGGTTGTACAGCCCATTGTAGGCTGCGGGGTGCCCAGAGATGTAGCTGGGAATGTTGCTGGGGTAGGGCATCATGGCAGGGGGCATCCAATGACCACTGCTGGCGTCTGAAGGGCTCACTGCGGACTGTTGGCCTCCCCACAGTTCATGGGGACGGTTTGGGAACACGGAGAACATATGGCCTTGAACTTTGATTTGGTAGGCTTCCTGGGCACTGTAACAATAGGCAAAGATTTGGATAAGTCTCAACATTTTTATCAGGCAAAGATTTGGATGTCTCAAGATTTTATCAGCAAGGATTGGTGTTAGGTCTTAACATTTTTATCATTTATTTTAAAATCTTTCCAGAAATAAACTGTACTTTTGGTGAAGTGTAGAAAAATTCTCAAGAGCCCATGTTCTGAGTGTGTGATCTACACACAGATATCTCAAGGTAAACTTACTCAATAACTTGATTGATGCACACTATCAAAGGGTCGTCATTCTGGGCAGCTGTGGCCTGTCTGACGTGCATGACAATGTTGACCCACAGCAGGCTGCCATCTGCCTTCAACATGCGGACAGTCATCATACAGCCCATCTCATGGTTAGAGCGAATTACTGGCAACACAAACAGGGAGAACACATCAACAAGAGGCTCACATTAAGTCACACGATAAAAAATGTTCAAACACCAGTTCAAATAGCAGTTAGACTTTTTTATATAAGAAAAAATTTTTGCTTACGTTGCAAATGTTTATCTTTTGCTTCATGGATGTCTTCTGGGTGCAACATGGCGTACCATGACTTGTTGCTCAGATCCTCACAACTGTAGCCTAGATGGTACTCAGCACTAAATAAACAAACACACGAGGTCAGCACTAAATAAACATAAGGGTAGGTCAGCTCAGACTTGCGTTTTAGTGATCTCAACAAACATTAGGGTAGGTCAGACTTACGTTTTAGTGATCTCAACAAACATTAGGGTAGGTCAGACTTACGTTTTAGTGATCTCAACAAACATTAGGGTAGGTCAGACTTACGTTTTAGTGATCTCAACAAACATTAGGGTAGGTCAGACTTACGTTTTAGTGATCTCAACAAACATTAGGGTAGGTCAGCTCAGACTTGCGTTTTAGTGATCTCAACAAACATTAGAGTAGGTCAGACTTACGTTTTAGTGATCTCAACAAACATTAGGGTAGGTCAGCTCAGACTTGCGTTTTAGTGATCTCAACAAACATTAGAGTAGGTCAGACTTACGTTTTAGTGATCTCAACAAACATTAGGGTAGGTCAGCTCAGACTTACGTTTTAGTGATCTCAACAAACATTACGGTAGGTCAGACTTACGTTTTAGTGATCTCAACAAACATTAGGGTAGGTCAGACTTACGTTTTAGTGATCTCAACAAACATTAGAGTAGGTCAGACTTACGTTTTAGTGATCTCAACAAACATTAGGGTAGGTCAGACTTACGTTTTAGTGATCTCAACAAACATTAGGGTAGGTCAGACTTACGTTTTAGTGATCTCAACAAAGGCCATATCCAGCTGGTGCACAGTTTTAAAGACCATTGTGTTGTTCTGGATGAGATTTTCTTTCAGGTCAGGGGTGATGAGGGGGGAGCAAGTGGCCATGAACACACTCTCAGCAGGACTCTCTGTGGCTGTGGTGCGAATAAAGTGACCACGCACATGCATCACCTGCAGAGTTCAAATTGTATTGGTGTTACAACTACTTGATCAAATTTTATTGGTGTCAACAAGTAGATCAAATTTTATTGGTGTCAATTACTAAATCAAAGTAAATGCTTATTTTATAATTTGTGACCTCATTGTGAAGTTGGCTCAGCTTGAATGACTGACAGAGTGACTGGCTGAATGACTGACACTAGCTGACAATGAGGACAGTAGACTGACATGTATGAGTTATTGAATGTACATTATGGTACAGGCAATGACATGTATGATCTTCAGTAGAGTAGCTCCCCTTTAAACTGGCAGGTAGAAAATTGTCTCCCCTAGGCTGGGAGGCTAAGGGTGACAGGTCATTATTTAGACCTGCTGCCCGGGGCACTGTTTTCTTTTGTAGGTCATAAATTAAAACCAATAGTTCATTTGCATATGAGCTTGTGTGAAAGGCTGTTGTACAGGTGTTACAAGTCCAGGTAGTGTGTTGGTGTAACAAGGAGGGCACCAAGCAAACATTTCCTGTTGTTGAACTAGTTAGCTGAGCTCTGTCTGTTGTTTTAAGAACCATCTTACTATAGTTAGACTTGTGTAACCAGATCAAGACAAAAACACACTTAATGGGCTATGACAACCACTCTAATAATTAAAGCTAGCGGACCTTAATCAGACTAATTGACTGGCATGATGACTAGCTTGATGCATCTATTTGAGTGTCCCACTAGGACATGTCCCACTAGGACATGCCATTAAAGACATCATGAAATCCAAGAGTTGTCATATCATAGCAGTAATTAACTTGGACAGCAGCAATGCATAATTAGAATTAAACAAATATTTATTTCTGAGCCAAGGTATTTTCAAGTTACATTTGGGGCTTTCTAATTTAATAAAACAAGCGGCTTTAGTGTTTTAATTACTAAAATAGAACTGTTATTAATTATTAAAATAAAACTTTTATGATTTGTCGTCAACATTTTTTTAAAAATGACGCTGACATATAGGCTTAGGTGATACCTGCAGCAGTAAAGATGTACTTCACCACATGACTTTACATGTGATGCTGCAGACAAGGAAGTGGCCAGACATACAAGGACAGGAAGTGGCCAGACATACAAGGACAGGAAGTGGCCAGACATACAAGGACAGGAAGTGGCCAGACATACAAGGACAGGAAGTGGCCAGACATACAAGGACAGGAAGTGGCCAGACATACAAGGACAGGAAGTGGCCAGACATACAAGGACAGGAAGTGGCCAGACATACAAGGACAGGAAGTGGCCAGACATACAAGGACAGGAAGTGGCCAGACATACAAGGACAGGAAGTGGCCAGACATACAAGGACAGGAAGTGGCCAGACATACAAGGACAGGAAGTGGCCAGACATACAAGGACAGGAAGTGGCCAGACATACAAGGACAGGAAGTGGCCAGACATACAAGGACAGGAAGTGGCCAGACATACAAGGACAGGAAGTGGCCAGACATACAAGGACAGGAAGTGGCCAGACATACAAGGACAGGAAGTGGCCAGACATACAAGGACAGGAAGTGGCCAGACATACAAGGACAGGAAGTGGCCAGACATACAAGGACAGGAAGTGGCCAGACATACAAGGACAGGAAGTGGCCAGACATACAAGGACAGGAAGTGGCCAGACATACAAGGACAGGAAGTGGCCAGACATACAAGGACAGGAAGTGGCCAGACATACAAGGACAGGAAGTGGCCAGACATACAAGGACAGGAAGTGGCCAGACATACAAGGACAGGAAGTGGCCAGACATATAAGGACAGGAAGTGGCCAGACATACAAAGACAGGAAGTGGCCAGACATACAAGGGCAGGAAGTGGCCAGACATACAAGGCAGGAAGTGGCCAGACATACAAGGACAGGAAGTGGCCAGACTTACAAGGACAGGAAGTGGCCAGACATACAAAGACAGGAAGTGGCCAGACATACAAGGACAGGAAGTGGCCAGACATATAAGGACAGGAAGTGGCCAGACATACAAAGACAGGAAGTGGCCAGACATACAAGGGCAGGAAGTGGCCAGACATACAAGGCAGGAAGTGGCCAGACATACAAGGACAGGAAGTGGCCAGACATACAAGGACAGGAAGTGGCCAGACATACAAAGACAGGAAGTGGCCAGACATACAAGGACAGGAAGTGGCCAGACATACAAGGACAGGAAGTGGCCAGACATACAAGGACAGGAAGTGGCCAGACATACAAGGACAGGAAGTGGCCAGACATACAAGGACAGGAAGTGGCCAGACATACAAGGACAGGAAGTGGCCAGACATACAAGGACAGGAAGTGGCCAGACATACAAGGACAGGAAGTGGCCAGACATACAAGGACAGGAAGTGGCCAGACATACAAGGACAGGAAGTGGCCAGACATACAAGGACAGGAAGTGGCCAGACATACAAGGACAGGAAGTGGCCAGACATACAAGGACAGGAAGTGGCCAGACATACAAGGACAGGAAGTGGCCAGACATACAAGGACAGGAAGTGGCCAGACATACAAGGACAGGAAGTGGCCAGACATACAAGGACAGGAAGTGGCCAGACATACAAGGACAGGAAGTGGCCAGACATACAAGGACAGGAAGTGGCCAGACATACAAGGACAGGAAGTGGCCAGACATACAAGGACAGGAAGTGGCCAGACATACAAGGACAGGAAGTGGCCAGACATACAAGGACAGGAAGTGGCCAGACATACAAGGACAGGAAGTGGCCAGACATACAAGGACAGGAAGTGGCCAGACATACAAGGACAGGAAGTGGCCAGACATACAAGGACAGGAAGTGGCCAGACATACAAGGACAGGAAGTGGCCAGACATACAAGGACAGGAAGTGGCCAGACATACAAGGACAGGAAGTGGCCAGACATACAAGGACAGGAAGTGGCCAGACATACAAGGACAGGAAGTGGCCAGACATACAAGGACAGGAAGTGGCCAGACATACAAGGACAGGAAGTGGCCAGACATACAAGGACAGGAAGTGGCCAGACATACAAGGACAGGAAGTGGCCAGACATACAAGGACAGGAAGTGGCCAGACATACAAGGACAGGAAGTGGCCAGACATACAAGGACAGGAAGTGGCCAGACATACAAGGACAGGAAGTGGCCAGACATACAAGGGCAGGAAGTGGCCAGACATATAAGGACAGGAAGTGGCCAGACATACAAAGACAGGAAGTGGCCAGACATACAAGGGCAGGAAGTGGCCAGACATACAAGGCAGGAAGTGGCCAGACATACAAGGACAGGAAGTGGCCAGACATACAAGGACAGGAAGTGGCCAGACATACAAAGACAGGAAGTGGCCAGACATACAAGGACAGGAAGTGGCCAGACATATAAGGACAGGAAGTGGCCAGACATACAAAGACAGGAAGTGGCCAGACATACAAGGGCAGGAAGTGGCCAGACATACAAGGCAGGAAGTGGCCAGACATACAAGGACAGGAAGTGGCCAGACATACAAGGACAGGAAGTGGCCAGACATACAAAGACAGGAAGTGGCCAGACATACAAGGACAGGAAGTGGCCAGACATACAAGGACAGGAAGTGGCCAGACATACAAGGACAGGAAGTGGCCAGACATACAAGGACAGGAAGTGGCCAGACATACAAGGACAGGAAGTGGCCAGACATACAAGGACAGGAAGTGGCCAGACATACAAGGACAGGAAGTGGCCAGACATACAAGGACAGGAAGTGGCCAGACATACAAGGACAGGAAGTGGCCAGACATACAAGGACAGGAAGTGGCCAGACATACAAGGACAGGAAGTGGCCAGACATACAAGGACAGGAAGTGGCCAGACATACAAGGACAGGAAGTGGCCAGACATACAAGGACAGGAAGTGGCCAGACATACAAGGACAGGAAGTGGCCAGACATACAAGGACAGGAAGTGGCCAGACATACAAGGACAGGAAGTGGCCAGACATACAAGGACAGGAAGTGGCCAGACATACAAGGACAGGAAGTGGCCAGACATACAAGGACAGGAAGTGGCCAGACATACAAGGACAGGAAGTGGCCAGACATACAAGGACAGGAAGTGGCCAGACATACAAGGACAGGAAGTGGCCAGACATATAAGGACAGGAAGTGGCCAGACATACAAAGACAGGAAGTGGCCAGACATACAAGGGCAGGAAGTGGCCAGACATACAAGGCAGGAAGTGGCCAGACATACAAGGACAGGAAGTGGCCAGACATACAAGGACAGGAAGTGGCCAGACATACAAAGACAGGAAGTGGCCAGACATACAAGGACAGGAAGTGGCCAGACATACAAGGACAGGAAGTGGCCAGACATACAAGGACAGGAAGTGGCCAGACATACAAGGACAGGAAGTGGCCAGACATACAAAGACAGGAAGTGGCCAGACATACAAGAACAGGAAGTGGCCAGACATACAAAGACAGGAAGTGGCCAGACATACAAAGACAGGGAGTGGCCAGACATACAAGGACAGGAAGTGGCCAGACATACAAGGACAGGAGGTCAGACATACAAGGACAGGAAGTGGCCAGACATACAAGGACAGGAAGTGGCCAGACATACAAGGACAGGAAGTGGCCAGACATACAAGGACAGGAAGTGGCCAGACATACAAGGACAGGAAGTGGCCAGACATACAAGGACAGGAAGTGGCCAGACATACAAGGACAGGAAGTGGTCAGACATACAAGGACAGGAAGTGGCCAGACATACAAGGACAGGAAGTGGCCAGACATACAAGGACAGGAAGTGGCCAGACATACAAGGACAGGAAGTGGCCAGACATACAAGGACAGGAAGTGGCCAGACATACAAGGACAGGAAGTGGCCAGACATACAAGGACAGGAAGTGGTCAGACATACAAGGACAGGAAGTGGCCAGACATACAGGAAGTGGCCAGACATACCTTCACATCCCCAAAACCAGACTGGCGCTTCAACGTCCTGGACATGTTCATCCTACAAAAGAAGGTCACATCTGAGGCAGAATCCTCGTCCAAGGAACTTCCCTGGAACAGCTGTGCCCGCACAGCGCCATGGTCCCTCTTGTCAACAATATCAAACAGACTGTCCCCCTGTGTTTTCATGTCCACCTGCAGGAAACAATGGGAGCAACTTCTCAGTAATATTCTTACAACTTTTACATTTTTTGGAACATGTCCTGTATGTGAAACATGTTCTCTGAGTACTGCAGATGTTCTGCAAAAAGTTTTTGACTTACCATGGAGTGACCCAGAAAGTCTGTGACATTTTCAGATATGTACAAAAGTTTTCCCTCCCTGGTGGTGACCAGAAGAAAGCCAGTCAAAGCCTGTTGGAAGGAAAATGTTGATACTCAGCTCAACTAGATTAGTTCGGATACTCTACTCAGCTCAACTAAAACAATGTACACCATTTCATTTGAATGGGGTTAGTACATTGGCTCCAGGTCAAAAAACCTCAAGACATAAACCCCTGGATGAAAAACCCCGACGGAGGTTTATATAAATATAAAGAGTCAAAGTTTATGTTTGTAGTACAGGGGTCTGACATAAAACAGATCTATCACCTTCTACATGTGTGTCTATAGGTTAAGATTTGCACTGTTACATTTCTCAGGACAGTAATCTCCCTCAACTTTCTTAGCTCAGTTGCATCAAGTCCTTCAACAATTTACTTAACGCTCGTAAGTCAACTGTTTTATGTGCAGCAAGAGATGTTGTTTTCCATTTGGTGATTTTAAACAGGCCAACAATCTCTTTTGGTCACTTAAACTGTGATTTTAAACAGGCCAACAATCTCTTTTGGTCACTTAAACTGTGATTTTAAACAGGCCAACAATCTCTTTTGGTCACTTAAACTGTGATTTTAAACAGGCCAACAATCTCTTTTGGTCACTTAAACTGTGATTTTAAACAGGCCAACAATCTCTTTTGGTCACTTAAACTGTGATTTTAAACTGGCCAACAATCTCTTTTGGTCACTTTAATCATAATTACAATAACTTGGGTTTATCACAGTCTGTATACAACCGCATGCTTCCCCCATGATCCATTTATATAAAGGCCTCATTTATTGTGCACTCAATCACAGACACACACACACACACACATATATATATATATATATATATATATATATATATATATATATATATATATATATATATATATATATATATATATTTATTTATATCAATATATATAGTGTTAGTCTGATAACAAGAGATTGTATAACATTAACAATAGCACAATAGCAATAGCTGATTATAGTATTAAAGTGTATCTAGGCCTTGTAACAAAGGTTTTTTTGTAAACTGAAGAGATTCATTGTGTTAGACAATAAGTATGATAATGATCTGTAGATTTTAAGACAGAAAATCCTGTACTTGTGAACAAGAGCCCCCACATGGCCAGGGAACATTCCGTCATACAGCTATCAAATCAAACAACAGCTATCCACTGTGATGATCCAAACATAGAAACAAAATTTTTCAAGTGTGACTCAAGAGGTTTATTTGACATGACGTCAGAGTGACGTCTGCAAGTACAATCCAGTCCAACAAAAACAACAATCACCCCCTACAGCTGTAAAAACACATCTAACTGGTGCAGACCTGACCTTATATTCACTTGTTAATTAAATGTGCTGTAATTAACTTGTGTAATTAAATGTGCTGTAATTAACTTGTGTAATTAAATGTGCTGTAATTAACTTGTGTAATTAAATGTGCTGGTAATTGACTTGTGTAATTAAATGTGCTGAAATTAACTTGTGTAATTAAATGTGCTGTAATTAACTTGTGTAATTAAATGTGCTGGTAATTGACTTGTGTAATTAAATGTGCTGGTAATTGACTTGTGTAATTAAATGTGCTGTAAATAATTAACCTGTGTAATTAAATGTGCTGTAATTGACTTGTGTAATTAAATGTGCTGTAATTGACATTGTCATGACTTGCTAGTGTTGATACTTGTCATGACTTGCTAGTGTTGATACTTGTCATGACTTGTTAGAGTTGATACTTGTCATGACTTGCTAGTGTTGATAGTTGTCATACGTTGCTAGTGTTGATAAGACGCCAGCATGGTGAAATACAGCACAATTTACAAGGGTTAAGTTAAACAGCCAGAAGTTCTAGAACAATCCATACTCAGGTCACGTGAATTAATCCCATGAATACCCGGATGTTGAAGCCCGTACCATTCTACTAATCATTATCCACCACTTATAACCAGTGACTAAATGCCAGTAGAAACCAAAGACCCCCCCCCCCCCCCCCCACAGGTGTAGCAGTGAACAAATGTCACCATTAGCAGTGCCGGGTCCTGCAATTATTGCATAACCGTCCTACTTTTTCTCGATATCTCGTCACAAGTGAAAAGGTCAGGTGACGTCACCCGGGTTATCACCGTCATTCGGGCTGGTGTTGATTTGAAGACGTCAACAGACTGCTTTCATAGTCTACTTTCTTTCACAGTCTGGTATTGTTACTTCCTTTCATAGTCACAGTCTGGTATTGCTACTTTCTTTCTTAGTCACAGTGTGTATTGCTACTTTCTTTCATAGTCACAGTCTGGTTTTGCTACTTTCTTTCTTAGTCACAGTGTGTATTGCTACTTTCTTTCATAGTCACAGTCTGGTTTTGCTACTTTCTTTCTTAGTCACAGTGTGTATTGCTACTTTCTACTATCAGATAGGCCTACTGTATGTTGGTTCCTTTCTTTAATTCCTAAAACACCTGCATTAAGTTTTGAAGGATATCTACAATTAGTCCCGAAGGACTAATTCTCTAATTTTTAAAAACATCTCCAATCTCTAGTCCTGAAGGACATCTAGCCTTGAAGGACACCACAGGTCCTCTAGATATCCGGGAGTTGGAATGTAAAAAAACAAGCTGTTTTTACACCTCGAGCCCTGCCTGAATAATTAACTCCGCAGTCTGACTATTTTTAGCCCTATGATGTAAGACTAAATTACTGCCAGAGCGAGGCTAACACGGGTCTGGTCCTCATTTGAATACCTGTCACCTGACTGTCACCTCACACACCTGGTGACGTCAATGCTATTTTGTTGGGCCTGTGTCTAGCACAATGAGGGGTCTGGTGTCTCCCAGCAGCGTGTGTTGTGGCAGGAGCCCGCCATTTCGCAACAGCAGGCGTGTTGGAGCGCTGATAGCCGCAACGCTTCTCGTTGGGAAAATCTTTAACCCAGTTCTGCCTGCCCGTGTTTTCTAGATAATTATTTTTATCTATTTCCCATTGCCGGGCTAATGCTAGGCAATCACCGCTAGGGCTGGGGGAGGGGGGGGGGTTGGATCAATGGCTACAACAACACAGCGAAGCAGGCTGGCGGACTATTGACAAACACCCATACGTAAGACCAATGAATACACAATACTGGAATATCGACTTGTTTGTTAGAGTAAAATTATGTACGATACTAAAGGTCAAGGACAGCTTGGGGTTACCGCGCGGAAGGGCGTGGCCGGAGGTAGTAGTCTAAGAAAGCCCCGCACTGCTCATGCGCACATTTAAATATCACGTGACAAACGCGTAGGCTGATAGATCTTTAGGCTACAGAACATTAGTAAGGTTATCTTACGTCTTGACTTAACGAGCACCTACCGAGTAAGAAAACCACACGTTACAAATTACCTTTTTAATCAAGTAGGTCTAGCCTACTTTCTTAAAACACTTAGGGCTACTTGATTTTATAACAGATTTAGAGCCACAAACGTAATCTTAATTCCTTAAACTCAAACGTACAAGTCACCTGAATTCAGCCATACAAGTCACCTAACTTCAACCATACAACAAGTCATGTAACTTATGCCATACAACAAGTCCCCTGAATTCAACCATAAAGTCACCTAACTTCAGCCATACAACAAGTCACCTAACTTCAACCATACAACAAGTCATGTAACTTATGCCATACAACAAGTCACCTGTATTCAACCATAAAGTCACCTAACTTCAGCCATACAACAAGTCACCTAACTTCAGCTATACAACAAATCACCTAACTTCAACCATACAACAAGTCACCTAACATGAGCCATACAACAAGTCACCTAACATGAGCCATACAACAAGTCACCTAACATGAGCCATACAACAAGTCACCTAACATGAGCCATACAACAAGTCACCTAACATGAGCCATACAACAAGTCACCTAACATGAGCCATACAACAAGTCACCTAACCTAAATCCCCAGCACCTTGTATCACATGACTCAGACAAGACTCAGCAATCACAAGTGTATGAGGCAGTGACACGGAAACTATCCGTGCTTTAATTCACAGTGTCAAAAGGTAGGACGGCTAGAGGAAGATTAGAAAAGTTGAAGGTAGGACAAAACTGTCAAGCCTATAAAATTATCACAGTACGACAAATTTGTAAACTAGTTGAAAATAGTTTTAGGTAAGGATTTGTGGATATGTGGGTAGGTGGATGATGAAGTGGGATCAAATTGGGCTGTCCTTACTCCTACAATTCTTGAATACAAAGGCAGAGTGTGTGTGTGGTGGAGTGGGGGGGGGGGTAAGCAAATACAAACTGACCTGGAAAAAGTCCAATGACTCTGGCAAATGAAAAGGTTCTTGAGATTTGGATCGAAAGACTGAAAGAAAAAAAAACCTGATTAGATGAGAAAATCTTGGTCAGACATGTGATGTGTGGGGTGGAGGTTAATGTTGCGTGGCGTTATAAGGCCATGAATGGTGTTGATTGAAGGACCATTAAATGGCAGGGAAAATCAGATGTTTGAGCTGCTTTAGAAGAGTATATGTGGCATATGATGACATGACAGATGACATGTAAAAGGACTCTCTGACTCACGTTTGTGTAAGACGTTACATTTCCTAATGTACACGCAGGTGAGCGACATGATCTGGAGCTGAGACAGCCGTTGTCTTGACGACTCTGGCAGGGGAAGTAAGTCTCGCATGGTGGCTATCTCAGCATTTATTTGATCCCGGCGCTGCTTAGATGCCCCTTTGTTAGATCTGAGGAGAAAAAACGCCACATACCTGACCACAAGCTGACGATAGCCTAGCTACAAACGACGCCACATACCTGACCACAAGCTGACGATAGCCTAGCTACAAGAAAAACATCGCTACATGCCTAGCTATGTGACCTAAAGGCTAAACTACATTGACCTGACAGGCCTACTTCTATGATACTGAGAGGCCTAGCTCTATGACCCTGAGAGGCCTAGCTCTATGACCCTGAGAGGCCTAGCCACCAGCCTAAAAGCGCCGACTGGAGCCAGTATTTACTAACAAACTTGCTGCGATAAGGCCAACCACCTGCACTGTTCACAGCGTCACTCGTGCCGCGGCCAGAAATTAATTAGTAGCCGATAGATTAGAGGTGTGTTACAGGTCAAGCTCCAGGCAAATTGGGTAACTGGTGTGTCAAAGATGCGAGCCTATGCTTCCATTACACGCTAAACTTAACACCATAAGCCCACGCATGTTTTCATAAGATGGCATCTCCACGGTGCCTGGAGCCAGGGAAGACGACGTAGTGCTATTAGCGTACAATGCTAGCAGCGCTTGACGGCGAATAGTTGCAATAATTGCAGGTGTAACCGCGCGACACTGCACGCATCGCTCGGGTCTGTTCCCGTCTAGATCAGACTGCGGTTGTGTCGAAATGACCAAGTCACGGTCTAAGACAAACTTGCAGGCCTATAATTGATCAGCTGAGAATGGCATTACAAATGTCAGTAGCTGCTGGAACAGCCACAGTTGTCATGGCTGAAAGCTCGTGTAGATACATGACGTCATCGTCACGTCACTTCGACTGGAGGGGGGGGGGGGATAGAGTAGGCCGACAGACGAGCACGAAATAAGTCTAACAACATGACACTACCACATAGGGCTACGATCATCACACTACCACATAGGGCTACCATCATCACACTACCAGATAGGGCTACAATCATCACACTACCAGATAGGGCTACCATCATCACACTACCACATAGGGCTACAATCATCACACTACCACATAGGGCTACAATCATCACACTACCAGATAGGGCTACAATCATCACACTACCACATAGGGCTACCATCATCACACTACCACATAGGGCTACAATCATCACACTACCACATAGGGCTCCAATCATCACACTACCACATAGGGCTACAATCATCACACTACCAGATAGGGCTACAATCATCACACTACCAGATAGGGCTAACATCATCACACTACCAGATAGGGCTACAATCATCACACTACCACATAGGGCTACAATCATCACACTACCAGATAGGGCTAACATCATCACACTACCATATCGGGCTACAATCATCACACTACCAGATAGGGCTACAATCATCACAATACCACATAGGGCTACACTCATCACACTACCACATAGGGCTACAATCATCACACTACCAGATAGGGCTACAATCATCACACTACCACATAGGGCTACAATCATCACACTACCAGATAGGGCTAACATCATCACACTACCATATCGGGCTACAATCATCACACTACCAGATAGGGCTACAATCATCACACTACCACATAGGGCTACACTCATCACACTACCACATAGGGCTACAATCATCACACTACCAGATAGGGCTACAATCATCACACTACCACATAGGGCTACAATCATCACACTACCAGATAGGGCTAACATCATCACACTACCATATCGGGCTACAATCATCACACTACCAGATAGGGCTACAATCATCACACTACCACATAGGGCTACACTCATCACACTACCACATAGGGCTACAATCATCACACTACCAGATAGGGCTACAATCATCACACTACCACATAGGGCTACAATCATCACACTACCAGATAGGGCTAACATCATCACACTACCATATCGGGCTACAATCATCACACTACCAGATAGAGCTACAATCATCACACTACCACATAGGGCTACACTCATCACACTACCACATAGGGCTACAATCATCACACTACCAGATAGGGCTACAATCATCACACTACCACATAGGGCTACAATCATCACACTACCAGATAGGGCTAACATCATCACACTACCATATCGGGCTACAATCATCACACTACCAGATAGGGCTACAATCATCACACTACCAGATAGGGCTAACATCATCACACTACAAGATAGGGCTAACATCATCACACTACAAGATAGGGCTAACATCATCACACTACCACACAGGGCTAACACTACAAGATAGGGCTAACACCAAATACCCTCCCATCATGTAAGCATGTATACTTACAGACTTACGCACGCCCCCCCCCCTACCAACATAAAAGCTTAACAAACGGACGTATCCCTGAACTTGAATGAACTGCTAGTTCGTGTGCTGACTGACCCGGGGCAGTTTACGACTTAATTGCCCTACGTTAATTACAAATGTAGGCATCTAACAGGGGAGAGGAAAACTGCGCAAGGGCATTTTTTTGTTTTCTTAAATCAGAGCCTTTATAGAGATTAACAAAGAATGAGCACGAACATATTTTTTTTTGTTTTCTTAAATCAGAGCCTTTATAGAGATTAACAAAGAATGAGCACGAACATATTTTTTTTTTGTTTTCTTAAATCAGAGCCTTTATAGAGATTAACAAAGAATGAGCACGAACATATTTTTTTTTGTTTTCTTAAATCAGAGCCTTTATAGAGATTAACAAAGAATGAGCACGAACATATTTTTTTTGTTTTCTTAAATCAGAGCCTTTATAGAGATTAACAAAGAATGAGCACGAACATTGTAGCATGGTAAAACACTTTTCCAACAAATATGACAAAATGAAGTGTACGAGCTGACCCGCGGCGTATCATACGCTGCAATTTAGACGTTTTATTTTCTACTTTTCAGTACTTCATAGTTAGTGAATTTGACTCTCCCATTCCCCCCCCCCCCCCCCCCCCCCCCCCGCGAAAGCAGCTGTCCGTGACAACAATGAAAAGATCAAGCAGAACTTCGTACCTCTCCTGTGTTTCAAATAGCTTAAAAGCTAACTTATCTGCCCCTAACAGCCGTTACTAATTCGACCCGGCTCTACGATTATGAACATTCGGGGTGCACCTTAGCTCACCAGAATTGTTGTGGTGGGGTGGTAGCTATATGCCTAGAGAGCGAGAGAGTAACGGCGTGCGTTTACGTGGTGGTGTCTCGCATGGTCCCTACGATGAGAATTATATATATATAGATAGATGAGTATAGTATAATTAGTGGTGAAATAATGGCCCGAACACACACCGTGGTGAATTTTGTTGGCCGTAATATAACAGTATCTTCCACTAGGAAGATAAATGTTCTAACGGGAATTCCGCCAATGACTAAATTTGAACTTCTCAATTGGAGGAGGACAAGCCCGGAGTGATATGAAACCTATGAGAAACTAATTAGTTCTTTGACCAAGTAGGGTATTCGGTCCTCATCTGAGCTAATTACATGCAGTGTCTACAGGTGAGGATAGTAGGCACTAAGTTGTGCCACAAGAGATGAAACAGTTTGAGAACCTTTAACAAACCCACCCTGACTATATCCTGTTATTTTAGACTTGAATAAATCCCAAGTTCTATTTTCGTACCGGCAATCAAGGATCTTTAGATGACGTCACTTAAATCCACAGACTCGTGGGTAACAGAACAATTTCAAGCGACGAATTTTTCGCACACATTTAAATTCACGGAGATAGATCTAGAATATATTAATTATTTTTCATTTGAGCTATTGGTTTACTTGTAACTTTAAGTTTGGTGAATGGTAGTCTAAAATAATCTACATACGGACAGAAGGACAAATGTAGATTCTAGGTAGATCTAGATTCTAGATGTCTAGATCTAGTTCTAGATCTATGAGTCTAAACAATCATCCATTATTTTTTTCGAAGTCACAGTGACATAACAATTCATAACATTATATCATTATAGAATCTACATCTAGATCTATAATCAGATCTGATCTAGATCTCTAGATCTAGATTTTTAGAATCTAAAAAAAGTAGATCTTGATCTAGATTCTAGACTAGGATTTTAAATCTAGAGATCTAGATTATTAGATCTACAATAATATACATCACATCTTAATCTAGACGAGATCTAATCTAGATCTAGATATAGATCTAGACAGAGGCGTAGCGACCCCTCCCGGCGCCCGGGGACAAACTTTCGATTTGCACCCCCCCTCGAACTTTTCATTTACACCCCCCTCCCCCTCGAACTTTTCATTTGCACCCCCCCCCTCAAACTTTCGATTTGCACCCCCATCGAACTTTTTATTTGCACCCCCCCCCTCAAACTTTCAATTTGGCGCCCCCCTAAGGTCGGCGCCCGGGGACATAGATCTATGTCCCCCCCCCCCCCCCCCCGCTACGCCTCTGGATCTGATCTAGAAATCTAGATAGATCTAGATCTCTATATTAGATTCTCTAGATCTGTATCTAGATTCTAGATCTAGATCTAGAGGCTAGATCTAGATAGACCTACATATCTAGAGAATCTAGATCTAGATTATATTATAAGTAGATCTATAAGCAATATAGAAATCTAGAAATTAATCTAGATTTCTAGATCTAGATAAGTCTAGATCTAATAATTATAAGGCCTAAGGCAGCCGAAGGATTATCAGGAATATTTATTTTAACAGTTCAAAATCAGACGATTAGATCTAGAAATCTAGATCTGAATTTGATTGGCCCTACCGTTACAAACACTACCGTTAGGCCAGCTTGTTAGGCCTACTTTACTTAAACTTTAGATGACTAAGACAAAAGGCCGACCATTGGTTATTGAATAGATTATGCAATCAATGGAAGTTTTATCAAGACGACTTACCTGTCGAAATCCAGCAGAGCTAGTTCGTCAACAGGTGACATTTTAAAACATTAGTTTCCGATTCGAAAGGGTTAAAAAATAAATGATTGAAGTATAGGGGTTGGTAACTTGGTAAATAAAAAAATGTAAACACCAAGTAACTTTTAGGACAAGACGGTCCAGCCGCCTTGTATCGCCTGCGACAAATCCTAAGTGATGTCACTTGTCCCCGCTATATAAAGCTCGCGATTCTATGGGCGTGCAGTCACGTGACTCAACGATTGGCTGAGAATGATTCCCGTCAGCCATATTGCTTTTTTGCATAAATAAACTGTCACACACCAGGCCTCATCTAAATGTGTAGTGGGAGCTGGGCTTAATCACAGGATAACCCAGTAGAGTAGAACACTAGATAGTAGAGTATATCAAAACAGGGGGTGGTGGAGTATATCTAAACAGGGGGTAGTGGAGTAGATTCTACATCTAAACAAGAGGTAGTAGAGTAATCTAGTTATTCTAGTAGACCTTATCGATGGCCTAGTCTAGTGGCGGACCGCTGGGTGAACAAGATGGGTCCACAGTTACCTACCAACTGGTCAAGCATACCCCACAAAATGGGTCATGTTGACAGTTTATAGACAAGATGAGTTGAGGGCCATGTTGATAGTGTATAGACAAAATAAAGTAAGAGTTATGGGCCATGTTGAAAGTGTGTATTGAATTGACAAGACGAGGTACGAAATTGATATCGTCCCATTCAAACGTTACATCGAGGATTATACTTAAAAGATGCTACTGTCTGGGTTACCTGATCCCATTGTTGGCCTGTTGTCATCACTGCCTGCCTGACTGTTGTCATCACTGCCTGACTGACTGTTGTCATCACTGCCTGCCTGACTGTTGTCATCACTGCCTGACTGACTGTTGTCATCACTGCCTGCCTGACTGTTGTCATCACTGCCTGACTGACTGTTGTCATCACTGCCTGCCTGACTGTTGTCATCACTGCCTGACTGACTGTTGTCATCACTGCCTGACTGTTGTCATCACTGCCTGACTGACTGTTGTCATCACTGCCTGCCTGACTGTTGTCATCACTGCCTGCCTGACTGTTGTCATCACTGCCTGACTGACTGTTGTCATCACTGCCTGCCTGACTGTTGTCATCACTGCCTGACTGACTGTTGTCATCACTGCCTGACTGACTGTTGTCATCACTGCCTGCCTGACTGTTGTCATCACTGCCTGACTGACTGTTGTCATCACTGCCTGACTGACTGTTGTCATCACTGCCTGACTGTTGTCATCACTGCCTGCCTGACTGTTGTCATCACTGCCTGCCTGACTGTTGTCATCACTGCCTGCCTGACTGTTGTCATCACTGCCTGACTGACTGTTGTCATCACTGCCTGCCTGACTGTTGTCATCACTGCCTGACTGACTGTTGTCATCACTGCCTGCCTGACTGTTGTCATCACTGCCTGACTGACTGTTGTCATCACTGCCTGACTGACTGTTGTCATCACTGCCTGACTGTTGTCATCACTGCCTGCCTGACTGTTGTCATCACTGCCTGCCTGACTGTTGTCATCACTGCCTGCCTGACTGTTGTCATCACTGCCTGGCTGACTGTTGTCATCACTGCCTGCCTGACTGTTGTCATCACTGCTACTGTCTGGGCTACCTGATCCCATTGTTGTCCTGACTGTTGTCATCACTGCTTGCCTGACTGTTGTCATCACTGCCTGACTGTTGTCATCACTGCCTGACTGACTGTTGTCATCACTGCCTGCCTGACTGTTGTCATCACTGCCTGCCTGACTGTTGTCATCACTGCCTGACTGACTGTTGTCATCACTGCCTGCCTGACTGTTGTCATCACTGCCTGCCTGACTGTTGTCATCACTGCCTGCCTGACTGTTGTCATCACTGCCTGCCTGACTGTTGTCATCACTGCCTGACTGTTGTCATCACTGCCTGCCTGACTGTTGTCATCACTTCCTGCCTGACTGTTGTCATCACTGCCTGCCTGACTGTTGTCATCACTGCCTGACTGACTGTTGTCATCACTGCCTGACTGTTGTCATCACTGCCTGACTGTTGTCATCACTTCCTGCCTGACTGTTGTCATCACTTCCTGCCTGACTGTTGTCATCACTGCCTGCCTGACTGTTGTCATCACTGCCTGCCTGACTGTTGTCATCACTGCCTGACTGACTGTTGTCATCACTGCCTGACTGTTGTCATCACTTCCTGCCTGACTGTTGTCATCACTGCCTGCCTGACTGTTGTCATCACTGCCTGCCTGACTGTTGTCATCACTGCTACTGTCTGGCTACCTGATCCAATTGTTGGCCTGACATTTGTCATCACTGCCTGCCTGACTTTTGTCATCACTGCCTGACTGACTGTTGTCATCGCTGCCTGACTGTTGTCATCACTGCCTGCCTGACTTTTGTCATCACTGCCTGCCTGACTTTTGTCATCACTGCCTGACTGACTGTTGTCATCGCTGCCTGACTGTTGTCATCACTGCCTGCCTGACTTTTGTCATCACTGCCTGCCTGACTGTTGTCATCGCTGCCTGACTGTTGTCATCACTGCCTGACTGACTTTTGTCATCACTGCCTGCCTGACTTTTGTCATCACTGCCTGCCTGACTGTTGTCATCACTGCCTGACTGTTGTCATCACTGCCTGCCTGACTGTTGTCATCACTGCCTGACTGTTGTCATCACTGCCTGCCTGACTTTTGTCATCACTGCCTGCCTGACGGTTGTCATCACTGCCTGACTGTTGTCATCACTGCCTGCCTGACTGTTGTCATCACTGCCTGACTGTTGTCATCACTGCCTGCCTGACTGTTGTCATCACTGCCTGACTGACTTTTGTCATCACTGCCTGACTGACTGTTGTCATCACTGCCTGACTGACTGTTGTCATCACTGCCTGCCTGACTTTTGTCATCACTGCCTGACTGACTGTTGTCATCACTGCCTGACTGACTGTTGTCATCACTGCCTGACTGTTGTCATCACTGCCTGCCTGACTGTTGTCATCACTGCCTGACTGTTGTCATCACTGCCTGCCTGACTTTTGTCATCACTGCCTGCCTGACTTTTGTCATCACTGCCTGACTGACTGTTGTCATCGCTGCCTGACTGTTGTCATCACTGCCTGCCTGACTTTTGTCATCACTGCCTGCCTGACTGTTGTCATCGCTGCCTGACTGTTGTCATCACTGCCTGCCTGACTTTTGTCATCACTGCCTGCCTGACTTTTGTCATCACTGCCTGACTGACTGTTGTCATCACTGCCTGACTGTTGTCATCGCTGCCTGACTGTTGTCATCACTGCCTGACTGACTGTTGTCATCACTGCCTGCCTGACTTTTGTCATCACTGCCTGACTGACTGTTGTCATCACTGCCTGACTGACTGTTGTCATCACTGCCTGACTGTTGTCATCACTGCCTGCCTGACTGTTGTCATCACTGCCTGACTGACTGTTGTCATCACTGCCTGACTGACTGTTGTCATCACTGCCTGCCTGACTGTTGTCATCACTGCCTGCCTGACTGTTGTCATCACTGCTACTGTCTGGCTACCTGATCCCATTGTTGGCCTGACATTTGTCATCACTGCCTGCCTGACTTTTGTCATCACTGCCTGACTGTTGTCATCACTGCCTGACTGTTGTCATCACTGCCTGCCTGACTGTTGTCATCACTGCCTGACTGACTGTTGTCATCGCTGCCTGACTGTTGTCATCACTGCCTGACTGTTGTCATCACTGCCTGACTGACTGTTGTCATCACTGCCTGACTGTTGTCATCACTGCCTGCCTGACTGTTGTCATCACTGCCTGACTGTTGTCATCACTGCCTGCCTGACTGTTGTCATCACTGCCTGCCTGACTGTTGTCATCACTGCCTGACTGACTGTTGTCATCACTGCCTGACTGTTGTCATCACTTCCTGCCTGACTGTTGTCATCACTTCCTGACTGACTGTTGTCATCACTGCCTGCCTGACTGTTGTCATCACTGCTACTGTCTGGCTACCTGATCCCATTGTTGGCCTGACATTTGTCATCACTGCCTGCCTGACTTTTGTCATCACTGCCTGACTGACTGTTGTCATCACTGCCTGACTGACTGTTGTCATCGCTGCCTGACTGTTGTCATCACTGCCTGACTGTTGTCATCACTGCCTGACTGACTGTTGTCATCACTGCCTGACTGTTGTCATCACTGCCTGACTGTTGTCATCACTGCCTGACTGTTGTCATCACTGCCTGCCTGACTGTTGTCATCACTGCCTGACTGACTGTTGTCATCACTGCCTGACTGTTGTCATCACTGCCTGACTGTTGTCATCACTGCCTGCCTGACTGTTGTCATCACTGCCTGCCTGACTGTTGTCATCACTGCCTGCCTGACTGTTGTCATCACTGCCTGACTGTTGTCATCACTGCCTGACTGTTGTCATCACTGCCTGACTGTTGTCATCACTGCCTGACTGTTGTCATCACTGCCTGACTGTTGTCATCACTGCCTGACTGACTGTTGTCATCACTGCCTGACTGACTGTTGTCATCACTGCCTGACTGTTGTCATCACTGCCTGACTGTTGTCATCACTGCCTGACTGTTGTCATCACTGCCTGCCTGACTGTTGTCATCACTGCCTGACTGTTGTCATCACTGCCTGACTGTTGTCATCACTGCCTGACTGTTGTCATCACTGCCTGACTGTTGTCATCACTGCCTGCCTGACTGTTGTCATCACTGCCTGCCTGACTGTTGTCATCACTGCTACTGTCGTGAATATCGACCAGTACAAGCTATGCTAAATGTCAACCGCCAGATTATGTTTTGCTCTCCACATTTCTTCAGGCTGTCAGAGAAGCAGCTTCAAACTTCCTCACGTTTGTCTGCTGCTGTGTAACATCTGGATGTTTGAGACATGGAACATCTGGATGTGGGAGACATGGAACATCTCAATGTGAGGCGGGAGACATGGAACATCTCGATGTGAGGTGGGAGACATGGAACATCTCGATGTGGGAGACATGGAACATCTCGATGTAAGAGACATGGAACATATCGATGTGGGAGACATGGAACATCTTGATGTGGGAGACATGGAACATCTCGATGTAAGAGACATGGAACATCTCGATGTGGGAGACATGGAACATCTTGATGTGGGAGACATGGAACATCTCGATGTAAGAGACATGGAACATATCGATGTGGGAGACATGGAACATCTCGATGTGGGAGACATGGAACATCTCGATGTGGGAGACATATAACATCTCGATGTGATGTGGGAGACATGGAACATATCGATGTGGGAGACATGGAACATCTTGATGTGGGAGACATGGAACATCTCGATGTGATGTGGGAGACATGGAACATATCGATGTGGGAGACATGGAACATCTTGATGTGGGAGACATGGAACATCTCGATGTGAGGTGGAGACATGGAACATCTCGATGTGATGTGGGAGACATGGAACATCTCGATGTGAGGTGGGAGACATGGAACATCTCGATGTGAGGTGGGAGACATGGAACATCTCGGTGTGGGAGACATGGAACATCTCGATGTGAGGTGGGAGACATGGAACATCTCGATGTGGGAGACATGGAACATCTCGATGTGGGAGACATGGAACATCTTGATGTGGGAGACATGGAACATATCGATGTGGGAGACATGGAACATCTCGATGTGGGAGACATGGAACATCTTGATGTGGGAGACATGGAACATCTCGATGTAAGAGACATGGAACATATCGATGTGGGAGACATGGAACATCTCGATGTGGGAGACATGGAACATCTCGATGTGGGAGACATATAACATCTCGATGTGATGTGGGAGACATGGAACATATCGATGTGGGAGACATGGAACATCTTGATGTGGGAGACATGGAACATCTCGATGTGATGTGGGAGACATGGAACATATCGATGTGGGAGACATGGAACATCTTGATGTGGGAGACATGGAACATCTCGATGTGAGGTGGAGACATGGAACATATCGATGTGAGGCGGAAGACATGGAACATCTTGATGTGATGTGGGAGACATGGAACATCTCGATGTGGGAGACATGGAACATCTCGATGTGAGGTGTGATACATGGAACATCTTGATGTGATGTGGGAGACATGGAACATCTCGATGTGGGAGACATGGAACATCTCGATATAAGAAACATGAAACATCTTGATGTATAAAACATAGAACATCTCGATGTGATGTGAGAGACATGAAACATCTCGATGTGGGAGACATGGAACATCTCTTTTTTAACTCTCTTGCCAAATTAATATAAGTATTATAAGTGAACATTTTATGACGGAAGGACTGACATACTATATATATATATATATATATATATATATATATATATATATATATATATATATATATATATATATATATATATATATATATATATACATGGGGGCCCCCAGAAAATTTTCAGCCGGGAGCCCCGCTCAAGCTTATGTCGCCCCTGGGTATAAGTAAGACTTGGTCAACTCCCATGATTTTATGAAGATCTACCCCTGATAACACAGTCTCCCCCATCTGTTTCAAACGATTTTCTTCAAACATTTTGGGTGGGAACAAGAGAGAGAGGGGGGGACAAGAGAAATAGGAAAAAGAGATGGGAACAAGAGAGAAAGATGGGAACAAGAGAAAAGAAGGGATGATAACTGTCTTTTAGAGATGCTACTAGTGACACTAGTCAGGTTTGAAATAAATATTTTCAGTCGTAGCCTAATAATATAGGGCCTACCTCATTTAGAAGGAATTACTAAAACGTGAAAAACAAATATAAAAACCTTTATAACAAGGTTTTTAAAGCAGAAAGTGAAGAGCCAAAGAGGAGAACAAGAGAAAGAGAACAAGAGAAAGAGAACAAGAGAAAGAGAACAAGAGAGGGAGAACAAGAGAGGGAGAACAAGAGAAAGAGAACAAGAGAAAGAGAACAAGAGAAAGAGAACAAGAGAAAGAGAACAAGAGAGGGAGAACAAGAGAGGGAGAACAAGAGAAAGAGAACAAGAGAAAGAGAACAAGAGAAAGAGAACAAGAGAAAGAGAACAAGAGAAAGAGAACAAGAGAAAGAAAGAAAGAGAACAAGAGAAAGAGAACAAGAGAAAGAGAACAAGAGAAAGAGAACAAGAGAAAGAGAACAAGAGAAAGAGAACAAGAGAAAGAGAACAAGAGAGGGAGAACAAGAGAAAGAGAACAAGAGAGGGAGAACAAGAGAGGGAGAACAAGAGAGGGAGAACAAGAGAAAGAGAACAAGAGAAAGAGAACAAGAGAAATAGAACAAGAGAGGGAGAACAAGAGAGGGAGAACAAGAGAAAGAGAACAAGAGAAAGAGAACAAGAGAGGGAGAACAAGAGAAAGAGAACAAGAGAAAGAGAACAAGAGAAAGAGAGAAAGAGAACAATAGAAAGAGAACAAGAGAAAGAGAACAAGAGAGGGAGAACAAGAGAAAGAGAACAAGAGAAAGAGAACAAGAGAAAGAGAACAAGAGAAAGAGAACAAGAGAGGGAGAACAAGAGAAAGAGAACAAGAGAAAGAGAACAAGAGAAAGAGAACAAGAGAAAGAGAACAAGAGAAAGAGAACAAGAGAAAGAGAACAAGAGAAAGAGAACAAGAGAAAGAGAACAAGAGAAAGAGAACAAGAGAAAGAGAACAAGAACAAGTGATAAAGAAATGTTAGTTAAAATTTAAAGTCAACCTCCCTAGTAAACTACATTTGACCATGACCCCGATTGTAAATTCCGTTTGAAAGGTAAACATGTTAAAATAGCATCTCGCGTGCTTTGCTTCTTTCCTCAACATTTTTATTTCTTGAGTTCCATTCAGCTCCAGAGTTTTCCTCCCATCCGGTGCTGCCATTTACTTTAAATACTTCAAACAGGTACAGGTGTGCCTGAGGCACGTGGGGAGGGGGTTAAAGGGGAGGGGGTTAAAGGCAGGGGTCTGGAACATTCTTTAGTTTGAGATAGCGGGTAGCGGACACCGTAGGGGATCAGGTCTGTATACTGGCTGGGATAAATAGTCGTCAGGTGCTCGAAATTATTGTCAAATTTGTTGTTGGTCTTGTGTGGACTGGGACTGGTCACGTGATGCCCGTGTGGACTGGGACTGGCCACGTGATGCCCGCGTAACTATGATATAAGAGACAGGTAAGCTAGAAATCAATAAGTTACTAGCACAGCACGTCATAGCTGTCCTATTCACATCATAGTTGTCATGTTCACATGATAGTTGTCATATTCACATCATAGCTGTCATATTCACATCATAGTTGTCGTATTCACATTATAGCTGTCATATTCTGATTATAGCTGTCATATTCACATTATAACTGTCATATTCACATCATAGCTGTCCTATTCACATTATAGCTGTCATATTCTGATTATAGCTGTCCTATTTACTTGATAGCTGTCATATTCACATTGTAGCTGTCATATTCACATCATAGCTGTCATATTCAAATTATAACTGTCCTATTCACATTATAGCTGTCATATTCACATTATTGCTGTCATATTCACATTAGAGCTGTCATATTCACATTATAGCTGTCATATTCGCATTATAGCTGTCATTTACATCATAGCTGTCATATTCACATTATAGCTGTCATATTCACATTATAGCTGTCATATTCACATTATTGCTGTCATATTCACATCATAGTTGTCATATTCACATAATAGCTGTATAATATATTCACTTCATCAATAAAGTATAGCAGTTACCACTGCAATAAAGTATAGCAGTTACCATTGGTTACCACGAACAATCTCCATTTCAGTCGGCGGAGAAACATCGGCGACAAGATGGCGGCTGTGTGTTCCATACCTCGATTACTTCCCCTGCTCGCGCTTGTTGTCACTACCAAAGGTAGGCGGAATATCAAGTTTGATACTTCTTTCCAACTTTGGTGTTACAATTAGCATTGAGTCAAAATGTTTTTTAATATATATATATATATATATATATATATATATATATATATATATATATATATATATATATATATATATATATATATATATATATATATATATATATATATATATATGGCTACAGGACATTACCCCCCTGGAAATTTCCCCCGGACATTTCCCTCCCGTATTTACCCCCCGGAGCAATTACCCCCCTGTCAATTACCCCCCTGTCAATTAGCCCTCCGTGGAATTACCCCCCCCCCCCTCTCAAGTTAGAATCCTAACTCTAACTAGAATTCTATACCTATATACTACTTTAATCCAAACCTTAAGAAAAAGACCAAAACCTAAGCATCCACTAGACACAACCCTAACCCTAAACCTAACCTTAACCCTAACCCTAACCCTAGCCCTAGCCCTAAACCTAGCCCTAATCCTAACCCTAACCCTAAACCTAAACCTAACCTTAACCCTAACCCTAACCCTAGCCCTAGCCCTAAACCTAGCCCTAATCCTAACCCTAACCCTAAACCTAAACCTAACCTTAACCCTAACCGTAACCCTAGCCCTAGCCCTAAACCTAGCCCTAATCCTAACCCTAACCCTAAACCTAAACCTAACCTTAACCCTAACCCTAAACCTAGCCCTAGCTCTAATCGTAGCCCTAACCCTAACCCTAGCCCTAAACCTAGCCCTAACCCTAACTCTAACCCTGTCCTGGGGGGGGGGGGGGGTTATGTCCTACTGGGCGGGGGGTAATCGACAGGGGGGTAATTGACAGGGGGGGGGGTAATTACTCTGGGGGGGTAATGTCGGGGGGGGGGGAGGAAATGTCCGGGGGGTAATTGACAGGGGGGAAATGCCCTGTTCCCATATATATATTTATATATATATATATATATATATATATATATATATATATATATATATATATATATATATATATAGTATTTGTTGGAGTGCTATATTGATGTTGAAGATAGAGCCCATCTGCGACGACACACCTCAGCTACAGTTTCATTCAATATAGAAAGCCATTTTAAATTTCCTAATCACGTCAATGCATTCTGGTGTCCGGGGTAGACCGGAAAACAAAAAAATCTGTTCTTTTTTTTACAAATCTGGGTTAGCCTGTATTAGAGAACTGTTCATGTTTTTTTTTTTTACAAATGTGGGTTAGCCTGTATTAGAGAACTGTTCATGTTTTGTTTTTTTTACAAATGTGGGTTAGCCTGTATTAGAGAACTGTTCATGTTTTTTTTTTTACAAATGTGGGTTAGCCTGTATTAGAGAACTGTTCATGTTTTTTTTTTTACAAATGTGGGTTAGCCTGTATTAGAGAACTGTTCATGTTTTTTTTTTTTACAAATGTCGGTTAGCCTGAATTAGAGAACTGTTCATGACAGATGTTAGTAGTGCGTGGTCAGCTCGTGAGGCCGTCACGTGGTATGAAATCCAAACCGTGACACTGTGACCCACGGGATGGCATCCATCACGTGACACTGTGACCCACTGGATGGCATCCATCACGTGACACTGTGACCCATCCATCCCGTCAGTTGCGGTTTCAGAATCCATGACGTCAATGAGGATATTTTTCTTTTACTTTCCAGTCATTGAGTCAAACGGCTTTGTCGGTGAACAACCGAGGTGGTGTGTTTTTGGCGTGTTTGTTTGTTTGGCTACTTAAAAATGTTATAAGACAATTGATTCATCGCTAGCTTTGTATGACTATTTACGTAGGACAAGTTACAAACACCGGCCTCAAGAGAATCGGAATTGGCAGGTAATCGCCTGTAGGACGCCTCACCCCCCCCCCAGCTCGCAGGTTCCCGAAGGGGGTTGTTAGGGATTTTCTCAGGGGTCGCCAACTTCAACAGAAAACAACAACAATAAAATCGGCTTTACAATCATTTAGAATACATTGAAAACTATTTTGACTTCTGTCGTCGCCATGATACTTTGTTGTCAACGTCAGAGACTTGATCGAAGAGAAACTTGCCTATTGCAGACACTTGATCTAAGAGAAACTTGCCAATTTCAGACACTTGATCTTACAGGAAGCTGTCTGTGAGTTTGTGGCAAATCTTGTTGTTACACAATTTCGACCCACTTCTAATGCAGCGATTTCGTTCAAACTTTTCAGGCACCTTATTTTCAATGACATGAATCTCAATTTTTACTTTCTCGTATATACGAAGTATAGAGAAACTTGTAATCTTGCAACAACAAAAAAAAAGAGATTTTTACAAATCTCGACGTTTTACACCTCCCTGAGTCGGAAAAACAAATTTTTGCAATCTTGTCCGTATGTCTGTGTGTATGTGTGTCTGTAAGCACGATAACTTGAGTACCGTTACAGCTAGGTTGATGAAATTTCATATATAAGTATTTTATCAAAATCGTAGATCCGTCTCAACTTTTGAGCGATTTCCGATTACCGGAAGTGGTACTTTTTTTACTTTGAATTTTTTTAAAAGCCTATAACTTGAGTACTATTTCAGATAGATAAATGAAATTTCACTTGTAAGTAAAATATCTAATCCTCTACTTTCTAACGAATTTTTAGTAATTTCCGTTGACAGGAAGTAGTAATTTACGCTATTTCCGATTTCTCAAAAAACGCATGTACTAAGTGCTGATAATATTCCGCACTATTATGCATATTTTGTTTTGGCGTTCGCTTGGTGCGCAATTCTTTTTTTCTGCGAGATTCTGTTCTATTTTTAAAAGTTTAAGTAATTAAAAATCAGGTCTATATTCCGAGTTGCCATCCCACGTAGTGTTATATAAGAAAATTCGAGAAAGTTTAGGGGAGATCACTCCCGGCTTATTTAATCAAATTAACAAGACAATTAGTCATACAATTTTAAAATGTCTAAATTAAGTAACCAATCGCAAGCGATGACTCGATCAGCGTGTTTACACCGTGAAATGTCAGATCTACGTCTCGATTGGTTGACTTGTCGCTCGCGCTTCAACCACGCCCCAATTAAGGGCAGATAACTGTCTTTTAGAGATGACAAACGGCTGGCCGGTTTTTTTCAAGTCGCAGCCTATGTAATGCCAACTTCATTTTGTACGAATGACTAAAAAAGGGGAAAATAAAACAAATATAAAAACATTTTAAAAATAACACGTTTTTAAATGGACTGAAAATAATAAAATAAAACAAACATCTTTGCTCAAAGCTTTGATCGAATAATTTAAACCAAAAGGTGGCGATTCAGTGACGATGCTTGTTTTTTGAGTTCAATATTGTCTTCACTCATTACTATGAGAGACTAGATTTTGAACTCGTCTTTGTTTAAAAAAAAAATTGAATGTGTAGAAAAGGACATAAGGTTGGCGTTTACAAAACACACCCGCGAATTTTTCAAACTGGTTAGTACCAATATATGTATTGGGGATGTTATGGAAAAATCACTGAAGAAATGTCCGTGGATTTTCGTGATTGTGTTGAGGCTGGTTATGTACAGTTGTATTGTCGCATGATGCTATTTTATTGTCGCATGATGCTATTTTATTGTCGCATGATGCTATTGTATTGTCGCATGATGCTATTTTATTGTCGCATGATGCTATTTTATTGTCGCATGATGCTATTGTTTTGTCGCATGATGCTATTGTATTGTCGCATGATGCTATTTTATTGTCGCATGATGCTATTTTATTGTCGCATGATGCTATTGTATTGTCGCATGATGCTATTGTATTGTCGCATGATGCTATTGTATTGTCGCATGATGCTATTGTATTGTCGCATTATGCTATTTTCTTGTCGCATGATGCTATTTTCTTGTCGAATGATGCTACTTACACTAAACTATACCTCAAGAATTTGCCAGAGTTGCTCTCTCTGCCTTCCATGTGAAGCAGTCCGAAGAATGAGCTGGGGTCACTTTAAGCCGGCCACTAGCCGTTAACGTTTAGAGGTCGCCAGTACATATTTTCCTGTTTTACAACGGTAAAACAATGTGTCCATTGATTCACATCTAACAAGGGGCAGATAATCACAGATGTCGCAGATGTGGGTATCACAGCAAACCTTTTTAGTCGTAAGTGGTGTTGATTTATTTGTATGTGGTGTTGATTTAGTGTATGTGGTGTTGTTTTAGTCGTGTGTGGTGTTGATTTAGTCGTATGTGGATTTTATTTAGTCGTATGTTATGTTGATTTAGTCTTATGTAGTGTTGATTTAGTCGTATGTGGTGTTGATTTAGTCGTATGTGGAGTTGATTTAACTAAGAACAAACGGAATGTTAAAAAAACATTCAGTGGGTCCTGCTACTCTTTTTATAATAGACTTAATTATAGACTTGGCTTACTAATATTTTTTTTTAAAATAGTATTTCTAAATATTAGAGCTTTTGACATGCAATGAGAATTTTTTAAATTAAAAACTTACACAGTTTAGCGGCCAATATTTTTACTAAATAAAATATAATGTGTTTAATTTTTAAAATTTTAAGTGTCTGTAAATTAAAATAAAAGCTTATCTTTTTCTTCGGTTTTATTTGTATTAATTAATGGAGATTTCTTCCAGCCCAGTTATTACCTGTCAACTTATTTTGTTCCGCGTGGCTCGTTGGCTTTGACATCAGCCTGCCTTTTTTTATGGATGTACTGCCATAGCCTAGGTCCAGCCAAGAACCAACCACATGGATGTACTGCCATAGCCTAGGTCCAGCCAAGAACCAACCACATGGATGTACTGCCATAGCCTAGGTCCAGCCAAGAACCAACCACATGGATGTACTGCCATAGCCTAGATCCAGCCAAGAACCAACCACATGGATGTACTGCCATAGCCTAGGTCCAGCCAAGAACCAACCACATGGATGTACTGCCATAGCCTAGGTCCAGCCAAGAACCAACCACATGGATGTACTGCCATAGCCTAGGTCCAGCCTAGAACCAACCACATGGATGTACTGCCATAGCCTAGGTCCAGCCAAGAACCAACCACATGGATGTACTGCCATAGCCTAGGTCCAGCAAAGAACCAACCACATGGATGTACTGCCATAGCCTAGGTCCAGCCAAGAACCAACCACATGGATGTACTGCCATAGCCTAGGTCCAGCCAAGAACCAACCACACGGATGTACTGCCATAGCCTAGGTCCAGCCAAGAACCATCCTAGATGAGTTACTTTCCCCAGCTATCGAGTTGTCTCTCCTAGATTAGATGCTGTCCCCAGCTATCGAGTTTATCTCTCCTAGAAGATTTGCTGTCCCCAGCTATCGAGTTGTCTCTCCTAGATGAGTTGCTGCCCCCAGCTATCGTCTCTCCTAGATGGGTTGTTGTCCCCAGCTATCGAGTTGTCTCTCCTAGACAAGGTGCTGTCCCCAGCTATCGAGTTGTCTCTCCTAGATGAGTTGCTGTCCCCAGCTATAGAGGCTTATCTGCCCAACTCAGGACTTAAGGGTTAACAATCGTTCGCCCCTCCCCACTACGTCTAAGCTAGTTATTATAAAGTTTTTTGTTGTTGTAAATATTAGTTTTATATTTTAAAAAATAGCCCATTTATTTCATCTTTTGCTTAAGACAACTGATGCAAGCACAATTTCTTCATGTCTGTTTACGGTCATATAAATGACATCATACAGGGGAAGTGAATGTGTTGTACAATAAAAATAAATCGACTGACCCAGATTCAAATTATACTTAAAGAGGTGATTCATTTTAAAACAAAAGTGGTCGTAAGGTCTCTACCCTCTACAAGAAATATGTTTAGTGTGAGCAGATTAAAACCTACATCACAGTTAACAACGCGCGAAGACAGCGTACATACAGCAGGCTCTGCTGACCCGCTGACAGTCGGCCATTGATGGGCTGATGATGATATAGGCTGACATTAAACTAAATATCAGACGGTGCACCTCGATACATTTACCAGACGGTAAGAATCGACCCATCTAGCCACCTACGTGTCTATTGACCTACATTTTATTACTCGAGAATTTATAAAGCTATGAAAATCAGCGCAAAATTTTGTCCCTGTTTAATTTGACACTAGTTAGATCTGATGGGATGCAACAAATTGTTTTAATTAGGTCAGTAGGTCTTAATCAATACAATCAATGTAGGTCACCCAGTTAAAAGAGCCTGACATACAATACTTTTACAACAAGCGAAACACACACCACCGCGGACCCTGGTGTACAATTGGTGACACTAAGTGGTGACACCACCGCGAACCCTGGTGTACAATTGGTGACACTATGTGGTGACACCACCGCGAACCCAGCTGTACAATTGGTGACATTGAGTGGTGACACCACCGCGAACCCTGCTGTACATTTGGTGACACTAAGTGGTAACACCACCGCGAACCCTGCTGTACAAGTGGTGACACCACCGCAAACCCTGCTGTACAATTGGTGACACCACCGCGAACCCAGCTGTACAATTGGTGACACTGAGAGGTGACACATAACCAGTGGCACATCACAGATAGTGCCAGATGTTTTTTAATGCATCATTTTTGTCTGTCATAAAACTGCTCATCTCTGGCATAGAATTGACGCTCTGACAGATTTTGTAATGACTTGGATGCTAGCAGCATGTCAAATCTGATGCCAGTCATTATCTTCTGATTGCAGGTGTCCAAGCGAGAGAATTTCAGCTCCAGCTGGCTCGGGCGTCACCTCCCCTTGACCTGACGCCTCCCCCAGCGGGCGCCCCGTCCCTGCAGACGGCTCAGGACGACCCCACCGGACAGCGGTACCCAGAGCGGAGGCTGACCTTTAGACACCTGCACGTCCCCCTGCGCCAGCCGCGCTTTGTGACGGAGACCACCACCATATTCCCCTTCATCACAGCCCAAAAAGCCTTGAGTTACCTCACTCGTTTTGATTCCATACCCAGGCCTAGAAACTGGCCAATCAGAATTGTTCTAACAGATGCTGAAATACAAGGCACCGAAACAAAAATTATCAACGTACAGACGAGCACTGAGCCGCGGCCAGACGCGAGCAGGGGAGCGAACTGGCCTGGAACTCCCGCCACGTGGCAGGAAGCAGGGAGAGAAAAATGGCGGGATCCCGGATGGACAGACGCCAGCAAGGTCGATGGCTTCTACGATTATGATAAACAGGTGAAAGCCCAGGTAAACATTCGCTACTCTCGTGACGTAGCACACACAGACGAGACTTGGCGAGATGTCAGGATCAAAAGAAATAAAGGAAACAGCAGACGAGAGTCGGCAAACGGTGATGCCGACGTCACCACAACACATGACGGAATTAGGCGAACACAACGCGGAAATGACGCCAAACAAAAACAAATCGGTCAGAGAAAAACAAAGTTTAAGGTTAAAAAAGAAAAAAAAGCGTCGAAAAAGCGTCGAAAAGATAAGAAAAAGAAGGCTGTTAGCTCTAGAAGATTCTTTACTGTTGGCTCTCATGACCAAGTTTTGAACACAAGTGACGCGGGGAACAGGACTGAAGACCACACTACAACTCTCACGGCCCTCGTCACCACCGCAAGATCAAACTCCTATCTGTATGGACACATTGGTGGAGCTGACAGTCCCAACACCCAGACTGGTGGAGCTGACAGTCCTAACACCAAGACTGGTGGAGCTGACAGACCCAACACCCAGACTGGTGGAGCTGACAGTCCCAACACCCAGTCTGGTGGAGCTGACAGTCCCAACACCCAGACTGGTGGAGCTGACAGTCCTAACACCAAGACTGGTGGAGCTGACAGACCCAACACCCAGACTGTTGGAGCTGACAGTCCCAACACCCAGACTGGTGGAGCTGACAGTCCCAACACCCAGACTGGTGGAGCTGACAGTCCCAACACCCAGACTGGTGGAGCTGACAGTCCCAACACCCAGACTGGTGGAGCTGACAGTCCCAACACCCAGACTGGTGGAGCTGACAGTCCCAACACCCAGACGTCCACTGGTGGAGCTGACAGTCCCAACACCCAGACTGGTGGAGCTGACAGTCCCAACACCCAGACTGGTGGAGCTGACAACTATACATATACCGAGGCTCAAGCTCAGCGTTTAGAACCTGTTACGAAAGCAACAAGAGTCCAGACGAACAGATTCGACATTTTGTCCAATGCCAACGTGTCGAGGGCACCGATGAACAGTTTCGACATTTTGTCCAATGCCAACGTGTCGAGGGCACCGATGAACAGTTTCGACATTTTGTCCAATGCCAACGTGTCGAGGGCACCGATGAACAGTTTCGACATTTTGTCCAATGCCAACGTGTCGAGGGCACCGATGAACAGTTTCGACATTTTGTCCAATGCCAACGTGTCGAGGGCACCGATGAAAAACGAAGCGTTTGGCAACTATCTCAGTGAGCGGCTTTGCGGTCTTTTTAACAAGAAATACGTGCGGACTAATATCGGTGGAAGGTGTGAGTAAACTGTCAAAAGGAAACACAAAATAATTAGCTTTCGGCTCTAGCTTTAGTGATATAACTGTGTGTTAGTTCTATTAGGTTCCAACACTGTTATCAATTATCTAATTCGAGAACACAAAATTACAAGCGATAAATAGACTTAAGCCATTTGTTAATTCAGTATTAGGTCGATCGGAGAAACTTGATTGTAGATTATAAAATAAATAATTGAATTTTTAACTGAACTGTTTCAGGCCATAAATGTCTCATATTAATCTTATCATTGGATTCGGTTACATTATGATACACAATTTAAAAAAAAACGAACAAAATTTTACTTTATGATTACGGAGAGTATGCTAAATAATACAAACTATTTTCACCAAGTGGTATGAGAGATCCTAGCCTAGATTATATCGCCTTAGCTAATCACTCAGGTGTCATGGGTACAGAACCTCAGCAGTCATTGTCAATTTTGTTTTAATGTTCCCACCTAGAAAGTGGACAGGAAAATCTCAAAGCACGGCAAAGGCTCTAAATCATAATTATTCAAAGCCAATCACGGGTTTTATTTTGTGCTGCAGCCACCCGCGCTGAAGGAATATCATATCACACCAATGCGCCGCATACTCAAAGGACGTGCTACCGCCACCCGCGCTTAAGGAATATCATATTCATATCACACCAATGCGCCGCATACTCAAATGACGTGCTACCGCCACCCGCGCTGAAGGAATATCATATCACACCAATGCGCCGCATACTCAAATGACGTGCTACCGCCACCCGCGTGCAGCGCTGAAGTAATATCCACACCAATGCGCCGCATACATACACAGGGGACGCATTTACCTCCACCCGTTCTTCTAGTACACGTATAAAGTCTAGACTTCCAACTTACCGCAGATCAGACATGCACAAGACTTAATGTGAGATGTGTTAAATGTTTGGGACAGTTCATCCATTGCACTCAATGAATTTAAATAGGTAGTCCAAACTGAAATTAACTATTGATTGCAGACTTCTTGAGTGAGTATGTCATGAAAGAACTTTTAATTGTAAGCTCTATGCCACAAATTTTATAAAAATATCTTAATAAATAAAAAAGTTATGCGATTTTTAAAACAAAATTTGGTAAAAAACTGATTTTCAAAAAGTGCCATTTTTGAGAACCCATATTTTCTAAACTAAATAACATAGAAGTGTAGAAATTGGTAAAGTTACTGCAAAGTTTGTAATATATATGCCCAATTTTTTTCAGTCATCTAAAATGAGTCTTTCTAAGGTAAAAAAAATAATTGAAAATGACAAAAATGCGTTTTGGTCACTTTTATTTTTATAATTTTTTTTTTTTTTTTTTGCTTTGGACATAGAATAACTCTAAAACTATTTTGTTGGTAACATTAACAGGAAAAATGTGTTCATTATTTTCAAAAATCACATGAGTTAAAATATTATTTAAAAAAAAAAATTCATAAAAAACGTTTTAATAACAAGCTTTTATGTAATGATGCACTAAAAAGTAGAAAATAAATTATAGACTACTATTTAAATAACTATAAAGAAAAGCGTGGGTCACTTTAGTATCTATTGGATACCTTTACTAATGTTAAGGAAGACACCCACGCTTTTCTTTATAGTTATTTAAATAGTAGTCTATAATTTATTTTCTACTTTTTAGTGCATCATTACATAAAAGCTTGTTATTAAAACGTTTTTTATGAATTTTTTTTTCAGTACTTTACATGTTTTATCAACAATAGAGTTACATGACTAAAAACCATTGCGCGCCTACTGAATATCACGTTCAGTAGGCGCGCAATGGTTTTTGAACGCAGCCATTACGTGGTCGTGATGGCGCAGCTATTGATGACGCGTGTGGTGTGGTTGGCTAGACATGCCTACTAATTCGGTCCAAATTTTAATTAATTCATAAAAAATCAATTAGGCATCCAATTAAGTCAAATTTAGTTTCAGATTGCATTGTCTTCATGTCTTGACCCACGTGCCAACTGTGAATCGTGTCGGTCAAGTAGAACTGTCCGAATTTTCACTCCTGCGTTTCCGTCTAGACTGACGACAGACTGTCGACAGACAGAGGAAGTGAGTTAAAAAAATTCATAAAAAATTCATAAAAAACGTTTTAATAACAAGCTTTTATGTAATGATGCACTAAAAAGTAGAAAATAAATTATAGACTACTATTTAAATAACTATAAAGAAAAGCGTGGGTCACTTTAGTATCTATTGGATACCTTTACTAATGTTAAGGAAGACACCCACGCTTTTCTTTATAGTTATTTAAATAGTAGTCTATAATTTATTTTCTACTTTTTAGTGCATCATTACATAAAAGCTTGTTATTAAAACGTTTTTTATGAATTTTTTTTTCAGTACTTTACATGTTTTACCTACAATAGAGTTACATGACTAAAAACCATTGCGCGCCTACTGAATATCACGTTCAGTAGGCGCGCAATGGTTTTTGAACGCAGCCATTACGTGGTCGTGATGGTGCAGCTATTGATGACGCGTGTGGTGTGGTTGGCTAGACATGCCTACTAATTCGGTCCAAATTTTAATTAATTCATAAAAAATCAATTAGGCATCCAATTAAGTCAAATTTAGTTTCAGATTGCATTGTCTTCATGTCTTGACCCACGTGCCAACTGTGAATCGTGTCGGTCAAGTAGAACTGTCCGAATTTTCACTCCTGCGTTTCCGTCTAGACTGACGACAGACTGTCGACAGAGGAAGTGAGTTAAATAAAAGCATGTAAAAACGTTTTAATAACAAGCTTTTATGTAATGATGCACTAAAAAGTAGAAAATAAATTATAGACTACTATTTAAATAACTATAAAGAAAAGCGTGGGTCACTTTAGTATCTATTGGATACCTTTACTACTGTTAAGGAAGACACCCACGCTTTTCTTTATAGTTATTTAAATAGTAGTCTATAATTTATTTTCTACTTTTTAGTGCATCATTACATAAAAGCTTGTTATTAAAACGTTTTTTATGAATTTTTTTTCAGTACTTTACATATTTTATTTACAATAGAGTTACATGACTAAAAACCATTGCGCGCCTACTGAACATCACGTTCAGTAGGCGCGCAATGGTTTTTGAACGCAGCCATTACGTGATGGCGCAGCTATTGAAGGTGATGACGCGTGTGGTGTGGTTGGCTAGACATGCCTACTAATTCGGTCCAAATTTTTATTAATTCATAAAAAATTAATTAGGCATCCAATTAAGTCAAATTTAGTTTCAGATTGCATTGTCTTCATGTCTTGACCCACGTGCCAACTGTGAATCGTATCGGTCAAGTAGAACTGTCCGAATTTTCACTCCTGCGTTTCCGTCAAGACAGACAGAGGAAGTGAGTTAAATAAAAGCTTGTAATAAAAGCTTGTAAAAATGCCACAGTTATCTAGAGCAGGAGAAACAGAATCAAAATTTAGTGGAGTAATGTAATGTAATCTAATAAAGACGTGATGCCTACAAGTAATGCAGCAGTTGCTGCTACATTAAAACCTATTGGCTTGATAACTGCTTTGGGGGAACAGTTTTTAAAACGACAACTCCACATCTTTGTATGTCTTGTTTCCCCTAACCTTGATCTTGTGGAGCATCAAGAGTAAGTGATATGTTTTGGGAACTGTAGTTGGCGGGGGGGGGGGGGGGGGGGGGCTTGGCCTTCTTTCCTATCCTTGTAAGGAAAGTTCTGGATAGGCCACCATAAATGTCTCCAGCTATGGAATAAATAATTGATTTAGTGATTAATAAAATATAATTAGATTTACTACTAGCCTATTGTGTAGGCCTACTATTTGTCCTATGACTGTAGCTGGAAACATGAAAAAGCCTGAAAACACCTTTTTGTTTAAAGTAATTTATACTTGATAGTATATTTTGAACATTAATTCTATTGAATGAAATATTCGTTGTTTGTGCCACACTGGTTGAGATATCCAATGATGAAGATGCCATACTGTGGTTCTCAACATCATATAGGACAACTTAACTGTCCTCCAGTGTTACTATATGCATATAAAAAATATAAATAATGAGAAAAACTACTAGTACTACTTACACTTACAACTAATATAACATTTAAAACTAAGTCACAACATGTACAATCTTACTAAATTGCACCACCATCTAAAAATTGATCTGGTACATTTTATTAAGGAGACTGGCGCAGACCATTTCACATTATTCAGCAGGGGAATCAGAATCAAAGTGCACAACAGAAAATTAATCACATTAGTCCTTAAAATTTAGTGTCTTTTGTTTTAAATAAATTGATAAAAATGTATAGTTATTATAATTATAAGTTTCTTTTGTGTTTCAATAATATTTTATAAGTATTTAACCTTCGTTCCCTGTAAATAATTGAGTTCGTCCACATAGTAACCAGGATTGTCTGGTGGTCATTTTGAATTTGTCGATTCATAATTTTGACGCGATAGTCCAGATAAACTGTAGTAATACGACCCTATCATTAATCCCATTCGATAGATTTTAAAGAATTAGTAAACACTAGCATCTAATAGTTAAGTGCATCCATATTTTAAGTCCCTAGAATGTCCTGAATTAAATAGCTTCACGTTTAAACACACCATGTGTACAAGCGTAGTTCACACGCTAAAACAGTGGACTAGTAGCGTTCAAATTTACATTAATAACGTGTGCTAATTAAACCAAACTGACTCAAACTTAAAATTCATTTATTAAAATGGAAATGAAACTTTAAAAATGATACTTACAACTTGTTTGAAGGCTCTAGCAAGGGTAAAATCCGTTTAGCATCATCGGTCGTCAACCTTTAAAACCGTTCTGCGAGCAACTCACTCGGGGCTGAAAGTTGACTCGAGGGTTATATGCTTATTGAGGGTACGGCTTCGCGACCGTAAATCGGAAAGACTTGAATTTACAACACAAAGTAGTTATAAAAGTGAACTTTACATCGGTGTAAAGATTGAAACAGAATTAGTTTGTTTTCGTGTATATATCGTCATTTAAAGTTTAAAAACTGATTTTTTTGAAATAAGCAAGTTATTTTTTCAATTTATACATCAAACGATAGACTAGAATTCGCTCTTTAAAATGACATTAAGATTATGCTTCTACGATGCTTCGTCGCGAAGCCGCAGCCAAATGAAACACTGTGGGGTCGATCGGTACACGCAAAATGGTGAAATTTGTTGACGAAACTGATACTTTTCAAACAAATATAAAACATATTCAAACATGTGTTACAGAAATAAAAATACCAGATTACGACAGATAAAGACTTAAACTTTATTGACATATAATTTTTATTCTTATAGGACAACTAGAAGTAGTGAAATTTTATTTTTGAAAACAGCAAAAACTGACCCTAAAACGCACTTTTTCGCCAGTTTGGACTACCTAATTTAAATGTTTGGAACAGTCCATCCATTGCACTCAATGATGGAACAGTTCATCCATTGCACTCAATGATGGAACAGTTCATCCATTGCACTCAATGAATTCTATGACCACTAAACCAACCAGAAGAATCACACCGTGGTTCAAATCTAACTCAGGAACTGGCCAGCCGCATATGGTATTTCCCACCATTTTAGTCACGTGATGTTAGTCGCATACTGGCGGCCTACACCAGCTCATGTCGGGTCATCTTGACCAAGTTTGAAGGACAATGAGATCATCTTGTCCGGGACACTAGTGAAAAATCTCCAAAATCATGAAAGTTTGGCTTGCAATGGGAATCATCTGGAGGTCCTTGAAATATCAAATACATCGTGTGAAGTGCTGCCAATACTGCTATGTAAACGTGATTGTTTAGTTTGTAGTAGACCTGCTTGTAAAGGCTGGGCATATTGTTATTGAAAAATAACATTACCGTATGTAATTATCACTTAGATGTTTTCTTTTTTTCTTTGTTACTGTAATTAATTTTTTCCCCAGAATATTGCACGGCAACGAAAAATGTGTAACTTTAATTTGGTGGTCAGTTTTCTTCCTCTGTATGAAGCTTATTTAAGTAACCATGTGATGGCCCTAATTGTGTGGCTGGTTGAGGCCATCCAGTGATGGCCCTAATTGTGTGGCTGATTTAGGCCATCCAGTGATGGCCCTAATTATGTGGCCATCCAGTGATGGCCCTATGGCCCAAATTGTGTGGCTGGTTGAGGCCATCCAGTGATGGACCAAATGGATACAATTTTTGGGACGAGAACACAACATAGACAAGAAAAAAGTTCAAACAACTAATTGTGTCCCCATTTGTTCTGTCTCTCTGCCAGTTTTATTCCATATGTGCATAGTAAGTTAACACAAACCTAGGGGGACTGGGGGGTGAACATAGAAATGTGGTGTAAAATTTGCTAGAGAGCTCCATTTGTTGACCAAGGGATCTGCCAAACTTGTGGGAAAGAGAAAGCAATGCTATAGAAGGAGCAGAAGGTTACATAGAGATGGGAAGGCTGCTGTCCTCACATAGACACATTGCCTTGTTGGGTCTGATCAATACAATTTCTCATCAGTGACAGGTGTACATGTGTTTGTACACACCTGACACTGACAGGTGTACATGTGTCTGACACTGACAGGCTGTACACATCTGACACTGACAGGCTGTACACATCTGGCACTGACAGGCGTACATGTGTCTGACACTGACAGGCTGTACACACCTGACACTGACAGGCTGTACACACCTGACACTGACAGGCTGAACACACCTGGCACTGACAGGCTGAACACACCTGGCACTGACAGACTGTACACACCTGGCACTGGCTGGCGGTAACCTTTATATATATATAATTAAATTGCCCATTTTCTACTATATACTGAGTAGGTAAATAACAAATAAACTGGGCTAAAAAAATGCAATAATCCACTTTAAAGAGAGTAGGAAATATGCACAATTCTACTTAGGGTAAAAAAAATTGCAACATTCCTCTGTACACAAAGTTTTTTCTGGAAACTTCCACTGCATAATCTCAATATCAGAGAAGGTTAGTCTAATCCAACTTGTATCCACTGGTCACACCCACACACAACTGACACCCATCCACACCTCTCATATCCGATGTATCACCAGGACAATCCAGCTGGCCAACAGGTGGTGACACTAGCACAACCTGTTGGCTAACTGCCAGTGGTGACATGGCTGGCCAACAGGTGGTGACACTGCCACAACCTGTTGCCTGTCACCAGTGGTGACTCTACAAGTTGTGCCACTCAATCATAAACGTGCTGGCAGACTCCCCATTGAGGCTACGAGAGATAGTTTGTGGAATACTGTGTTGGTACCAGATCTTCTGAATATTCTGGAAGTTTTCTAAACTCAGAGTCAGTGGGTTACCTCTCCTAGAAAAGCAAAGAATGGATTGTATTTAATCGTCTCATTTCAGCTTCATGGAACAATGAAATCAGCTAATTAATTAGACAACAAAATCAGCTAATTAATTAAACAATGATATCAGCCTATTCATTAAGCAATAAAATAATCTAATTAGACAGTGTTCTACATAGGTTGGGTGTGTCTGAAATCCCTCATGGTTCAACTTATGACTTAGTACATTTGGTATCCACCAATGCAACAGCACTAAAGCACCTTATTGCTTTCTATAGCCCAAACCTGACTAGCATGAATGTCTCTACGTTCCTTAAATTCTGTTTGTCTTGTATTGTCAAGCTATAGGCTACCTGCTAGGACAAAGCTCTGGGACAATCAGCCTATTCATCCACACAAGACAATAACTCTTAGCTGTAGTTGATGTTTCATCATAATGTCCACCTGCCCACCATAAAAGTTGATCTGTTTCACCATACATGCCCACCTACCCACCTTAAAAGTTGATCTGTTTCACCATACATGTCCACCTGCCCACCTTAAAAGTTGATCTGTTTCACCATACATGTCCACCTACCCACCTTAAAAGTTGATCTGTTTCACCATACATGCCCACCTACCCACCTTAAAAGTTGATCAGTTTCACCATACATGCCCACCTACCCACCTTAATAGTTGATCTGTTTCACCATACATGCCCACCTACCCACCTTAATAGTTGATCTGTTTCACCATACATGTCCACCTACCCACCTTAAAAGTTGATCTGTTTCACTATACATGCCCACCTACCCACCTTAAAAGTTGATCTGTTTCACCATACATGCCCACCTACCCACCTTAAAAGTTGATCTGTTTCACCATACATGCCCACCTACCCACCTTAAAAGTTGATCAGTTTCACCATACATGCCCACCTACCCACCTTAATAGTTGATCTGTTTCACCATACATGCCCACCTACCCACCTTAAAAGTTGATCTGTTTCACCATACATGCCCACCTACCCACCTTAATAGTTGATCTGTTTCACTATACATGCCCACCTACCCACCTTAAAAGTTGATCTGTTTCACCATACATGCCCACCTACCCACCTTAAAAGTTGATCTGTTTCACCATACATGCCCACCTACCCACCTTAATAGTTGATCTGTTTCACCATACATGTCCACCTACCCACCTTAAAAGTTGATCTGTTTCACCATACATGTCCACCTACCCACCTTAAAAGTTGATCTGTTTCACCATACATGCCCACCTACCCACCTTAATAGTTGATCTGTTTCACCATACATGTCCACCTACCCACCTTAAAAGTTGATCTGTTTCACCATACATGTCCAAATACGGTGCCGGCAGGAAACAGCCTCGGATTTTGTTGGACAACAAGAGGATCTGGCACTCCCGCACCCTGGTCAAACAGCAGGTTAATGTCAGTTTCATGTCACAAATGTCAGTCAGTCAGGTGTCATGGTCAGTCAGTCAAGTGTCATGGTCAGTCAGGTGTCATGGTCAGGCAATCATGTGTCATGGTCAGTCAGTCAAGTGTCATGGTCAGTCAGTCATGTGTCATGGTCAGTCAGTCATGTGTCATGGTCAGTCAGTCATGTGTCATGGTCAGTCAGTCAAGTGTCATGGTCAGTCAGTCAAGTGTCATGGTCAGTCAGTCATGTGTCATGGTCAGTCAGTCATGTGTCATGGTCAGTCAGCACAATAACATAAACATCAATATTCAGTCAGTGGTCAGCTGCAACAGCTAGTGACAAAATGGACACATTAACCCTGTCAAAAGGGCATGCAACAAAAATTCCTACAATTAATATTGGTCTTATCAATATTTCTCCCATAAAAAAGAAGGCTTCAGTTGCCAACTAAATAGTGCCATTGGTTTTGCATCATTTATTTATTAGGCTTGGGTAGATTTAAGTTATCACTTTGTAAATTGACTCTTTACTGTTGGGAGATCATTTTGCCAGAATCTCTTTTGTCAGGAGCCATACTGTTGTGGGCTAGGGTAGCCAATAAGGAAATGTGGTGGTGGGTCTATAAGTTAGGAGCCAATTTACCTTAGAACAGTGTCAAGATTGTCATGGATTACCTTAGAACAGTGTCAAGATTGTCATGGATTACCTTAGAACAGTGTCAAGATTGTCATGGATTACCTTAGAACAGTGTCAAGATTGTCATGGATTACCTTAGAACAGTGTCAAGATTGTCATAGATTACCTTAGAACAGTGTCAAGATTGTCATAGATTACCTTAGAACAGTGTCAATATTGTCATAGATTACCTTAGAACAGTGTCCAGATTGTCATAGATCACCTTAGAACAGTGTCAAGATTGTCATAGATTACCTTAGAACAGTGTCCAGATTGTCATAGATTACCTTAGATTAACAGTGTCAAGATTGTCATAGATTACCTTAGAACGGTGTCAAGATTGTCATGGATTACCTTAGAACAGTGTCAAGATTGTCATGGATTACCTTAGAACAGTGTCAAGATTGTCATGGATTACCTTAGAACAGTGTCAAGATTGTCATAGATTACCTTAGAACAGTGTGAAGATTGTCATAGGTTACCTTAGAACAGTGTCAAGATTGTCATAGATTACCTTAGAACAGTGTCCAGATTGTCATAGATTACCTTAGAACAGTGTCCAGATTGTCATAGATTACCTTAGAACAGTGTCAAGATTGTCATAGATTACCTTAGAACAGTGTCCAGATTGTCATGGATTACCTTAGAAAGATGCCGCTGTTGGCCCCACAGTAAAATGCGTGTTCTGTGGCAGCGCCCACCTGAGTGCCCTCCAGCTCTGACTGACAACAATAACTCTGTGAGCACAGCATGGTCCCACACACCAGGCACCGTGTTGGAGCACGACTGTCATCCCCATCAGACTTGGGGCAGCTGGGGATATACAAACATGGGCTAGTTCACTCTGTCACAGCCAGCTGACAGCCAGCTACGCTATCTGACATCTGACAGCCATCTACACTATCTGACAGCCATCTACGCTATCTGACATCTGACAGCCATCTACGCTATCTGACAGCCATCTACGCTATCTGACATCTGACAGCCAGCTGACAGCCATCTACGCTATCTGACAGCCATCTACGCTATCTGACATCTGACAGCCATCTACACTATCTGACATCTGACAGCCATCTACGCTATCTGACAGCCATCTACGCTATCTGACATCTGACAGCCATCTACGCTATCTGACATCTGACAGCCATCTACACTATCTGACATCTGACAGCCATCTACGCTATCTGACAGCCATCTACGCTATCTGACATCTGACAGCCATCTACGCTATCTGACAGCGTGGCTGCCATGAGAACTCACGTAAAAGTGGAAGCCTGGTTGATGAGCAGACTGTAATCATGTGGCAGCTCTATCAGCTGGTTCAGCTTCAAGGGATAGTGGACAATGGCTTGGCTGCTTGCTGACAACCTCTCTCTCACACTACGACTGCAACACCAGCTGAGGAAGAGATCAATCTTTGCTTTTGGTTGGGAGGGGCATCTGGAGGGGTGGGGGGGATCTTATCCCTGACCCAAGCCTAAGGGGGGCATCTTATTCCTGACCCAAGCCTGGGGGGGGAGGGGGCATCTTATCCCTGACCCAAGCCTGGGGATGATAACAGAAAAGTGTCCTGAATCTACTCTCATGGTGTTCCCCTGTGTTGGGTACAAAGTCATTCTATATCAAATGGTTTACCTTTGAATTAACTGACTGGTGGTACAATGTCTATCAAATAGTTTACCTTTGAATTAACTGACTGGTGGTACAATGTATATCAAATAGTTTACCTTTGAATTAACTGACTGGTGGTACAATGTCTATCAAATGGTTTACCTTTGAATTAACTGACTGGTGGTACAATGTATATCAAATAGTTTACCTTTGAATTAACTGACTGGTGGTACAATGTATATCAAATGGTTTACCTTTGAATTAACTGACTGGTGGTACAATGTATATCAAATGGTTTACCTTTGAATTAACTGACTGGTGGTACAATGTCTATCAAATGGTTTACCTTTGAATTAACTGACTGGTGGTACAATGTCTATCAAATGGTTTACCTTTGAATTAACTGACTGGTGGTACAATGTCTATCAAATGGTTTACCTTTGAATTAACTGACTTGTGGTACAATGTCTATCAAATGGTTTACCTTTGAATTAACTGACTGGTGGTACAATGTCTATCAAATAGTTTACCTTTGAATTAACTGACTTGTGGTACTTCCTTGTTTTGTGAAAAGATCAGGCAGATGGGCTGGCAGAGCCAGGTAATGACACAGGTGAGAGAACTCATTGGGAGATTTACCTACAACAAATCATTGTAGGTATAAACAATAATCTAGCTGTATTTGGCTGTGTCAAGTTAGCTAATCTTCTTTTAAATAGTTATTAGTAAATTATGAAGCTATTTAACTTTAAACGTAATGAATTAGATAACTTTTCCAGTATAATGTTTCTTGTTGTATGTTTTTAACAAGTGAGGATATTTTAAAATATTTTCAAAATAATATGAAAACAAAATTGTCCTGGTTGAAAAAGGAAATAAAAGAGTTAATCTGCCCAGATGGTGAAGGGTTAAGGCCTACTTACTGCCTAAGCCAGGAGGAGCAGCAACACCAGTGAGATGATGATACAAGATGGCGCTGCACCTTAGGAAGGGCAGGGCTGCCACCCTCAGGTGCTGCAGCAGTGCAGTAGAATTGGGGACAGCTGAGTCTACCACACTGTTACATCAGGGGGGGGGGGGGGGGGGGGAGGAGAAAAATGGCAATATATAAACACATTCAAATACAGGGGAAGAAAAAAAATTATAACAGACTTAAACTGAAATAAAACTAAAAAAAAAAAAAGAAACTTACTTTGCATGATGCCGCAAGGTTTTATAAATATCTAACAACTCCAGGCTTTCTGTTGTGGAGTTGTGCTCATCCCTTTCTTCTGGCAAAAATTGTAGTCAGCAGGTTTAACATGTAGGTTGTACAGGTTTAACATGTCGGTTGTACAGGTTTAAAATGTAGGTTGTACAGGTTTAAAATGTAGGTTGTACAGGTTTAACATAGGTTGCACAGGTTTAACATGTAGGTTGTACAGGTTTAAAATGTAGGTTGTACAGGTTTAACATAGGTTGCACAGGTTTAACATGTAGTTTGTACAGGTTTAACATGTAGGTTGTACAGGTTTAACAAAACATGTATGTTGTACAGGCTTAACATGTAGGTTGTACAGGTTTAACATTTAGGTTGTACAGGTTTAACATTTAGGTTGTACAGGTTTAATATAAAGGTTAGACAGATTTTATGTGTAGGTCAGACAGGTCGGTTGGACTAGTTTTGGCAGGTAGGTTGGACAAGGTTAACATACAGGTTGGATGTGCAATATGCATACAACCCACCTTCAATAGGAGCGTCATATGTGAGCAATATGTGTACGAGGTGGGCAGTAAAGACCAGCTGCAGTGCGTGCTGGTCATTGAGGCCTCCTGTTGGCAAGGATGAGATGTGAGATCTCTGCTGCTCAGCATGCAGGGCTGGCAAGGTCATGGTCAATATGACCAGGTAGTGAAACATGTCCAGGTCCAGCAAACACACTGTTGTCTTGTTCCGCTTCTCTGCTTCAGCAGGGATCAGAGCTGGAGAAATATTAACCCTTTCAGCTCCACCAGACATTAACCCTTTCAGCATCACCAGACATTAACCCTTTCAGTACCACCAGACATTAACATTTTGGTGTGTACGAGGTCAGCAGGTTACACATAGCACATTTAATGTAAGGTGTACAACTTTAGCAACTCAGGTGTGTACTAGGTCAACTGGTTCATCAGAACACATCTAATGTTCCATATCTTTAACAACACACACTTCTCAAATACAGAAACCAATGGTTTAAAATGTACACAAGAATCACTGACACCCCCCCCCCTATATCAGTCATACTGAGTTGACTTCTGACAGATGTATTTATGAGTGTGAAGCCAAGCTGAAGGTTAAGAGAGGAATTTATGGCAGGGAGCATGAGGCTGACTGGTTGGATGGTTTAGGGTTGTCTACCTTTCTTTTTATGGCAGCCTTATCTGTGTTCTAGACCAGGATTGGGGAGCTTGTTTATCTACATTCTTATGACAGCAATAAATTAAACTGAGTTGCTGTCATTCTAAAGGACAGTACCCTTATGCCTTGCTTACATACAACAGTGAAACACACATGTACCCTTACACCTTGCTTACATACAAGTGACACACACATATAAGTACCCTTACACATTGCTTACATACAAGTGACACACATAAGTACACTTACACCATGCTTACATACAACAGTGACACACACATAAGTACCCTTACACCATGCTTACTTAGTAGACTGACACACATACATAAGTACCCTTACACATTGCTTACATACAACAGTAACACACATAAGTACCCTCACACTTTTCTTACATACAACAGTGACACACACATAAGTACCCTCACACTTTTCTTACATACAACAGTGACACATACATAAGTACCCTTACACCTTGCTTACAAAGTATAGTGACACACATAAGTAACCTAACACCTGGCTAACAAAGTATAGTGACACACCTCTAAGTACCCTTACACCTTGCTTACATACAACAGTGACACACACATAAGTACCCTTACACCTTGCTTACAAAGTATAGTGACACACATAAGTAACCTAACACCTGGCTAACAAAGTATAGTGACACACCTCTAAGTACCCTTACACCTTGCTTACAAAGTATAGTGACACACACATAAGTACCCTTACACCTTGCTTACAAAGTATAGTGACACACATAAGTAACCTAACACCTTGCTAACAAAGTATAGTGACACACCTATAAGTACCCTTACACCCTGCCTACCTGACAACAATCTGATACAGTGCTGTTTGATGGTGTCAGGATTCATGACTTGACTAGTGACAGCTGCAAAACGTACGAGTGCACCCAGCAGGGCAGACTGTCTTTCTGTTGTTGATTCAAAAACTGCCAGGTTCTCTCTCTCTAGCTCTTGTTCTGTAATACATCATCAGGCTCAATCTTCTACACACATCATCAGGCTCAATCTTCTACACACATCATCAGGCTCAATCTTCTACACACATCATCAGGCTCAATCTTCTACACACATCATCAGGCTCAATCTTCTACACACATCATCAGGCTCAATCTTCTACACACATCATCAGGCTCAATCTTCTACACACATCATCAGGCTCAATCTTCTACACACATCATCAGGCTCAATCTTCTACACACATCATCAGGCTCAATCTTCTACACAAATCATCAGGCTCAATCTTCTACACACATTATCAGGCTCAATCTTCTACACACATCATCAGGCTCAATCTTCTACACACATTATCAGGCTCAATCTTCTACTCACATCATCAGGCTCAATCTTCTACACACATCATCAGGCTCAATCTTCTACACACATCATCAGGCTCAATCTTCTACACACATCATCAGGCTCTACACACATCATCAGGCTCAATCTTCTACACACATCATCAGGCTCTATCTTCTACACACATCATCAGGCTCAATCTTCTACACACATCATCAGGCTCAATCTTCTACACACATCATCAGGCTCAATCTTCTACACACATCATCAGGCTCAATCTTCTACACACATCATCAGGCTCAATCTTCTACACACATCATCAGGCTCAATCTTCTACACACATCATCAGGCTCAATCTTCTACACACATCATCAGGCTCAATCTTCTACACACATCATCAGGCTCAATCTTCTACACACATCATCAGGCTCAATCTTCTACACAAATCATCAGGCTCAATCTTCTACACACATTATCAGGCTCAATCTTCTACACACATCATCAGGCTCAATCTTCTACACACATTATCAGGCTCAATCTTCTACTCACATCATCAGGCTCAATCTTCTACACACATCATCAGGCTCAATCTTCTACACACATCATCAGGCTCAATCTTCTACACACATCATCAGGCTCTACACACATCATCAGGCTCAATCTTCTACACACATCATCAGGCTCTATCTTCTACACACATCATCAGGCTCAATCTTCTACACACATCATCAGGCTCAATCTTCTACACACATCATCAGGCTCAATCTTCTACACACATCATCAGGCTCAATCTTCTACACACATCATCAGGCTCAATCTTCTACACACATCATCAGGCTCAATCTTCTACACACATCATCAGGCTCAATCTTCTACACACATCATCAGGCTCAATCTTCTACACACATCAAACACAGCCCAACAAGCTAGCCCCACTCACCAGTTGCTAAAGCCCCACTCACCAGTTGCTAAAGTCCCACTCACCAGTTGCTATAGCCCCACTCACCAGTTGCTAAAGTCCCACTCACCTGTGCTAAAGCCCCACTCACCTGTGCTAAAGCCCCACTCACCTGTGCTAAAGCCCCACTCACCTGTGTTAAAGCCCCACTCACCTGTGCTAAAGCCCCACTCACCTGTGCTAAAGCCCCACTCACCTGTTGCTAAAGCCCCACCCACCTGTTGCTAAAGTCCTACTCACCTGTTGCTAAAGCCCCACTCACCTGTTGCTAAAGCCCCACTCACCTGTTGCTAAAGCCCCACTCACCTGTTGCTAAAGCCCCACTCACCTGTTGCTAAAGCCCCACTCACCTGTTGCTAAAGCCCCACTCACCTGTTGCTAAAGCCCCACTCACCTGTTGCTAAAGCCCCACTCACCTGTGCTAAAGCCCCACTCACCTGTTGCTAAAGCCCCACTCACCTGTGCTAAAGCCCCATTCACCAGTGTTAAAGCCCCACTCACCTGTGCTAAAGCCCCACTCACCTGTTGCTAAAGTCCCACTCACCTGTTGCTAAAGCCCCACCCACCTGTTGCTAAAGCCCCACCCACCTGTTGCTAAAGCCCCACTCACCTGTTGCTAAAGCCCCACTCACCTGTTGCTAAAGCCCCACTCACCTGTGCTAAAGCCCCACTCACCTGTGGCTAGGATAGTAAAGGCACAAGTATTCCAGGCCATTACTGGAACTCTGGGGTTTTCATCATCAGGGTCAACACCGAGGCCAAACTGGAGAGGAAAGGTGGGAGAGGGGGGACATTTGGTAAACACATGGGTGCCGTCATCTATTGTTTTGTCAAGTAACATGTTTCTAGGATGTAACCTTTGACCTCCACCACACTTGATCCCCTGTATATATCTTATGATCTAAGGTGTTGTCTGTGCCTGCTCTATGTCTTCTTGTGGTGAAAACTATGAATGAAACTAGTCACTTACCATCTAGATCATGGCTTTCCATGAATGAAACTACTCACTGACTACCTAGATCATGGCTTTCCATGAATGAAACTACTCACTGACCACCTAGGTCATGGCTTTCCATGAATGAAACTACTCACTGACTACCTAGATCATGGCTTTCCATGAATGAAACTACTCACTGACCACCTAGGTCATGGCTTTCCATGAATGAAACTACTCACTGACCACCTAGATCATGGCTTTCCATGAATGAAACTACTCACTGACCACCTAGGTCATGGCTTTCCATGAATGAAACTACTCACTGACCACCTAGATCATGGCTTTCCATGAATGAAACTACTCACTGACCACCTAGATCATGGCTTTCCATGAATGAAACCAGTCACTGACCACCTAGATCATGGCTTTCCATGAATGAAACTACTCACTGACCACCTAGATCATGGCTTTCCATGAATGAAACCAGTCACTGACCACCTAGATCATGGCTTTCCATGAATGAAACTACTCACTGACCATCTAGGTCATGGCTTTCCATGAATGAAACTACTCACTGACCATCTAGATCATGGCTTTCCATGAATGAAACTAGCCACTGACCACCTAGATCATGGCTTTCCATGAATGAAACTACTCACTGACCATCTAGATCATGGCTTTCCATGAATGAAACCAGTCACTGACCACCTAGGTCATGGCTTTCCATGAATGAAACTACTCACTGACCACCTAGATCATGGCTTTCCATGAATGAAACTACTCACTGACCACCTAGATCATGGCTTTCCATGAATGAAACCAGTCACTGACCACCTAGATCATGGCTTTCCATGAATGAAACCAGTCACTGACCACCTAGGTCATGGCTTTCCATGAATGAAACCAGTCACTGACCACCTAGATCATGGCTTTCCATGAATGAAACCAGTCACTGACCACCTAGATCATGGCTTTCCATGAATGAAACCAGTCACTGACCACCTAGATCATGGCTTTCCATGAATGAAACTACTCACTGACCATCTAGATCATGGCTTTCCATGAATGAAACCAGTCACTGACCACCTAGATCATGGCTTTCCATGAATGAAACTACTCACTGACCACCTAGGTCATGGCTTTCCATGAATGAAACTACTCACTTACCATCTAGATCATGGCTTTCCATGAATGAAACCAGTCACTGACCATCTAGATCATGGCTTTCCATGAATGAAACCTGTCACTGACCACCTAGATCATGGCTTTCCATGAATGAAACTACTCACTGACCATCTAGATCATGGCTTTCCATGAATGAAACCAGTCACTGACCACCTAGATCATGGCTTTCCATGAATGAAACTACTCACTGACCATCTAGATCATGGCTTTCCATGAATGAAACCAGTCACTGACCACCTAGGTCATGGCTTTCCATGAATGAAACTACTCACTGACCACCTAGGTCATGGCTTTCCATGAATGAAACCAGTCACTGACCACCTAGATCATGGCTTTCCATGAATGAAACTACTCACTGACCATCTAGATCATGGCTTTCCATGAATGAAACTACTCACTGACCACCTAGGTCATGGCTTTCCATGAATGAAACCAGTCACTGACCATCTAGATCATGGCTTTCCATGAATGAAACTACTCACTGACCACCTAGGTCATGGCTTTCCATGAATGAAACCAGTCACTGACCACCTAGATCATGGCTTTCCATGAATGAAACCAGTCACTGACCATCTAGATCATGGCTTTCCATGAATGAAACCAGTCACTGACCACCTAGATCATAGGTTTAGAATCCACTAAATTTTGACTTCTTTTGTCACCATGAAACTTATGGTCAACAACAGAGACTGGATTTAACAGGAAGCTTTCAACAAGAGTGCACAGTACACGTTCTTATAGCAGATTATGGGGAAGATGAAATTCAGTAGTTTCTATGACCTCTGTAAATGAAGGGATAGTGTGGTCAACACCATGCCCAGCCACTTTTAATTCCCCTAACATGGGTGTCCTCATGTTAGTCCTACAGATTCAAGTTTGGGATTTGAACTCAAGACTTTACCATCCAATCACACTGCCCCATTCTGTTGGTCAAGGGTTCTGATCACCAGGTTCTTTTCTAGACAGCTGTAGCTTGAAAACCTGCTACTCACAGAGTAAACATCTCTGACTAACTTAAAACATGCTACTCACAGAGTAAACATCTCTGACTAACTTAAAAACCTGCTACTCACAGAGTAAATATCTCTGACTAGCTTAAAAACCTGCTACTCACAGAGTAAATATCTCTGACTAGCTTAAAAACCTGCTACTCACAGAGTAAATATCTCTGACTAGCTTAAAAACCTGCTACTCACAGAGTAAACATCTCTGACTAGCTTAAAAACCTGCTACTCACAGAGTAAATATCTCTGACTAGCTTAAAAACCTGCTACTCACAGAGTAAACATCTCTGGCAAACTTCTTGATCATCTCTCTCATTCCTTCTGAGAAACATCCACTGAAAATAAAAACAAAGTACCACACAGTTATCTTTCTTCCTTGTACTCCATGCCCACACAGATACTCAGGACAACTCACAGATTTTTGGATCAAAATGTTCTGTACTTTAGAACGGTTCCCAGAAAGAAGCGCAACGGAAAAAAGCGCACACGGAAAAAAGCGCAAAAAGAAACAAGTTAATTAAAAAGTCTAGTGACATTTAAGCGCAATTTCCTTATGTTATATAAAAATAGCTCTGTCGTAGCGTAAATCAAGAGCAGGGTTAGTAAAACCATTGGTTAGTTATTAAAACGTTTTTTATTAATTTTTTTTTCCAGTATTTTACATGTTTTATTTACAATAGAGTTACATGACTAAAAACCATTGCGCGCCTAGCTACCAAACGTGATGTCGCAGCCATTGAACGTGATGGCGCAGCTATTGAACGTGATGACGCGTGTGGTGTGGTTGGATAAAAATGCCTACTAATGCGGTTCAAATTTTAATTAATTCAAAAAATTTTTTGTGACCGAACGAAAGGATATTTTTGAAAACTTTCTTCGGCAATATTGTTCCAAATTATGGCAGGAATCGATTGGTACATGTTTCAAGTCGCTAAGTGGTCTGGTTGCCGAGATATGGGCCAAAAACTGCATTTTTTCGAGTTTTTTTGGCTTTTCCGGGCAATCCATGAAAGAAACCCGGAATTTTTATGGCCTTTGTTCATCCTCGTAACTTGCTTAACATAATTGCTTTTGGAACTAGTCCTCGATATTGCTTCGTTGAGGAGGAGATATGACTTAAAGCTGCGGACACACATCCATCCATCCATCCATTCATTCATTCATACATCCAGAAATGACGGGTTAATAAACGCAATTCTCCAGAATGGAAATTACGCTAAAAAGCACACACAGGAAAAAGCGCAAACGGAAAAAAAGCACAAACAGAAAAAAGCGCTCACAGAAAATAGCGCAAACGGTAAAAAGCACAAACAGAAAAAAGCGCACACAGAAAAAAGCGAAAATGGAAAAAGGCGCACACAGAAAAAAGCGCAAACAGAAAAATGCGCAACCAGAAAAAACAATGAAAAATGTGCAAAAGAGAAATTTAGCACTAATACCTATATCGACTAGATGACACATTTATACATGACTCTTAGGGCTGCTGTGAGAGTGTCGTGTTTGATCACGTGATCTACTACCATTTAAAGCGTACCACTACCATGTGCATTCCCCTCACCACGATACAGGCGATAATCGCTTTACACAATGCCTATTATTTTCTTGGTCCATATTTATTCAACTACTATTCTCTTATAAATAAACATAAAACTATCCTTGATATCGATATTACACGAAGTATCTCTCACATTCTCCCTAGTCCGAACTACCTAGCTTGCATACCATAACAACCCATTCCTATGGCAAAACTTCACTCTCTTTCATACGCGTCATCAAACATGCATTCGTCATATTTCTCGCAACAACATTCATTCGCACCAAAATACCTGATAAAACACACATCATAACAATGATTTATTTACTATTATTTCATTAAGACGCACCTACCTACCTACCTCCCTCCCTGCCTGCCTGCCTACCTACCTACCTACCTGCCTACCTACCTGCCTGCTGCCTGCATGCCTACCCACCTACCTAATTACCTCATATATATATATATATATATATATATATATATATATATATTGTTTTGATGTATGTTTAAACAAGGAGGATTGGTGTGAACGAATATCAGTGCGAGAGTTAATGACGAATTGAATAGTTACGCGGTTCGCAAGAATGTGACGTTTTAGTGTATGTTCGTAGTTGTCAGGGAAAGAAGTTAAAAAGAACACTTATTCTTGATGTGTTAGAGTGATGTCATAATGTAGTCCAGTCTTAGTATTGTTCGTTCAAGTCGTCCTTTGTAATGGAATAAATAGTCAAATTAATGTCATCCTGTCGAATCATTTGTATACCTTGATGTCGTCGTGCTTTGGGATGAACTACTGAATGGCTAGACAGAATATAATGGTAGTGTTGACCCTCTCACTTCACAGTTGCGGGACACATACACATAGTTATAACATATATATATATATATATATATATATATATATATATATATATATATATATATATATATATATATATATATATATATATGGGTTGGTGGGTAAGTGGGTGTGTCGGTTGTTAGGTGGGTATGTGGGTAGATGTGTGGGTGGGTAGTTAGGTAGGTGGTTGGGTGTTTGTGTAGATGATATAGATTATGCAAATTTCCATTTTGCTAGCGGACACTAGTAAAAGTGTATGTTTACATGTTTTCATTACCCTTCAAACAATAGTCTATTTTAGTTATATTGAGATAGTACACACAATTCTGTAGAATAGGAATGATTGGGAGGGAAGTGACATATAGCGCAGGAAATTTAGAGGTTAGGTAGGGTATAATAAAAGGTAGGGTTAGGAAAGTTAAGGGGTCCATTCTCTAATAGGCAGTCTATGTCTCTTTCGTACTTTCGTGTTGGTTTATTGTCGAACCTGTCCTCACCTCACATCACAACAGTTGGGTGACGCTTACCGTGTAATGTTAAAATAAATAGCATGTAATTGAGTTAGTTAGAAGTGAGTTTTCATACAAGCCCAACAAACTAATTAAGATTGTTGCAAAATGTAACATATGTAACATATGTCAATGAATTTTCATTTTAAAAAAAAGATGTCTAGTACAGTTTACGAAACTAACGAACTTCACCGATACTTTTTTGGTGGGTAAGTGGGTAGGCGGGTAGGTGGGTAAGTGTGTAGGTGGGTAGGTAGGTAGTTAGGTAGGTAGGTAGTAGGTAGGTAGGTGTGTCATGATGTGGAATAATATTAAATACATAATTTTTGGTGCGAATGAATGTTGTTGCGAGAGATATGACGAATGCATGTTTGATGACGGGGATGAAAGAGTGTGAAGTTTTGCCATAGGAACGGGTTGTTATGGTATGCAAGCTAGGTAGTTCGGACTAGGGAGAATGTGAGAGATACTTCGTGTAATGTCGATATCAAGGATAGTTTTATGTTTGTTTATAAGAGAATAGTAGTTGAATAATTATTGACCAAGAAAATAATAGGCATTGTGTAAAGCGATTATCGCCTGTATCGTGGTGAGGGGAATGCACATGGTAGTGGTACGCTTTAAATGGTAGTAGATCACGTGATCAAACACGACACTCTCACAGCAGCCCTAAGAGTCATGTATAAATGTGTCATCTAGTCGATATAGGTATTAGTGCTAAATTTCTCTTTTGCTTATTTTTCGTTGTTTTTTCTGGTTGCGCATTTTTCTGTTTGCGCTTTTTTCTGTGTGCACTTTTTTCTGTGTGCACTTTTTTCTGTTTGCGCTTTTTTCCGTTTGCGCTTTTTTTCTGTTTGCGCTTTTTTCTTTTTGCGCTTTTTTCTCTTTGCGCTTTTTTCCGTGTGCGCTTTTTTCCGTTGCGCTTTTTGTTTTGCGCTTTTTTCCGTTGCGCTTCTTTCTGGTCACCACTTTAGAACACTTGTTTGGCCAACAATTTTTGATAGAAACTTTTGAATGAACTCAAGCATCTCCATAAATAGATCTGGCTAATGTTTCTAAAAGCTGCTGTGTGTTCCCTAAGTGGCAGTACAAGAATGTCTCCATAAATAGATCTGGCTAATGTTTCTAAAAGCTGGTGTGTGTTCCCTAAGTGGCAGTACAAGAATGTCTCCATAAATAGATCTGGCTAATGTTTCTAAAAGCTGGTGTGTGTTCCCTAAGTGGCAGTACAAGAATGTCTCCATAAATAGATCTGGCTAATGTTTCTAAAAGCTGATGTGTGTTCCCTAAGTGGCAGTACAAGAATGTCTCCATAAATAGATCTGGCTAATGTTTCTAAAAGCTGCTGTGTGTTCCCTAAGTGGCAGTACAAGAATGTCTCCATAAATAGATCTGGCTAATGTTTCTAAAAGCTGCTGTGTGTTCCCTAAGTGGCAGTACAAGAATGTCTCCATAAATAGATCTGGCTAATGTTTCTAAAAGCTGCTGTGTGTTCCCTAAGTGGCAGAACAAGAATGTCTCCATAAATAGATCTGGCTAATGTTTCTAAAAGCTGCTGTGTGTTCCCTAAGTGGCAGAACAAGAATGTCTCCATAAATAGATCTGGCTAATGTTTCTAAAAGCTGCTGTGTGTTCCCTAAGTGGCAGAACAAGAATGTCTCCATAAATAGATCTGGCTAATGTTTCTAAAAGCTGCTGTGTGTTCCCTAAGTGGCAGTACAAGAATGTCTCCATAAATAGATCTGGCTAATGTTTCTAAAAGCTGCTGTGTGTTCCCTAAGTGGCAGAACAAGAATGTCTCCATAAATAGATCTGGCTAATGTTTCTAAAAGCTGCTGTGTGTTCCCTAAGTGGCAGAACAAGAATGTCTCCATAAATAGATCTGGCTAATGTTTCTAAAAGCTGCTGTGTGTTCCCTAAGTGGCAGTACAAGAATGTCTCCATAAATAGATCTGGCTAATGTTTCTAAAAGCTGCTGTGTGTTCCCTAAGTGGCAGTACAAGAATGTCTCCATAAATAGATCTGGCTAATGTTTCTAAAAGCTGCTGTGTGTTTCCTAAGTGGCAGAACAAGAATGTCTCCATAAATAGATCTGGCTAATGTTTCTAAAAGCTGCTGTGTGTTCCCTAAGTGGCAGAACAAGAATGTCTCCATAAATAGATCTGGCTAATGTTTCTAAAAGCTGCTGTGTGTTCCCTAAGTGGCAGAACAAGAATGTCTCCATAAATAGATCTGGCTAATGTTTCTAAAAGCTGCTGTGTGTTCCCTAAGTGGCAGTACAAGAATGTCTCCATAAATAGATCTGGCTAATGTTTCTAAAAGCTGCTGTGTGTTCCCTAAGTGGCAGAACAAGAATGTCTCCATAAATAGATCTGGCTAATGTTTCTAAAAGCTGCTGTGTGTTCCCTAAGTGGCAGTACAAGAATGTCTCCATAAATAGATCTGGCTAATGTTTCTAAAAGCTGCTGTGTGTTCCCTAAGTGGCAGTACAAGAATGTCTCCATAAATAGATCTGGCTAATGTTTCTAAAAGCTGCTGTGTGTTCCCTAAGTGGCAGAACAAGAATGTCTCCATAAATAGATCTGGCTAATGTTTCTAAAAGCTGCTGTGTGTTCCCTAAGTGGCAGAACAAGAATGTCTCCATAAATAGATCTGGCTAATGTTTCTAAAAGCTGCTGTGTGTTCCCTAAGTGGCAGTACAAGAATGTCTCCATAAATAGATCTGGCTAATGTTTCTAAAAGCTGCTGTGTGTTCCCTAAGTGGCAGTACAAGAATGTCTCCATAAATAGATCTGGCTAATGTTTCTAAAAGCTGCTGTGTGTTCCCTAAGTGGCAGAACAAGAATGTCTCCATAAATAGATCTGGCTAATGTTTCTAAAAGCTGCTGTGTGTTCCCTAAGTGGCAGAACAAGAATGTCTCCATAAATAGATCTGGCTAATGTTTCTAAAAGCTGCTGTGTGTTCCCTAAGTGGCAGAACAAGAATGTCTCCATAAATAGATCTGGCTAATGTTTCTAAAAGCTGCTGTGTGTTCCCTAAGTGGCAGTACAAGAATGTCTCCATAAATAGATCTGGCTAATGTTTCTAAAAGCTGCTGTGTGTTCCCTAAGTGGCAGAACAAGAATGTCTCCATAAATAGATCTGGCTAATGTTTCTAAAAGCTGCTGTGTGTTCCCTAAGTGGCAGAACAAGAATGTCTCCATAAATAGATCTGGCTAATGTTTCTAAAAGCTGCTGTGTGTTCCCTAAGTGGCAGAACAAGAATGTCTCCATAAATAGATCTGGCTAATGTTTCTAAAAGCTGCTGTGTGTTCCCTAAGTGGCAGTACAAGAATGTGCTGAGCTGACTTACCTGGCATCATCATAGACATACTCCCAGAGGAGCTGGAAGTTCTTGGCCACACTCTCTGCCATCATCCTGGTGATGGTGGAGATGGGGCAAGGCTTGAACAGCAGCAGTTCATCTGTGGAGGACATTCAGTGGAGGTCAGGGACAACATTCAGTGGAGGTCAGGGACAACATTCAGTGGAGGTCAGGGACAACATTCAGTGGAGGTCAGGGACAACATTCAGTGGAGGTCAGGGACAACATTCAGTGGAGGTCAGGGACAACATTCAGTGGAGGTCAGGGACAACATTCATTGGAGGTCATGGAGGACATTCAGTGGAGGTCAGGGACAACATTCAGTGGAGGTCAGGGACAACATTCAGTGGAGGTCAGGGACAACATTCAGTGGAGGTCAGGGACAACATTCAGTGGAGGTCAGGGACAACATTCAGTGGAGGTCAGGGACAACATTCAGTGGAGGTCAGGGACAACATTCAGTGGAGGTCAGGGACAACATTCATTGGAGGTCATGGAGGACATTCAGTGGAGGTCAGGGACAACATTCAGTGGAGGTCATGGAGGACATTCAGTGGAGGTCATGGAGGTCAATCAGTGGAGGTCAGGGACAACATTCAGTGGAGGTCATGGACAACATTCAGTGGAGGTCATGGAGGACATTCAGTGGAGGTCAGGGACAACATTCAGTGGAGGTCATGGAGGACATTCAGTGGAGGTCATGGAGGTCAATCAGTGGAGGTCAGGGACAACATTCAGTGGAGGTCAGGGACAACATTCAGTGGAGGTCATGGAGGACATTCAGTGGAGGTCATGGAGGTCAATCAGTGGAGGTCAGGGACAACATTCAGTGGAGGTCAGGGACAACATTCAGTGGAGATCATGGAGGACATTCAGTGGAGGTCATGGAGGTCAATCAGTGGAGGTCAGGGACAACATTCAGTGGAGGTCAGGGACAACATTCAGTGGAGGTCATGGAGGACATTCAGTGGAGGTCATGGAGGTCAATCAGTGGAGGTCAGGGACAACATTCAGTGGAGGTCATGGACAACATTCAGTGGAGGTCAGGGACAACACTCAGTGGAGGTCATGGAGGACATTCAGTGGAGGTCATGGAGGTCAATCAGTGGAGGTCAGGGACAACATTCAGTGGAGGTCATGGACAACATTCAGTGGAGGTCATGGAGGACATTCAGTGGAGGTCAGGGACAACATTCAGTGGAGGTCAGGGACAACATTCAGTGGAGGTCAGGGACAACATTCAGTGGAGGTCAGGGACAACATTCAGTGGAGGTCAGGGACAACATTCAGTGGAGGTCATGGAGGACATTCAGTGGAGGTCAGGGACAACATTCAGTGGAGGTCAATCAGTGGAGGTCAGGGACAACATTCAGTGGAGGTCATGGACAACATTCAGTGGAGGTCATGGAGGACATTCAGTGGAGGTCAGGGACAACATTCATTGGAGGTCAGGGACAACATTCAGTGGAGGTCAGGGACAACATTCAGTGGAGGTCAGGGACAACATTCAGTGGAGGTCATGGACAACATTCAGTGGAGGTCATGGAGGTCAATCAGTGGAGGTCAGGGACAACATTCAGTGGAGGTCAGGAACAACATTCAGTGGAGGTCATGGAGGACATTCAGTGGAGGTCAGGGACAACATTCAGTGGAGGTCAGGGACAACATTCAGTGGAGGTCATGGAGGACATTCAGTGGAGGTCAGGGACAACATTTAGTGGAGGTCAATCAGTGGAGGTCAGGGACAACATTCAGTGGAGGTCATGGACAACATTCAGTGGAGGTCAGGGACAACATTCAGTGGAGGTCAGGGACAACATTCAGTGGAGGTCAGGAACAACATTCAGTGGAGGTCAGGGACAACATTCAGTGGAGGTCAGGGACAACGGTGACAGGACAAATGATCTCAGGACAAATGATCTCAGACAAAATATCTCAGACAAAATATCTCACGGACAAATGATCTCAGGACAAATGATCTCAAGGACAAATGATCTCACGGACAAAATATATCAGGACAAATGATACCACGGACAATTGATCTCAGACAAAATATCTCAGACAAAATATCTCACACCTAAATTTTAATAGTGTAATTGATGATTTTAGTTGATCTGATTTTTTTTATTGACTGTCATATGGTTTTGTTTACCATGTTTAATATTGTTTATAGGCCTATATAATAATAGTAAGAACTGTTTGCCGTATACATTTGTCATATTGCACTAAACATTTTAAAGTTAGTATTATAAATATAGTATACGAAGATTAAAGATTTTTTTCGATAGACAGCGTAGGTGAGCTTGCCAAACATGAGACAATCCTACCACGTCAGGTGGACGAAACTAGAACAAAGGGGATGAAATAACAATAAAGACACACCTTCGTGTCAAGGTGGCCGCCTGCTTTGATGGCATAGACATGCCTTAAGGGAAAGACTTCCACCCTCCATGGACAATACAACTAGCATCAACAGTCAATAGTTATGCATCGGTCACACCTTAGTGATCAGGTGACACATGCTTATTTAAACAAACAGCGGTCATCGCGGAGCTAAGTTTGTCGAAGTGTGCATCAAACAAAGCAGTATTAGTGGTGATTACTCAGTTATGGCCTCTTTCGTTACCTCGCAGAAATGTTTTAGGACATTAATTTCTGGTGAATTTATGTTTGCCATAAGCAGGCAAAGAGATTTGGAAATGTGAAATTAGGACATGTCGAGCAAGAGTTCACACAATAGATGATCACGTAGTATTGGAGAAGTGTGATCATATTGATGTACCTGCCAGCAAAGAAACGTAAACTTTATCTTTGTGTTGATGATGCAATAAAAACAATAGTTTTACGTTACAAACCTGAAGACCCATTTACATTTTTGAAAAATATTTCGCGTGTTTTGAACCTTAATGTTGTATAACTACCATTAATTTATTTGTTTTATACGTTATCATCTATTATAACTTTCAGGCTAAAGGAGTAAGTTTGTTATAATTTTTACTTTTTCGAATCAAATGCTACGACAAAGTTTAATAAATCTTTTGATGGTTTGTTAGGTTTAACAAATTCATTTTATTCACAATTATTCTGCGTAAAAAAATAAACATACCCATATTGACAGTCAATAAAAAAAAGTTCAAATCAACAAAAATCATCGTACATACTATTAAAATTTTGCTGTGAGATATTTTGTCTGAGATATTTTGTCTGAGATCAATTGTCCGTGGTATCATTTGTCCTGATATATTTTGTCCTGGTATCTTTTGTCCGTGAGATCATTTGTCCTTGAGATCATTTGTCCTGAGATCATTTGTCCTGAGATCATTTGTCCGTGAGATATTTTGTCTGAGATATTTTGTCTGAGATCATTTGTCCTGAGATCATTTGTCATGGAACCGGGACAACATTCAGTGGAGGTCAGGGACAACATTCAGTGGAGGTCATGGAGGACATTCAGTTGAGGTCAGGGACAACATTCAGTGGAGGTCAATCAGTGGAGGTCATGGAGGACATTCAGTGGAGGTCAGGGACAACATTCAGTGGAGGTCATGGAGGACATTCAGTGGAGGTCAGGGACAACATTCAGTGGAGGTCAATCAGTGGAGGTCAGGGACAACATTCAGTGGAGGTCATGGAGGACATTCAGTGGAGGTCAGGGACAACATTCAGTGGAGGTTATGGAGGACATTCAGTGGAGGTCAGGGACAACATTCAGTGGAGGTCAGGGACAACATTCAGTGGAGGTCAGGGACAACATTCAGTGGAGGTCATGGACAACATTCAGTGGAGGTTATGGAGGACATTCAGTGGAGGTCAGGGACAACATTCAGTGGAGGTCAGGGACAACATTCAGTGGAGGTCAGGGACAACATTCAGTGGAGGTCATGGACAACATTCAGTGGAGGTCATGGACCACATTCAGTGGAGGTCATGGAGGACATTCAGTGGAGGTCAGGGACAACATTCATTGGAGGTCAGGGACAACATTCAGTGGAGGTCATGGACCACATTCAGTGGAGGTCATGGAGGACATTCAGTGGAGGTCAGGGACAACATTCAGTGGAGGTCAGGGACAACATTCAGTGGAGGTCAGGGACAACATTCAGTGGAGGTCAGGGACAACATTCAGTGGAGGTCATGGAGGACATTCAGTGGAGGTCAGGGACAACATTCAGTGGAGGTCAGGGACAACATTCAGTGGAGGTTTTTCATCCTAGGTTTTAATTTCTTAATTTAGCAGATTAACTCCACTATTGGGGGAAGAGTTTGCATGCATGTAGTCATGGAGAGATAAATATCCAGGGTTTGTACACTATTTTGAAAATAAAATTTCAGACTTATTTCCAGCTTATTATGAAAGTCAAGTGTAGCTTATTGTATCCTGAGCTGAACCCCCCCCCCCCCCCCCCCCCAGGGGAAACCTTGTGACAGTCTAGTGTAGCTTATTGAAGTAGAGAGCTAGGAGACAGTCTAGTGTAGCTTATTGAAGTAGAGAGCTAGGAGACAGTCTAGTGTAGCTTATTGAAGTAGACAGTCTAGTGTAGCTTATTGAAGTAGAGAGCTAGGAGACAGTCTAGTGTAGCTTATTGAAGTAGAGGAGACAGTCTAGTGTAGCTTATTGAAGTAGACAGTCTAGTGTAGCTTATTGAAGTAGAGGAGACAGTCTAGTGTAGCTTATTGAAGTAGACAGTCTAGTGTAGCTTATTGAAGTAGACAGTCTAGTGTAGCTTATTGAAGTAGAGGAGACAGTCTAGTGTAGCTTATTGAAGTAGACAGTCTAGTGTAGCTTATTGAAGTAGACAGTCTAGTGTAGCTTATTGAAGTAGAGGAGACAGTCTAGTGTAGCTTATTGAAGTAGACAGTCTAGTGTAGCTTATTGAAGTAGACAGTCTAGTGTAGCTTATTGAAGTAGAGGAGACAGTCTAGTGTAGCTTATTGAAGTAGACAGTCTAGTGTAGCTTATTGAAGTAGAGTAGACAGTCTAGTGTAGCTTATTGAAGTAGAGAGCTAGGAGACAGTCTAGTGTAGCTTATTGAAGTAGACAGTCTAGTGTAGCTTATTGAAGTAGAGGAGACAGTCTAGTGTAGCTTATTGAAGTAGAGAGTCTAGTGTAGCTTATTGAAGTAGAGACCTAGGAGACAGTCTAGTGTAGCTTATTGAAGTAGAGGAGACAGACTAGTGTAGCTTATTGAAGTAGAGAGCTAGGAGACAGTCTAGTGTAGCTTATTGAAGTAGAGTAGACAGTCTAGTGTAGCTTATTGAAGTAGACAGTCTAGTGTAGCTTATTGAAGTAGACAGTCTAGTGTAGCTTATTGAAGTAGAGAGCTAGGAGACAGTCTAGTGTAGCTTATTGAAGTAGAGTAGACAGTCTAGTGTAGCTTATTGAAGTAGACAGTCTAGTGTAGCTTATTGAAGTAGAGACCTAGTAGACAGTCTAGTGTAGCTTATTGAAGTAGAGGAGACAGTCTAGTGTAGCTTATTGAAGTAGACAGTCTAGTGTAGCTTATTGAAGTAGAGGAGACAGTCTAGTGTAGCTTATTGAAGTAGAGGAGACAGTCTAGTGTAGCTTATTGAAGTAGAGTAGACAGTCTAGTGTAGCTTATTGAAGTAGAGAGCTAGGAGACAGTCTAGTGTAGCTTATTGAAGTAGAGGAGACAGTCTAGTGTAGCTTATTGAAGTAGACAGTCTAGTGTAGCTTATTGAAGTAGAGGAGACAGTCTAGTGTAGCTTATTGAAGTAGAGTAGACAGTCTAGTGTAGCTTATTGAAGTAGAGAGTCTAGTGTAGCTTATTGAAGTAGAGAGTCTAGTGTAGCTTATTGAAGTAGACAGTCTAGTGTAGCTTATTGAAGTAGAGAGTCTAGTGTAGCTTATTGAAGTAGACAGTCTAGTGTAGCTTATTGAAGTAGACAGTCTAGTGTAGCTTATTGAAGTAGACAGTCTAGTGTAGCTTATTGAAGTAGAGAGCTAGGAGACAGTCTAGTGTAGCTTATTGAAGTAGAGAGTCTAGTGTAGCTTATTGAAGTAGAGAGTCTAGTGTAGCTTATTGAAGTAGAGAGCTAGGAGACAGTCTAGTGTAGCTTATTGAAGTAGACAGTCTAGTGTAGCTTATTGAAGTAGAGGAGACAGTCTAGTGTAGCTTATTGAAGTAGACAGTCTAGTGTAGCTTATTGAAGTAGAGGAGACAGTCTAGTGTAGCTTATTGAAGTAGACAGTCTAGTGTAGCTTATTGAAGTAGAGAGCTAGGAGACAGTCTAGTGTAGCTTATTGAGGTAGAGTAGACAGTCTAGTGTAGCTTATTGAAGTAGACAGTCTAGTGTAGCTTATTGAAGTAGACAGTGTAGTGTAGCTTATTGAAGTAGAGGAGACAGTCTAGTGTAGCTTATTGAAGTAGAGTAGACAGTCTAGTGTAGCTTATTGAAGTAGAGAGCTAGGAGACAGTCTAGTGTAGCTTATTGAAGTAGACAGTCTAGTGTAGCTTATTGAAGTAGACAGTCTAGTGTAGCTTATTGAAGTAGACAGTCTAGTGTAGCTTATTGAAGTAGAGTAGACAGTCTAGTGTAGCTTATTGAAGTAGAGAGTCTAGTGTAGCTTATTGAAGTAGACAGTCTAGTGTAGCTTATTGAAGTAGAGTAGACAGTCTAGTGTAGCTTATTGAAGTAGACAGTCTAGTGTAGCTTATTGAAGTAGACAGTCTAGTGTAGCTTATTGAAGTAGAGTAGAGTCTAGTGTAGCTTATTGAAGTAGACAGTCTAGTGTAGCTTATTGAAGTAGAGGAGACAGACTAGTGTAGCTTATTGAAGTAGAGAGCTAGGAGACAGTCTAGTGTAGCTTATTGAAGTAGAGTAGACAGTCTAGTGTAGCTTATTGAAGTAGACAGTCTAGTGTAGCTTATTGAAGTAGACAGTCTAGTGTAGCTTATTGAAGTAGACAGTCTAGTGTAGCTTATTGAAGTAGACAGTCTAGTGTAGCTTATTGAAGTAGAGAGCTAGGAGACAGTCTAGTGTAGCTTATTGAAGTAGAGAGTCTAGTGTAGCTTATTGAAGTAGAGAGTCTAGTGTAGCTTATTGAAGTAGAGAGCTAGGAGACAGTCTAGTGTAGCTTATTGAAGTAGAGAGTCTAGTGTAGCTTATTGAAGTAGAGAGCTAGGAGACAGTCTAGTGTATCTTATTGAAGTAGACAGTCTAGTGTAGCTTATTGAAGTAGAGGAGACAGTCTAGTGTAGCTTATTGAAGTAGAGACCTAGTAGACAGTCTAGTGTAGCTTATTGAAGTAGACAGTCTAGTGTAGCTTATTGAAGTAGAGGAGACAGTCTAGTGTAGCTTATTGAAGTAGACAGTCTAGTGTAGCTTATTGAAGTAGAGACCTAGTAGACAGTCTAGTGTAGCTTATTGAAGTAGAGACCTAGTAGACAGTCTAGTGTAGCTTATTGAAGTAGAGGAGACAGTCTAGTGTAGCTTATTGAAGTAGAGGAGACAGTCTAGTGAAGCTTATTGAAGTAGAGGAGACAGTCTAGTGTAGCTTATTGAAGTAGAGGAGACAGTCTAGTGTAGCTTATTGAAGTAGAGAGCTAGGAGACAGTCTAGTGTAGCTTATTGAAGTAGAGGAGACAGTCTAGTGTAGCTTATTGAAGTAGAGAGCTAGGAGACAGTCTAGTGTAGCTTATTGAAGTAGAGAGCTAGGAGACAGTCTAGTGTAGCTTATTGAAGTAGACAGTCTAGTGTAGCTTATTGAAGTAGAGGAGACAGTCTAGTGTAGCTTATTGAAGTAGACAGTCTAGTGTAGCTTATTGAAGTAGAGGAGACAGTCTAGTGTAGCTTATTGAAGTAGAGGAGACAGTCTAGTGTAGCTTATTGAAGTAGACAGTCTAGTGTAGCTTATTGAAGTAGACAGTCTAGTGTAGCTTATTGAAGTAGAGACCTAGTAGACAGTCTAGTGTAGCTTATTGAAGTAGAGGAGACAGTCTAGTGTAGCTTATTGAAGTAGACAGTCTAGTGTAGCTTATTGAAGTAGACAGTCTAGTGTAGCTTATTGAAGTAGAGACCTAGTAGACAGTCTAGTGTAGCTTATTGAAGTAGAGGAGACAGTCTAGTGTAGCTTATTGAAGTAGACAGTCTAGTGTAGCTTATTGAAGTAGAGGAGACAGTCTAGTGTAGCTTATTGAAGTAGACAGTCTAGTGTAGCTTATTGAAGTAGACAGTCTAGTGTAGCTTATTGAAGTAGAGGAGACAGTCTAGTGTAGCTTATTGAAGTAGACAGTCTAGTGTAGCTTATTGAAGTAGACAGTCTAGTGTAGCTTATTGAAGTAGAGGAGACAGTCTAGTGTAGCTTATTGAAGTAGACAGTCTAGTGTAGCTTATTGAAGTAGAGGAGACAGTCTAGTGTAGCTTATTGAAGTAGACAGTCTAGTGTAGCTTATTGAAGTAGACAGTCTAGTGTAGCTTATTGAAGTAGAGACCTAGGAGACAGTCTAGTGTAGCTTATTGAAGTAGAGGAGACAGTCTAGTGTAGCTTATTGAAGTAGAGAGCTAGGAGACAGTCTAGTGTAGCTTATTGAAGTAGAGAGCTAGGAGACAGTCTAGTGTAGCTTATTGAAGTAGACAGTCTAGTGTAGCTTATTGAAGTAGAGGAGACAGTCTAGTGTAGCTTATTGAAGTAGACAGTCTAGTGTAGCTTATTGAAGTAGAGGAGACAGTCTAGTGTAGCTTATTGAAGTAGACAGTCTAGTGTAGCTTATTGAAGTAGACAGTCTAGTGTAGCTTATTGAAGTAGAGACCTAGGAGACAGTCTAGTGTAGCTTATTGAAGTAGAGGAGACAGTCTAGTGTAGCTTATTGAAGTAGAGAGCTAGGAGACAGTCTAGTGTAGCTTATTGAAGTAGAGACCTAGTAGACAGTCTAGTGTAGCTTATTGAAGTAGAGGAGACAGTCTAGTGTAGCTTATTGAAGTAGAGAGCTAGGAGACAGTCTAGTGTAGCTTATTGAAGTAGAGAGCTAGGAGACAGTCTAGTGTAGCTTATTGAAGTAGACAGTCTAGTGTAGCTTATTGAAGTAGAGGAGACAGTCTAGTGTAGCTTATTGAAGTAGAGACCTAGTAGACAGTCTAGTGTAGCTTATTGAAGTAGAGGAGACAGTCTAGTGTAGCTTATTGAAGTAGAGAGCTAGGAGACAGTCTAGTGTAGCTTATTGAAGTAGAGACCTAGGAGACAGTCTAGTGTAGCTTATTGAAGTAGAGAGTCTAGTGTAGCTTATTGAAGTAGAGACCTAGGAGACAGTCTAGTGTAGCTTATTGAAGTAGAGAGCTAGTAGACAGTCAAGCAGAGCTGCCATGATGGGGTTACTGACCTTGTGACTCTTTATCTTCTGCCTGCTTGATGCTGTTGACCACAGTCTTGAGTATCCCATCTAACCAGTCATCATAGCGAAGTTCCAGCGTCTTTTTCTCCCTAGGGTCAACACATTAGCAGAGTGAAAAAATTTGTTATGCTAGCATTTTTTCTCTCTCTATACTGTTTTCTGTCTAATTCCCCTGGATTAGTTTGCTAGGAGTCACCATTACTGCTAGCATGATACAAGTCAGCTATGATACTACTAGTATGATACAAGTTAGCTCTACTACCACTAGTGTGATACAAGTTAGCTATACTTTTACTGCTAGCATGATACAAGTCAGCTATGATACTACTAGTATGATACAAGTTAGCTATACTACCACTAGTCTGATACAAGTTATCTATACTTTTACTGCTAGTGTAATACAAGTCAGCTATAGGTATAGCTACACTACTGCTAGTGTAATACAAGTTAGCTATAGGTATACTACTGCTAGTGTGATACAAGTCAGCTATACTAGTGTGATTACCTACCCCTCATTAACAAGTGTAGGTAGTGGAGGGACAATGGGGATGACTGTATTGCTTAAGCCTTCACACAGTGGACACAGGTACTCCATCTTGTCTATATCATAACTGTAACTGTGGCGAAACCTCATTGGACGTCGCCGTTCTCGATTGACAATATTTGTGAAAAACCTGAAGAAATAACAAGACCAGCTTTTTGTCAAACATGCTCACTTTTCCTGTTATAATGAAGAAAGCTAATTTGTAAAAATCATTCATGTAAAATGAATGCTATGATTTATGTTCATTAGCCTTGAGCCAATTGTTTAAAAAAAATGTAATCATTCTCTCAGTACCAAAAGCATTGATTGCTCTCAATGATGCCCATGTTACATTTCAGACCATTGTTAGTTATTGCCAAAAGTATCAACAATGGACTTACTATATTAAATCTGATCAATCTTTAATGGAATTGACAAACTATAAGAAGGTCCAGAGAAAAAGAAGGTCCACACAAAAAGAATGTCATCAAATGATCCAAACTTTTACTTGAATTATAAAGTGAAAGTGGGGGTTGACCATTCCTCTATCACATTATCATTCAGTACAGTAAGGCAGTGAAAGATCAGACATTTCCTCTTGGGTTGGTAAAAATTACTTGAGTGTACCCTGGGCTGTAAAGGGTTAACTGTTGCTGGTGTGTGCTCTCTGACCTAGTTTTTCCTAGTGCTAGTTGTACTCACCCCTGCAAACATTCATGGTGCATCACATAATCTGGTGTGTGCTCTCTGACCTAGTTTTTCCTAGTGCTAGTTGTACTCATCCCTGCCAACATTCATGGTGCATCACATGACCACATGAGCTGGTGTGTGCTCTCTGACCTAGTTTTTCCTAGTGCTAGTTGTACTCACCCCTGCCAACATTCATGGTGCATCACATGACCACATGAGCTGGTGTGTGCTCTCTGACCTAGTTTTTCCTAGTGCTAGTTGTACTCACCCCTGCCAACATTCATGGTGCATCACATGACCACATGAGCTGGTGTGGGTGCCCTTGCTCAAGTCCGCGGGGGGAAAAAGTGGGTCCAGCTCAGATGCTGGACTCAGCTTTCTATTTTGACTTAGAACTGTTGACCTAGGGGGATCAAGAAAAAACAGCTCTAGAAAACCTGTCACAGCTGTCAGTCCTAAATCAAACAAGTCAACATAATGAATGACAACACAACTGTCAGTCCTAAATCAAACAAGTCAACACAATGAATGACAACACAACTGTGAGTCCTAAATCAAACAAGTCAACACAATGAATGACAACACAACTGTCAGTCCTATATCAAACAAGTCAACACAATGAATGACAACACAACTGTCAGTCCTAAATCAGACAAGTTAACACAATGAATGACAACACAACTGTCAGTCCTAAATCAAACAAGTCAACACAATGAATGACAACACAACTGTCAGTCCTAAATCAAACAAGTCAACACAATGAATGACAACACATCTGTCAGTCCTAAATCAAACAAGTCAACACAATGACTGAGGAGACAGAGATACTGACTGTTGAACAAATGCTGAGAGCACCATGGCACGCCCTGATGATGAGATGCGCTGCTCCTCTTGACACAGTATACAGGTGACTTGGATGGGTCCAACCATCTTCACACCTGTCTGATTGGGTCCAAGGGCAACAAATACTTCATCCCCTGATGGTACCTCCATCATGTCCACCTCACTAGGCTGGTCAATCACCTGCATAAGACTTACAGGTCACTGACCTTTATAAGACATACTGGTCACTGACCTACACAAGACATACAGGTCACTGACCTACACAAGACATACAGGTCACTGACCTACACAAGACATACTGGTCACAGACCTACTGGTCACTGACCTACACAACATACTGGTCACTGACCTACACAAGACATACTGGTCACTGACCTACACAAGACATACAGGTCACTGACCTACACAAGACATACAGGTCACTCGCCTACACAAGACATACTGGTCACAGACCTACTGGTCACTGACCTACACAAGACATACTGGTCACTGACCTACACAAGACATACAGGTCACTGACCTACACAAGACATACAGGTCACTGACCTACACAAGACATACATGTCACTGACCTACACAAGACATACTGGTCACTGACCTACACAAGACATACAGGTCACTGACCTACACAAGACATACAGGTCACTGACCTACACAAGACATACAGGTCACTGACCTACACAAGACATACTGGTCACTGACCTACACAAGACATACTGGTCACTGACCTACACAAGACATACAGGTCACTGACCTACACAAGACATACAGGTCACTGACCTACACAAGACATACAGGTCACTGACCTACACAAGACATACTGGTCACTGACCTACACAAGACATACAGGTCACTGACCTACACAAGACATACAGGTCACTGACCTACACAAGACATACAGGTCACTGACCTACTGGTCACTGACCTACACAAGACATACTGGTCACTGACCTACACAAGACATACTGGTCACTGACCTACACAAGACATACTGGAAACTGACCTACTGGTCACTGACCTACACAAGACATACAGGTCACTGACCTACACAAGACATACTGGTCACTGACCTACACAAGACATACTGGTCACTGACCTACACAAGACATACTGGTCACTGACCTACACAAGACATACAGGTCACTGACCTACACAAGACATACTGGTCACTGACCTACTGGTCACTGACCTACACAAGACATACTGGTCACAGACCTACACAAGACATACTGGTCACTGACCTACACAAGACATACTGGTCACTGACCTACACAAGACATACAGGTCACTGACCTACAGAAGACATACAGGTCACTGACCTACACAAGACATACAGGTCACTGACCTACACAAGACATACAGGTCACTGACCTACACAAGACATACAGGTCACTGACCTACACAAGACATACTAGTAGCTGATATACAGAAGACAATAAGATTGCTATATTAAAAAGACAACCCCCCTACGGACTGACCTCAGTGCTTGTGTTTTCAAACAGCTCAGCATTTTCTGCAATGAAATCTCTCTGCATTTTTGCCATTTGGGCCATGATTTTGGCCCTTCTCTTAGCAGCCACAGCAGTCCTTTTTTTCCTGTCCCCATCAGAGCGCAGGTCTGTACACCTGGCGATGCTCTCAGCATGTTCTTTGGCCACAGGTTCATCCAGGATCTTCAGGGCCTCGGCAAATTTCTGGACAGTCAGATCAGACCTGGTTAAACTCTAGATCAGACCTGGTTAAACTCTAGCTCAGACCTGGTTAAACTCTAGGTCAGACATGGTTAAACTCTAGGTCAGACCTGGTTAAACTCTAGGTCAGACCTGGTTAAACTCTAGGTCAGACTTGGTTAAACTCTAGGTCAGACCTGGTTAAACTCTAGCTCAGACCTGGTTAAACTCTAGATCAGACCTGGTTAAACTCAAGCTCAGACCTGGTTAAACTCTAGGTCAGACCTGGTTAAACTCTAGGTCAGACCTGGTTAAACTCTAGGTCAGACCTGGTTTAACTCTAGGTCAGACCTGGTTAAACTCTAGATCAGACCTGGTTAAACTCTAGCTCAGACCTTGTTAAACTCTAGCTCAGACCTGGTTAAACTCTAGCTCAGACCTGGTTAAACTCTAGATCAGACCTGGTTAAACTCTAGGTCAGACCTGGTTAAACTCTAGCTCAGACCTGGTTAAACTCTAGCTCAGACCTTGTTAAACTCTAGCTCAGACCTGGTTAAACTCTAGCTCAGACCTGGTTAAACTCTAGCTCAGACCTTGTTAAACTCTAGGTCAGACATGGTTAAACTCTAGGTCAGACCTGGTTAAACTCTAGATCAGACCTGGTTAAACTCTAGGTCAGACCTGGTTAAATTCTAGATCAGACCTGGTTAAACTCTAGGTCAGACCTGGTTAAACTCTAGGTCAGACCTGGTTAAACTCTAGATCAGACCTGGTTAAACTCTAGATCAGACCTGGTTAAACTCTAGATCAGACCTGGTTAAACTCTAGGTCAGACATTATAAAACTTGAGGTACTGGACAGTGAAATAAGACCTGGTTAAAATTAGTGATCTTACCAGGTGATAAACTATGCACAAATGTTAATTCTTTGCTTAATGGATTATTTTTAATGAAAAAATAGAACTAGGTTTAATCCAATTTGATTATTATTCAAATGAAGTCAATTATTTAAAAGTTAAATAAGACTGTAGGTCTAAAGGAGTAAAAAGATACTTACTCTTAAGACCCAGGCTAGGAGGTCTTTGGACTCCTGAGTGCTAATGTTTGGGCTGTGCACAAGATTTTGCAACAAAGTTAATATGCTTTCTGTGGAGGCCGAGTATCAACGTTAATATAAATCAAATCCAAAGTTGCCACTAGACCCCTAAAGTTGCCTCTAGACCCCTAAAGTTGCCATTAGACCCCTAAAGTTGCCACTAGACCCCTAAAGTTGCCACTAGACCCCTAAAGTTGCCACTAGACCCCTAAAGTTGCCACTAGACCCCTAAAGTTGCCACTAGACACAACTTAAGTTGCCACTAGACCCCTAGAGTTGCCACTAGACCACTAGAGTTGCCACTAGACCACTAGAGTTGCCACTAGACACCTAAAGTTGCCACTAGACCCCTAAAGTTGCCACTAGACCCCTAAAGTTGCCACTAGACACCTAAAGTTGCCACTAGACCCCTAAAGTTGCCACTAGACCCCTAAAGTTGCCACTAGACACCTAAAGTTGCCACTAGACCACTAGAGTTGCCACTAGACACCTAAAGTTGCCACTAGACCCCTAAAGTTGCCACTAGACCCCTAAAGTTGCCACTAGACACCTAAAGTTGCCACTAGACCACTAGAGTTGCCACTAGACACCTAAAGTTGCCACTAGACCCCTAAAGTTGCCACTAGACCCCTAAAGTTGCCACAAGACACCTAAAGTTGCCTCTAGACCCCTTGTTGCTAGTTAATCATGATAGAACCTATAATGCTCCTCAACTACAACATCAATCACAACCTTCTGTGGTACCCCAACCTCCTCTGGTGCCCCCAACACCCCTGAGGTGCCCCCAACCTCCTGTGGTGCCCACTACCCCCACTGGTGCCAACAGACTCAGACCCCCAGACCCCAGTGTACTGACCTGTGTGCTCAGGCATGTTGGGACTCCTCATAGCTTTAGACAGGAAGATGAAAGACTTGTTACCCACTTCTATGGCACGGATCTGCTCATGGAGGGCCAGTCCAATGATGAACAGAACCTGTGGACAAGTGGGGGTCACAGTAGAGATGTCTGGACAAGTGGGGGTCACAGTAGAGATGTCTGGACAAGTGGGGGGGGGGGGGTCACAGTAGAGATGTCTGGACAAGTGGGGGTCACAGTAGAGATGTCTGGACAAGTGGGGGTCACAGTAGAGATGTCTGGACAAGTGGGGGTCACAGTAGAGATGTCTGGACAGGGGGGGTCACAGTAGAGATGTCTGGACAAGTGGGGGTCACAGTAGAGATGTCTGGACAAGTGGGGGTCACAGTAGGGATGTCTGGACAAGTGGGGGTCACAGTAGAGATGTCTGGACAAGTGGGGGTCACAGTAGAGATGTCTGGACAAGTGGGGGTCACAGTAGAGATGTCTGGACAAGTGGGGGTCACAGTAGGGATGTCTGGACAAGCGGGGGTCACAGTAGAGATGTCTGGACAAGTGGGGGTCACAGTAGAGATGTCTGGACAAGTGGGGGTCACAGTAGGGATGTCTGGACAAGTGGGGGTCACAGTAGAGATGTCTGGACAAGTGGGGGTCACAGTAGAGATGTCTGGACAAGTGGGGGTCACAGTAGAGATGTCTGGACAAGTGGGGGTCACAGTAGAGATGTCTGGACAAGTGGGGGTCACAGTAGAGATGTCTGGACAAGTGGGGGTCACAGTAGAGATGTCTGGACAAGTGGGGGTCACAGTAGGGATGTCTGGACAAGTGGGGGTCACAGTAGAGATGTCTGGACAAGTGGGGGTCACAGTAGAGATGTCTGGACAGGGGGGGTCACAGTAGAGATGTCTGGACAAGTGGGGGTCACAGTAGAGATGTCTGGACAAGTGGGGGTCACAGTAGAGATGTCTGGACAAGTGGGGGTCACAGTAGAGATGTCTGGACAAGTGGGGGTCACAGTAGAGATGTCTGGACAAGTGGGGGTCACAGTAGAGATGTCTGGACAGGGGGGGTCACAGTAGAGATGTCTGGACAAGTGGGGGTCACAGTAGAGATGTCTGGACAAGTGGGGGTCACAGTAGGGATGTCTGGACAAGTGGGGGTCACAGTAGAGATGTCTGGACAAGTGGGGGTCACAGTAGAGATGTCTGGACAAGTGGGGGTCACAGTAGAGATGTCTGGACAAGTGGGGGTCACAGTAGGGATGTCTGGACAAGTGGGGGTCACAGTAGAGATGTCTGGACAAGTGGGGGTCACAGTAGAGATGTCTGGACAGGGGGGGTCACAGTAGAGATGTCTGGACAAGTGGGGGTCACAGTAGAGATGTCTGGACAAGTGGGGGTCACAGTAGAGATGTCTGGACAAGTGGGGGTCACAGTAGAGATGTCTGGACAAGTGGGGGTCACAGTAGAGATGTCTGGACAAGTGGGGGTCACAGTAGAGATGTCTGGACAAGTGGGGGTCACAGTAGAGATGTCTGGACAGGGGGGGGTCACAGTAGAGATGTCTGGACAAGTGGGGGTCACAGTAGAGATGTCTGGACAAGTGGGGGTCACAGTAGAGATGTCTGGACAGGGGGGGTCACAGTAGAGATGTCTGGACAAGTGGGGGTCACAGTAGAGATGTCTGGACAAGTGGGGGTCACAGTAGGGATGTCTGGACAAGTGGGGGTCACAGTAGAGATGTCTGGACAAGTGGGGGTCACAGTAGAGATGTCTGGACAAGTGGGGGTCACAGTAGAGATGTCTGGACAAGTGGGGGTCACAGTAGGGATGTCTGGACAAGCGGGGGTCACAGTAGAGATGTCTGGACAAGTGGGGGTCACAGTAGAGATGTCTGGACAAGTGGGGGTCACAGTAGGGATGTCTGGACAAGTGGGGGTCACAGTAGAGATGTCTGGACAAGTGGGGGTCACAGTAGAGATGTCTGGACAAGTGGGGGTCACAGTAGAGATGTCTGGACAAGTGGGGGTCACAGTAGGGATGTCTGGACAAGTGGGGGTCACAGTAGAGATGTCTGGACAAGTGGGGGTCACAGTAGAGATGTCTGGACAAGTGGGGGTCACAGTAGAGATGTCTGGACAAGTGGGGGTCACAGTAGAGATGTCTGGACAAGTGGGGGTCACAGTAGAGATGTCTGGACAAGTGGGGGTCACAGTAGAGATGTCTGGACAAGTGGGGGTCACAGTAGAGATGTCTGGACAAGTGGGGGTCACAGTAGAGATGTCTGGACAGGGGGGGTCACAGTAGAGATGTCTGGACAAGTGGGGGTCACAGTAGAGATGTCTGGACAAGTGGGGGTCACAGTAGAGATGTCTGGACAAGTGGGGGTCACAGTAGGGATGTCTGGACAAGTGGGGGTCACAGTAGAGATGTCTGGACAAGTGGGGGTCACAGTAGAGATGTCTGGACAAGTGGGGGTCACAGTAGAGATGTCTGGACAAGTGGGGGTCACAGTAGAGATGTCTGGACAAGTGGGGGTCACAGTAGAGATGTCTGGACAAGTGGGGGTCACAGTAGGGATGTCTGGACAAGTGGGGGTCACAGTAGAGATGTCTGGACAAGTGGGGGTCACAGTAGAGATGTCTGGACAGGGGGGGGGGGGGTCACAGTAGAGATGTCTGGACAAGTGGGGGTCACAGTAGAGATGTCTGGACAAGTGGGGGTCACAGTAGAGATGTCTGGACAGGGGGGGGGGTCACAGTAGAGATGTCTGGACAGGGGGGGGGGGTCACAGTAGAGATGTCTGGACAGGGGGGGGGGGGGTCACAGTAGAGAAGTATGGACAAGTGGGGGTCACAGTCGAGATGTCTGGACAGGGGGGGGGGGGGTCACAGTAGAGATGTCTGGGCAGGGGGGGGGGACTGGATTTTGCAACCTACCCTATCAAACTGTGCCTCAGACCATGACCTTGACCTAGGTGCAGCAGTCCTCCTGAGTACAATGGAGAGTAGGTGTATCATGACATCACAGTGTAGGACATTCAAAGCTGCCTCAAACTGTTTGGTGAATGCTGGTGGTACTGGAGGGGGGAGCGCTGTGGGGGCAAAATTTATATTCACCTTCTAGTTTTACTAGCCTGGTGACACAAGAGTCTAGTGACACAAGGTGACACAAGAGTCTAGTGACACAAGGTGACACAAGAGTCTAGTGACACAAGGTGACACAAGAGTCTAGTGACACAAGGTGACACAAGAGTCTAGTGACACAAGGTGACATAAGAGTCTAGTGACACAAGAGTCTAGTGACACAATAGTCTGGTGACACAAGGTGACACAAGAATCTAGTGACACAAGAGTCTAGTGACACTAGTCTGGTGACACAATAGTCTGGTGACACAATAGTCTGGTGACACAAGAGTCTGGTGACACCATAGTCTGGTGACAAAGAGTCTAGTGACACAAGAGCATGGTGACACAAGGTGAGACAAGAGTCTGGTGACACTAGAGCCTGGTGACAAGAGCATGGTGACACAAGGTGAGACAAGAGTCTGGTGACACTAGAGCCTGGTGACACAAGAGTCTGGTGACACCATAGTCTGGTGACAAAGAGTCTAGTGATACAAGAGTCTAGTGATACAAGGTGACATAAGAGTCTAGTGACACAAGAGACTAGTGACACAAGAGCTTGGTGACACACAAAACTAGACAGACAACCAAATGTTTACAACAGACCTAAATCTTCCTCATTCTGTTTTTTTCTCTGGCGCTGAACTTCTTCTGACTGAAAATAAAAATCAAACTCATTTGAAAAAAACTAGTATAATAATAAACTTTGAAATGCACTTAAAATAAAACAACTTGCTTTCTTTAATAATGCATTGGTTGCCAAAATATATAAGAGCTACAAATGCTTAAGGAAAGCAAGTTTACTTAAAATTTCAAGAGCTACTAATGCTTAAGGAAAAAGTAAGTTTATTTCAAATTTCAAGAGCCTTCAAAAGCTCTTTTCACCTTTTAAGTAATTTGTTCTTAATGAAATGACACCACCTACAACTATAAATAATAGCTTTAAAACCCAATCAATAGCTCTCTAAAAGACAGCTATGTGCCCCTCTTAACACCATCTGTGACAAACAATTCATTCTTATCAACTGTAACCCCTTCAAGTTCTGTTATCTCCCCTTTTTTTCTAAATTAATTTTTTTTTTAAATTTCTAATTGTCTATCTAATTAGATAATTATCTAATTAGATTAGATATTCATGCATTGTTATCAAAGAAGAACGTATCTGCATTATAAGTGGGTCGAAACTGTGCTTCAAAATTTGCCACAAACATTTTTAACTAAATAAAAGGTTATAAAAAGTGAATGAAATCCAAAACTCATGAATGATGGTAACTGCACAGTTTGAAGCCTGTGATGGTAACTGCACAGTTTAAAGCCTGTGATGGTAACTGCACAGTTTAAAGCCTGTGATGGTAACTGCACAGTTTGAAGCCTATGATGGTAACTGCACAGTTTGAAGCCTGTGATGGTAACTGCACAGTTTAAAGCCTGTGATGGTAACTGCACAGTTTGAAGCCTATGATGGTAACTGCACAGTTTGAAGCCTGTGATGGTAACTGCACAGTTTGAAGCCTATGATGGTAACTGCACAGTTTGAAGCCTATGATGGTAACTGCACAGTTTGAAGCCTGTGATGGTAACTGCACAGTTTGAAGCCTATGATGGTAAACAGGTTGAAACAACAAGCATCTTACCTTGGCTTGTTCAGCTTTGTAGTAGTGGTAGAAGTAAGGGGAATATTCTTTGTACAACTCTGGCTTCAACTCAAACTTGCCATTGCCTCCATTCTGAGGGCTCCTGTCAGATCAAACAACAGGACAACATTTAGCTAGGACCTCACTGCTTTGGCTCGTTCACAACTCTACTAAAGTAACTGACATGGTGTCTTATAGTCCAGGTTACCAACAGCATTAGCTAACAAAATGGATGCTTACTTAAATGTAGATATTTCATTGATGACACCATCCAGTCCTGTCTCATGGTTGATCTGTAATAAAACATTATCAGCGGTATAGGCTAAACATACTGGTCTCTAGCGAGATTTGAACCCAAACTTTACAGGTAAGGTATGGTGGAAGCTGTGTTTACTCACATCTTCATTTAAAGACTTTGTCAGCTTGCTGTGAGCCATTGGGGCCAGACAAAGCAGGTGGATGACCTCCCTTTTGATGCTGTCCTTCTTTGTCACCATCCCTACTCCTGGGGTGTAGCGCTCCTCTGGTGAACAACCAGTTTCATTATTCACAGTGACAACCAGTTTTAATGTCACCATTCACAGTGACAGTTTCAAGGTCATTATTCACAGTGACAACCAGTTTTAAGGTCACCATTCACAGTGACAGTTTCAAGGTCATTATTCACAGTGACAACCAGTTTTAAGGTCACCATTCACAGTGACAACCAGTTTCAAGTACACCTTTCACAGTGACAACCAGTTTCAAGGTCATTATTCACAGGGACCAGTTTCAAGGTCACATTCCACAGGGACAACCAGTTTCAAGGTCACCATTCACAGTGACAACCAGTTTTAATGTCACCATTCACAGTGACAGTTTCAAGGTCATTATTCACAGTGACAACCAGTTTTAAGGTCACCATTCACAGTGACAGTTTCAAGGTCATTATTCACAGTGACAACCAGTTTTAAGGTCACCATTCACAGTGACAGTTTCAAGGTCATTATTCACAGTGACAACCAGTTTTAAGGTCACCATTCACAGTGACAACCAGTTTCAAGTACACCTTTCACAGTGACAACCAGTTTCAAGGTCATTATTCACAGGGACCAGTTTCAAGGTCACATTCCACAGGGACAACCAGTTTCAAGGTCATCACTGACAGTAACTACAAGGACTTGACTCACCCATGACAATAATAAGTAGGCTGAGGAACTCCTCTGCTAGTGTTACTGTCTGCCGCACTGAATCTTCTTGGCCACCAGGAATATCATACTCCATTCTACACAGGAACAAAACCAATCATTCAAAAACATCCAATTGTTAAATGTCATCACATTACAGTATTTGGACTTTAAACACACACACAAAACTTTATCATACTTTTTACTTAACTAAACATTTATAACATTTACTTTGCCCAATTTAATAGGTTGAATTTGTTGAGAAGCTGAAGCAAGAACTCATCCCCAGGCATCAAGGATGCAGCTATCTGAAACAAACCAATACAGGCCATTAGAGCTGACTCTCACTGTAGGCTAAACCAGAATGAAGGCGGAGCCTGAGACACCTGTGTTATAGTCAATGGAGGCGGAGCCTGAGACACCTGTGTTATAGTCAATGGAGGCGGAGCCTGAGACACATGTGTTATAGTCAATGGAGGCGGAGCCTGAGACACCTGTGTTAGTCAATGGAGGCGGAGCCTGAGACACATGTGTTATAGTCAATGGAGGTGGAGCCTGAGACACCTGTGTTATAGTCAATGGAGGCGGAGCCTGAGACACCTGTGTTATAGTCAATGGAGGCGGAGCCTGAGACACCTGTGTTATAGTCAATGAAGGCGGAGCCTGAGACACCTGTGTTATAGTCAATGGAGGCGGAGCCTGAGACATGTGTTATAGTCAATGGAGGTGGAGCCTGAGACACCTGTGTTATAGTCAATGGAGGCAGAGCCTAAGACACATGTGTTATAGTCAATGGAGGCGGAGCCTGAGACACGTGTTATAGTCAATGGTGGAAGAGCCTGAGACACCTATGTTATAGTCAATGGAAGCGGAGCCTAAGACACCTGTGTTAGTCAATGGAGGCGGAGCCTGAGACACCTGTGTTATAGTCAATGGAGGCGGAGCCTGAGACACCTGTGTTATAGTCAATGGAGGCGGAGCCTAAGACACCTGTGTTAGTCCATGGAGGCGGAGCCTGAGACACCTGTGTTATAGTCAATGAAGGCGGAGCCTGAGACACCTGTGTTATAGTCAATGGAGGCGGAGCCTGAGACATGTGTTATAGTCAATGGAGGTGGAGCCTGAGACACCTGTGTTATAGTCAATGGAGGCGGAGCCTGAGACACCTGTGTTATAGTCAATGGAGGCGGAGCCTGAGACACCTGTGTTATAGTCAATGGAGGCGGAGCCTGAGACACCTGTGTTATAGTCAATGGAGGCAGAGCCTGAGACACCTGTGTTATAGTCAATGGAGGCGGAGCCTGAGACACCTGTGTTATAGTCAATGGAGGCAGAGCCTGAGACACCTGTGTTATAGTCAATGGAGGCGGAGCCTGAGACACCTGTGTTATAGTCAATGGAAGCGGAGCCTGAGACACATGTGTTATAGTCAATGGAGGCGGAGCCTGAGACACCTGTGTTAGTCAATGGAGGCGGAGCCTGAGACACCTGTGTTAGTCAATGGAGGCGGAGCCTGAGACATGTGTTATAGTCAATGGAGGCAGAGCCTGAGACACCAGTACCTCTCCACACCCCATACAACATCCTGGTACCTCACCCCACCCATTACACCATCATCGCATCTCACCCCGCCCCTTACCCCATGCTGGTCTGACCCCCACAGAATGTGATCCACCTGGATACAGCAAGGCCCTGACCCCCACAGAATGTGATCCACCTGGATACAGCAAGGCCCTGACCCCCACAGAATGTGATCCACCTGGATACAGCAAGGCCCTGACCCCCACAGAATGTGATCCACCTGGATACAGCAAGGCCCTGACCCCCACAGAATGTGATCCACCTGGATACAGCAAGGCCCTGACCCCCCACAGAATGTGATCCACCTGGATACAGCAAGGCCCTGACCCCCACAGAATGTGATCCACCAGGATACAGCAAGGTCCTGACCCCCACAGAATGTGATCCACCTGGATACAGCAAGGCCCTGACCCCCACAGAATGTGATCCACCTGGATACAGCAAGGCCCTGACCCCCACAGAATGTGATCCACCTAGATACAGCAAGGCCCTGACCCCCACAGAATGTGATCCACCTGGATACAGCAAGGTCCTGACCCCCACAGAATGTGATCCACCTGGATACAGCAAGGTCCTGACCCCCACAGAATGTGATCCACCTGGATACAGCAAGGTCCTGACCCCCACAGAATGTGATCCACCAGGATACAGCAAGGCCCTGACCCCCACAGAATGTGATCCACCTGGATACAGCAAGGCCCTGACCCCCACAGAATGTGATCCACCTGGATACAGCAAGGTCCTGACCCCCACAGAATGTGATCCACCTGGATACAGCAAGGCCCTGACCCCCACAGAAAGTGATCCACCTGGATACAGCAAGGCCCTGACCCCCACAGAATGTGATCCACCTGGATACAGCAAGGCCCTGACCCCCACAGAATGTGATCCACCTAGATACAGCAAGGCCCTGACCCCCACAGAATGTGATCCACATGGATACAGCAAGGCCCTGACCCCCACAGAATGTGATCCACATGGATACAGCAAGGCCCTGACCCCCACAGAATGTGATCCACCTGGATACAGCAAGGCCCTGACCCCCACAGAATGTGATCCACCTGGATACAGCAAGGCCCTGACCCCCACAGAATGTGATCCACCTGGATACAGCAAGGCCCTGACCCCCACAGAATGTGATCCACCTGGATACAGCAAGGCCCTGACCCCCACAGAATGTGATCCACATGGATACAGCAAGGCCCTGACCCCCACCCAGCAACTGAGGTAGACAAAGAAGAAAAGGATCAGCTGATGTTCCTTACCTGCAGCATTGTAATGTCCCGGTCATACATCTCTTGTCTACAGCGCAGGTTGGAGTAGAAGAACACCTGCACAAGTTAACTTTTTGTTAACATTACACTTCATGTACTAGCATAGACTCATCACCTTTTTGTTAACATTACACTTCATGTACTAGCATAGACTCATCAACTGTTTGTTAACATTACACTTCATGTACTAGCATAGACTCATCAACTGTTTGTTAACATTATACTTCATGTACTAGCATAGACTCATAAACTTTTTGTTAACATTACACTTCATGTACTAGCATAGACTCATCAACTGTTTGTTAACATTACAATACACTTCATATACTAGCATAGACTCATCCACTTTTTGTTAACATTACACTTCATGTACTAGCATAGACTCATCAACTGTTTGTTAACATTACAGCACAGTTGATGTACTAGTATAGACTCATCAACTGTTTGTTAACATTACAGCACAGTTGATGTACTAGCAGCAAGTACCTGATTCTGCAGCCATTACAGCAGTTGATGTGCTAGCACATATTCTGGCAGCAAGTACCTGATTCTGCAGACTGTAGCCATTACAGCACAGTTGATGTACTAGCAGCAAGTACCTGATTCTGCAGACTGTAGCCATTACAGCACAGTTGATGTACTGGCAGCAAGTACCTGATTCTGCAGCCATTACAGCAGTTGATGTACTAGCAGCAAGTACCTGATTCTGCAGACTGTAGCCATTACAGCACAGTTGATGTGCTAGCACATATTCTGGCAGCAAGTACCTGATTCTGCAGCCATTACAGCACAGTTGATGTACTGGCAGCAAGTACCTGATTCTGCAGACTGTAGCCATTACAGCACAGTTGATGTGCTAGCAGAAAGTACCTGATTCTGCAGCCATTACAGCACAGTTGATGTGCTAGCAGCAAGTACCTGATTCTGCAGGCTGTAGCCATTGCAGCACAGTTGATGTACTAGCAGCAAGTACCTGATTCTGCAGCCATTACAGCACAGTTGATGTACTAGCAGCAAGTACCTGATTCTGCAGGCTGTAGCCATTACAGCACAGTTGATGTGCTAGCACATATTCTGGCAGCAAGTACCTGATTCTGCAGACTGTAGCCATTACAGCACAGTTGATGTACTAGCAGCAAGTACCTGATTCTGCAGCCATTACAGCACAGTTGATGTGCTAGCACATATTCTGGCAGCAAGTACCTGATTCTGCAGACTGTAGCCATTACAGCACAGTTGATGTACTAGCAGCAAGTACCTGATTCTGCAGACTGTAGCCATTACAGCACAGTTGATGTACTAGCAGCAAGTACCTGATTCTGCAGACTGTAGCCATTACAGCACAGTTGATGTACTAGCAGCAAGTACCTGATTCTGCAGCCATTACAGCACAGTTGATGTGCTAGCACATATTCTGGCAGCAAGTACCTGATTCTGCAGACTGTAGCCATTACAGCACAGTTGATGTACTAGCAGCAAGTACCTGATTCTGCAGACTGTAGCCATTACAGCACAGTTGATGTACTAGCAGCAAGTACCTGATTCTGCAGACTGTAGCCATTGCGCCTCCACATGCCAGCCTGGGACTGAGCCAGCAGGACCTGGATCCTCAGCCCTGGTTCCATCAGATCTTTCATGTCCAGCGGCTCCCTCACGGCCACGTCCACACTGTGGGCCATCTGGGTCAAGGTCTGGAACAGTCAACACTGGCTTCATTCATGGACAATCTCAGCTTACATCACATGACAGTGTACATGTCATCACATGACAGTGTACATGTCATCACATGACAGTGGACATGTCAGCACATGACAGTGTACATGTCATCACATGACAGTGTACATGTCATCACATGACAGTATACAACACATGTCATCACATGACAGTGTACATGCCATCACATGACAGTGTACATGTCATCACATGACAGTGTACATGTCATCACATGACAGTGTACATGTCATCACATGACAGTATACAGCACATGTCATCACATGACAGTATACATGTCATCACATGACAGTATACATGTCATCACATGACAGTGTACAACACATGTCATCACATGACAGTGTACATGTCATCACATGACAGTGTACATGTCATCACATGACAGTGTACATGTCATCACATGACAGTGTACATGTCATCACATGACAGTATACAACACATTTCATCACATGACAGTGTACAAAAAATTTCATCACATGCCAGTATACAACACATGTCATCACATGACAGTGTACATGTCATCTCATAACAGTATACAACACATGTCATCTCATGACAGTATACATGTCATCTCATTACAGTATACAACACATGTCATCACATGACAGTATACAACACATGTCATCACATGACAGTATACAACACATGTCATCTCATGACAGTATACAACACATATGACTGCAACAGTTAACTGCAACAAGTATCCCACTACTAAGGAGATATGCAACAATATCCTACTGGATTGTGTAGCTCTGGTGATGAGAAGCTTAGTCCATGTTCCTCAAGATGGATGTGTAGTGCTGGGGACATCAAGAGCAAACTCTAGTACATTCACGCCCTCGTCAATCTCATTGTTTGGTGATTGTCTAGGTGTATGTTAATCTAATTGTTTGGTGATTGTCTAGGTGTATGTTAATCTAATTGTTTGGTGATTGTCTAGGTGTATGTTAATCTAATTGTTTGGTGATTGTCTATGTGTATGTTAATCTAATAGTTTGGTGATTGTCTAGGTGTATGTTAATCTAATTGTTTGGTGATTGTCTAGGTGTATGTTAATCTAATAGTTTGGTGATTGTCTAGGTGTATGTTAATCTAATTGTTTGGTGATTGTCTAGGTGTATGTTAATCTAATTGTTTGGTGATTGTCTAGGTGTATGTTAATCTAATTGTTTGCTGATTGTCTAGGTGTATGTCAATCTAATTGTTTGCTGATTGTCTAGGTGTATGTTAATCTAATTGTTTGGTGATTGTCTAGGTGTATGTTAATCTAATAGTTTGGTGATTGTCTAGGTGTATGTTAATCTAATTGTTTGGTGATTGTCTAGGTGTATGTTAATCTAATAGTTTGGTGATTGTCTAGGTCAGGGGTCTCCAAACTACGGCCCGCGGGCCGGATGCGGCCCGCGAGGTCCTCTCATCCGGCCCGCGGAGATCTTTTTGTCCACGGAAAAAACGTTTGTTGGTGATGGCTGAGGAACTTTGCCCAGAAAAATCAAAGACATGCCTGGAAGAAACTGTCCCCCGAACTGAAATTTTATAGTCAATGCGGCCCTCGGACTGAAAAGTTTGGAGACCCCTGGTCTAGGTGTATGTTAATCTGTTTGGTGATTGTCTAGGTGTATGTTAATCTAATTGTTTGGTGATTGTCTAGGTGTATGTCAATCTAATTGTTTGGTGATTGTCTAGGTGTATGTTAATCTAATTGTTTGGTGATTGTCTAGGTGTATGTTAATCTAATTGTTTGGTGATTGTCTAGGTGTATGT